GTGCATTGCACTATATAGAGAACTGAAGAGGTTTGTGAGCATGTGATGAGAAGTCCTGCGTTCCCTGTTTCCTGTTGCTTGAAGATAATATTGTGGTTCACTATAAGGTGCCTCATGGCCCTGAATAATCTTTTTTTGTGACACAAAACTAGTGTTTCTGTGGTACTGGTTCTGTTATGAGTGTAGGTGTTAAAATACTGACACTTTTTCGTACAATGACCTTTAGAAAAAAGTGAGTCTTCTGGACAGGGTTTTGGAAACACCACTTTTAATTAGAAGCAGCTTTAAATTGCTGAGACTACCAGAAGGCAATTGCATTTTGTGGAAGTTCAGTGTTTATGGGTGTGTGTTCTTGCTGTTTGGTTTATTTTCTGGTGTTTTGGTTTTTGTTGTTGTATTGTTTTCTTTTATACAAGTATTAAATGACTAATCCTTTAAATCCTTGCCTGCCAGAATTACCTTGCTTTTAAATATGGAGAACATAGCCACAGATGTTAAATACATTTCTAGTGGCTATAAGGAATGATAATGGTAGAATATGCTGTAGAATTACCTCTCAACCCTAATGCAAAAGAGTAGAGAGTGTTTGAAATGTGTTTTGGACTAAATTCAGTGCTTTTAGAAGAACCTGGCCAGACCCTGCTTAATCAGTGTTCTTGGTGAGGTGAAAATTACAGTCTGCTCTCTTAGTGTCTGTCAGACTGCCTATAAACATGTGTCAAATGGAGCAGAACCACAAGCAGGGCATGAACTCAGGATGCCAAAAAAAAAACCAAAAAACAAACAAACAAAAAGTAAACGAAGTCATCTATAGTATTATGTGGTGCATTTATTTTGTCCTGATGTGCTGGAAGAAACAGGAAAATGTGTTAAATCCAGAAAGCTGTCAGTGAACTACTTTGGTATTATTATTTAGTACAATCCTTTCATTAACTCCTAGAACTCGTGTTTGACATGGAGGGAGGAAGGCCTCATGGTTTTTCTCAAAACAGCTAACCCCTGTGAGATGAGTAGAATTTAAAGACTGCAACACCACAGTCAGCTGAAGTTTAAAATTACAAATTTCTGGTGTTGACATTCAGAATGGTTTCAAAGCTTCCTCTTCCCCCCATGAAAGGGAGGAGGAGGTGTTACAGAGAGGAGGATTCACATACTGTCTGAAATTTCATCACTGTCTGTGGAAGGGAAAAGCACATTTGCCCACCCCAAAGAACCGACCCCCATGACTTCAGCTGAAATATTTCCCCTTCAGTGAGATGTTGCAATATTTAATTTCTCTGTTTAAGTGCACTGAACTATAGGAATGAAAAGTGTTATCTAAAGACAACCTGGCACTTTCAGTTCATGAATGTTTACTTTTAAACAAAAGACTGGCACAGTTTGACCATGCCATACTTCTCATAAAGAACATTTGCCAGTGGCTGTTGCTTCTCACTATGTGAGAGTGGTTATATTTAGTCAGCGGTTGAGATGCTGGACCTAGCAGTAAATCATGGCAATTTACCATTTTGGCACATTTTAATAAATGGTGACTAATTTGTAGCTTTTAATATTATGTATCTTAAAAATAACTTAATATTCTGGAGGACAATGGCATATAAAGTAAAGCAGCACACATTACAAAATGAGTATGAAAAGTCATAAATAGGAGCACATTTAACAGATAAAGCAGAATGCATCTCTACTGGTCTAGGTATGCCAGTTTGTATTTCAGAGGAAACTGATTTGTTGTTCCTAGGTCAATATTGGTTGGTTCACAGATTGCTAGCAGAGTAAACAAAGTCAACTTGACAGTGTTCTAGGTGTTAGAGTCTTCCTTTCAGGTTTACTTGTGTACGCTATCTGTTTCCCATCTTAAGTAAAAAATGACTGTTAGAAAGCTGAGATGGTAACAGAAGCAATCACATCATAGATGTTTTAAATGCTGAATGGAAAGCCATCAGGTTTTACTTCTGTTACTCTCTTTTTAGCGCCTTTTTAAAAAAAGCCAGCTGAGCACTGTAAAACCAGAGTTTTCATAATACTGCTAGAAATTCAAAGAGAGCATCCTACCAAATACCTACTTTGTGGGTTATTGTGGCCAGCAGATAGTAATTTCTAAAGAACTGCTATGTTTTGAAGGCCATGAAAAACATAAATATTGTGTTCCAGTGTCTTCTAAGTCAGAGAATGACTGAGTTTGGAAGGGAACTCTGGAGATTTTATAGCCCAACTCCTCTGCTCAAAGTAGAGTCATTTAGAGCAGATTGCTTAGGGCTGCATTCAGTCAGATTTTTAATATCTCCGCGGATGAAGACTCTATAGTTTGTCTGGGCAACCCATTCCAGTGTTTGACCATCCTCACAGTAAAAAAGTTATTTCCTATATTTAAATGGAATTTCCTGTATTTCACTTTGTGTCCATTGCCTTTTGCCCTTTCACTGACTATCATGAAGAGGACTCTGGCTCCATCTTCTTTGCTTCCTCACGCCAGATATACACAATGACAAGATTTCCTGCACATACACCAAGCTTTCTGTTCTCAAGGCCAAACAATCTCATCTCAGCCTCTTCTCATGTTGGGTGCTCCTGTCCCTTAATCATATTTGTGTCCCTTTTCTGGTCTTGCTCCAGTGAGTCCATGTCTGTCTTATACTAAGGGACCCAGAACTGGACACAGCAGTGCAAATGTCATCTCACCAGTGCTGAATAGAAGGGAATGATCACCTCCCTTGACCTACAGACATTCTTCCTTAATGCAATCCAAGATGCATTTGGCACTCTACTGCAAGTGCACATTGCTGAGTCCAGGTCAAGTTGTCCACTAGGATCCTCAGGTGCTTTTCTGCAAAGCTGCCTTCCAGATGGTTGGTCCCCAGCCTGTACTGTTCAGTGGGGTTATTCCTCCCCAGACGCAGGACTTCGCATTTCAGTTGGTTGAACTTCATGAGATTCCTTCTGACCCCTTTCTTCAGCCTGTTGAGACCCTTCTGAATGACAGCACAGTCATCTGGTGTTTCAGTTACTCCTCCCAGTTTTGTATTGCCTGCAAGCTTGCTGAGAGTATACTCTGACCCATCATCTAGGTCATTAATAAAGATGCTAAACAGGACTGGACCTAGTAGTGATCCCTTGGGGTACACCACTAGTCACTGGCTTCTAGATGGACTTTATGTTGCTGTTCACAACTCTTTAAACCTGGTGGGTCAGCCAGTTTTCATATCATTGTCCATTTATGGAGCCTGCACTTTTTCAGTTTCTCTATGAGGATATTATGAGAGACAGTGTTGAAAACCCTACGAAAGTTGCGAGAAGCAACATCTAATGCTCTCCCTTCATCCGGCAAGCCAGTCTTATCATAGGAGTCTATCAGGTTGGTTAGGCATGATTTTCCTTTTGTAAATCCATGCGGACTACCATCAGTCACTTTCTTGTCCTTATGTTTAGCAATTAAGCACGAAGGCTAGTAGGATACTAGCAAATCAGAAGTTTGATGTTTTTCTTCTTGTCTCCTCTTTTTTTATCTGAGAAAACATTGTTCTGGGATCTGATTGCAGAACCCTGTAAACTGTAAGTGGGCTTCAGTGTGGTTTTTTTACAAAGCTTTGCTCATCTCCTCTAATGTAGGTGTCTCATAAGTGCTGTAAGTGGCAGGAATAGGGAACATTTCTTTAATTGTTAAGGATGAGATTGTCCCCATGTATAAATATGACGGTGAAGCCGACAATAGTGCTAATCAAATTTCATCCTACAGCTGTTTCCTAGGTAACTAACACATGCAGCTGTAGAAAAAAGACTGCATTATGAAGAGACCAGAAAGATCCTGTAGCAATTCTCTTCAATGACTGAAGAAACACAGTGCAAAAAAAAAAAAATAAAGTGGATAGTGCTATATCATCTTCTTCTTTGTCCTCAAGGACAGAGAAGATCTGTTCAGATGGCAAGCCTTTTCATAGCCAGCTGTAATTTATAGGATAGAATAGAATATTTTCAGTTGGAATGTACCTACAACAATAATCTAGTCCAACTGCCTGACCACTTCAGGGTTAACTGAAAATTAAAGCATATTATTAAGGGCATTGTCCAAATGCCTCTTAAGCGCTGACAGGCATGGAGCACTGATGACCTCTCTAGGAAGCCTGGACCCATCTTTGATCACTCTCTGCAAAGAAATGCTTCCTAAGTTTTGCTTCCCAAGGCCAGACAGTGGACAGCCTCATGGTCTTAAAGCTGATATTGTGAAAGTTCCACCATTTACAGCAGGTTGCTGTCCAGCCAGTATGCCTAAGGAGTAGTCACAAGTGGGTCTTTGGGTCTATTTGGTCATGCTCTAAAGTCAATGCAGAGACTTGCATTATTGCACTTATAACAGAGAATGTTATATACACAATCCTGTTGTGAAAACTAGTAACAAATCACTGTGTTCCTCTGCAAAGTCACTTCCTATTTTCCAGGTTACATGTCTTTTTTGAGGAGAAACCATCTTTTGCACTATGGTTTGTTATTCCTATTTTGCATTCTGGTAATGGAGCAATGCAGTTACTTGGAGTTTGCCAGGTAGTCACAGAGGTCTATGGAAGGGCTGGATCCTGAAGGTCTTTGGAGAACTTCAAAGGCTTAATTCACTTGCCTATATATATGCGTTTAGTGCCATTTAAGACATACCAGAGTATCTAAGGTATCTATATGGGATGAGCAGAGATGATGTAGAACCTCGAGTGACCTCTTGTGCTGCTACTCTGGAAAGGCACAGATGACCAACAGCAGCTGTACTGGTACTACACACCTCTGTATGAAGACCTGAATCCTGTTCTAAACATTGCTGTTAACAATAGAACAGCCTCTAAAAATACGTAGGGCTGCAAGAAAACACCTTGTCTCTTGTTCTGTTTGTCCACAAGTTTTCCTGTAAACAGATCTTTCTGTCTTGAAACTAGAAACATGCCTTAGCTCCACAGGTGTCAGTAAAAGATGAGGCAGCCAAATATTTATATGATCAGTTATGTCTCTTTTTCTTTCAGGTGAATTATATAGAGCCTCTTTAAGAAAACAAAGGGTCCCGGCACAAGGCAGTATTGAAATACATGAGGATAATGAGGTGAGATTGTTTCCTGAAATAAGCTTTGCTGATTTCCAAGAAGTAGACATGTGGAAATACTCTCATATTGTGTTATGGAATTATAAACCCATTTGGTAGCTTAGTATGTCTTTCCCTTGTTCGGTAGGTGCACATGCAATCACTGAAAATCATCACAAGCTTTTTCAACATTGCATAATTATCTTAGGTAGAAATATGACCCAGTTCTCTGAAGAGAAATTGCTATATCTACTTTGTACTTCACTGGAAATGCAGGTTTTGTGAAGCAGATTCAGCAGCAGTCATGTAATTGATAGTAACAGAACTGGTTGGTTTTGTTTTTTTTTTTTAGAAGCAGCAAAGAATCTAAACAAGTTGTGTTGCTTACAGTTAACTGACTAAGGTCCTCTGTCCACACACAGAACAGGCAATTGAAATGTCTACTTTTCCATTTTTGAAGAATTCTAATCCTAGAGCCCCCTGAAAATGACAACAGTCTTTGATTGACTTCAGGTGGCCTTTTGATTAGCCCTCAAGCTCCTTGTCTCAGTCATGGCTCAAGACAAATTAACTGCATTGCCTTTGAGTCCTCCTCTGAGGGATTGTTCTGGGTTGAGTGAGTGGTGGAGTTTTTTTGGTGGCAGGGGAGGGGGCTATCGGGGCGGCCCCCTGTGAGAAGCTTCTCGAAGCTCCCCCAGCTCCACGTCAGCTCCACTTCTGTTTGGGAAATTGAGCCAATCGGCTGCGCCTCTGCGATAACGTATTTAAGAAGGGACGTGGTGACGGGCAGTGGGACTTGTGAGGAGGAGTTGCTGCAGCTGCATGAACACCAAGGTCAGTGGAAGAACGGAGGAAGAAAGGAGGGGGGAGGTGTGCCGGAGCGGAGACCCCCCTGTATCCTGTGGTGAGACGGCAGGGCGGCCCCCCCCTGCCACCCATGGAGATCTACGGTGGAGCAGACATTGATCTGTGGCCTGTCGTTCCTGCTCGGTTGATCAAGGTTCTGTGCCCGAAGAAGGCCGGGGTCTCATGGGAAAAGGCAGCCCCGCTGCTGTAATTCAGCACTGGGAGGATTGCAGCATGCGGGGGAGTCCCACGCCGGAGCAGCTCGGGAAGGGCTGCAGCCGTGGGAGGGAATCCAGTCGGAGGAAGTTAGTGACCCATGACGGAGCAGTGTGGGGAACGCTGCGGCCCGTGGGAGGAATTCAAGTCGGAGAAAGTTTGTGGAGGACTGTCTCCTGTGAGAGGGGGACCACGATGGAGCAGGGGGTAACAAGTTTCGGACACTCCCCTCACCAAACATGAAGGAAGTGGCAGCACTGACTGCACCCCCCATTCCCTGCCCCTGCGCCCCTGGGGGAGGAGGTAGAGATATCGGGAGCAGAGCTGAGCCCGGGAAGAAGGGAGGGGTGGGGGGAAGGTGTTCTCAAGATGTGGCAATACTTCTCACTGTCCTGCTCTGTTATGTGTTGTTAGTGTCTGTAATAAATGTATGTTCTTTTTTTCTTCCCCTAACGAGTCTGCCTTTTGCTCATGATCATAAAAGGGGGATTTTCCCCATCCCAGTCCTATCTTGAACCCCAAGCCTGGCTCTCTGTCCCTTCTCATTGCTGGAGGGGAAGGGAGAGAGAGCTGCTGCATTGTGGTTGGCTGTCAATCAGGCCTAAACCACGACAGGGATATCATTTAAATCCAGCTGAGAGACTTTTTGTAACAGTGACTTTAGCAATGTTGACCCACTTGAATTCTTCCCTCTGTTTTGAAGCTTTCAGTTCCACCAACCCATCTGAAGTGCCACTTATTTACAAACTGGCATTGCCTGTGGAAGGAGTTACTCTTAGCTTTTAAAGGAAATTAAATTTCTCTTCTGAATAACTGGAATGGGACCATATGGAGAGAGAAATTATAAATTAAAGCGAGGAAAAGTGGAACCTTAAAAATTCTCATAAGATCCAGTACTTAAGCGGATACAAGGCAGGTCAGCAAAATGCCTTCACAATTAATATCTCTACTGGACATTAAAAATTACGTGCTGAACAGAGATAGTGGCTTTGTGGAACAACTTATAATTCTTTCATTTTCAACCATTTCTCTGTCACCATTATACAAGTGCTAAAGTTACCAATTTCTGTGTTTTATCCGTGTCAACATTTCCACCCCTACCGTTCAGTAAACTACAGCCTGAAATGTATGTGTGTGAGTTTACTTGTCAGCTTTTCTGATTAATGTTACTCTTGTTAAACTCAGAGCAATTATTCTCATTTTATATTTACCGTTGAAGACTGTGGCTCTTGTTCCAGAACTTAAGAATAAAGTGTCCAGAACTGCCTGATTCTCAGTAAATCACCCAATCTAGCAATTAACAAGCCTCAGACAAATACAGGAAATGTTACTGTTGTTTTTATTGTGTGTTCATATTTGGTCAGGAACTAGAAGTCTCCAGGAATCATGTGATCCAAAGAGAAGAAGAAGATGCCAGTTAAGATTTAAAAACAAAAGAATCTCCTAATCTTTTAATGCGTTATTGACTTCTTTGAGTGCACATAACTCTCATGGGGTAAAGAAGGAAAAAAAAGCAGAGTTGTGAGACATTCAAAATGTTTTTCCAGTCTCAAGTAGATAACATCTTGTTTATTCTACGGAGCACACTGATTATTGTCTGTATTTGCACGTATTCACATATTCATAAATGTATGTGTGAGGTTTATAGATGCACATTTTTTGCTTGTTCAGTAAATGCCTGGGTAAGTTATCCCCATTTTGCATTTTAATACAAACTTGCCAATCTCAAAAGGCTGTGATAACTGTATCATCAGCTTCTGCTGGATGTTTTCTTTGGCAGAGAAACTTGTCTTTTTAGAACCTGTGATGACTTGAGATAGAACATTTCCAGTAAATGCAGCAGCCTCATTCATGATACCTAGACAGACATTCACTTAGGCTGGCTGTGGATGTTGGAATTCTTCTCCAGTTTCAATATATTTAAAATAGCTTTTGATGTACACAAAGCTGTTTATAATCTTTGTTAATCTGAAACCTACATCTGTGCTGCAAGGGTTTTCTGGTAGATCATAGTGTGTTCTAGGTGGTTCAGAAATACTTGAATTAAATGGAACACAGGGCATGCACACACACTGCCGCGCACCCCCACCCCCCCGCCCCCAATGAAGGCAAGTATCGCAAAAAGATCACAGATCACAGTGGGAGTAGGAGAAAAAAATCACTGCTGCTTGTAAACACTAACAGCAAGAATACCAACACTGTCCATAAAAATGCTTCCTCCCTTCTTACTCCCTGTTTTTCTCACAGGAAGGAGTTCAACACCAGAACTGCAAAACTCATGTGCTAATTTTGATCCTACATGGGGGGAACATCTTAGACACTGGAGGTGGGGACCACAGCAGCAAGCTAGCAGATATCAACACCTTCAGTTCTGTGTTTGAGAAAGTGACACAAGCCCATTTCCCTGCTGCTTTGGGCCACATCTTAATCAGACTTGTTCCCTGCCCAGCAATCTGTTCAGCAGCATTCTCTCTTGTTTCCAAGTAAGTTGATTTGCATTTTCTAATATTTGGCTTTACAGTGTGCTTTTGAATGGCTTTCTGTGACCCATCTTTTTCATAACAAAATGTTGAGAATCCTTCTTAATCTTTTGCTTACTGCAAGACTTGGAATGATCTGTCATCATTTTCTAAGTGGATGCATTTGTTTAAAACATTAAAAAACCACCCAAAAAACCTGCAAAAAAACACCAAACCCAAAAAACTAAAATCCATGGTGGACTATTAGCCTATTGTCCAAATGCACCCAAAATGGAAGAAAAAAAGATCCAGAAGACATCTGGACAGAAGACGAAAACTGTGATAACTCTTAACTTTTTATCACCCCTTCCTCTTCTTCCCTTCCCCTTCCCCCCCCCCCCCCCCCATGTGACCCCAAAATATCAGTAGTGAACTTTTATCTTATTTTAAAATTGAATTATAGCTAGATCTGCCTGCAGATATGCCAGCTGACGTTTGTCTATTTTATTTATCTGTCCATTATTTGGATGGTGTAGGGACAGGATGTTATGAAAAGCCTCCTTATAGTTTTAATGTTTCCAGTTTTAGAAACAAAAATGGCATATTGCTAACATTGATTTACAAATAAAGTGGAGATTGTGAAGCGTTGCTGAGAAACTTAGACCAATTTAAGTAAATTCTGCTTTGTGCTGGAAATTGAGAACAGAAAGTAATATCTAAACCAAGAGTGATTTAACACATCTTCTTGGTGAGAGAGAATTTACATATGAACGTGTTTTTTACATTTTAAGATGACAGAACTTCAGTATGTGTTCATTCCCAATAGCAGCTACTGCACTTTGATAGTGTTTTGTGGTAGACCACTCATTTATCATCATTAACATATAAGAATGCCTTGTACAGAAGTGTCTTGAATGGACTACAAAGGATGCATTTCTAGGAAACAGTGCTTTTGGCTAATGATGCTTCTGTCCACAATACAACTAGGATTTGGCTGTAGGCATAGGGAGAGGTGTCTGTTAGCTTTGATGGAATTTCCTGTCTGAGCAGATCCATTTGCTAACTGATGGAAATGGAGATGGCACTCATGAGGTTGCCCTTACTAACATGAGAGGTGGGAGGTTTGTTTTAAGCAGTTTGGTAATTCACTTGCATAAAGGTAGAGAGACCCCAGTTCAGTTCAGGATTTTTAGAGAGCAACTGGGAGAGAATGCTGTGCATTACAGTAGGTATTGGATCGGCTCTTCATTAATGAAGAGCACTAGGCAAGAATGCCTCAAAGATCTTGTCATTGATAAAATTAGTAGATTTCTCAACTAGCCTAACTCTGCAAACTTAAATGACCCTGAGCTATAGTATGGTTATACTACGTGATATTCACATTTACATTTCTAGCTGGCAGGTCCTGTTTCTGTCTGAGACCAGGTTCTGCTAGGAAACACTTACTAGTTGCTATACGAAGCAGAGATAATGATTTCATTTTGGGAAATTGCTTATTAACTTAAAAAAAATAGTTTGTTGGGTTTGGGATTTGGGGAGAGTTTTGGGGGTGTTGGGATTTTTGGGGGGAGGTTGTTTTGGGGAAGGGGTGGGGTTAAGAAAATTCTCACAAAAATGTTTTAGTACATGTCTTTTTCCACTTGCCCTCTGAGCTGAAACCATGACACTCATGTGGAGTAGAAAACCCTGCAGAATAGTTGAAGAGGTCTACAACCATGTTTTGGAGCATGAGATGCAGGAACTCTGCCTGCTGTCCAGATGACAGAGCTAGAGAGGACAGATGCAGAATACATTAAAGTTCTGAAATACTAGGTGGACATAAAGCTATGACAAGCATATAAGAAGAAGAGGAGTCAGAGTGCAGACCAGACTGGAGGAAGGTTGTGCCTGATTGTTTGCATCAAGGGGCAATATACTGAAACAACCAGGAGAGTAGAAGCGTGTGTATGTCCAAGTCACTGACCTGTAAAGCAAGAGGACTGATAATAGAAGAGGAGGTGAAGCATCAAACAGTGTTCAAGAGATCATTCTTGCCCAGTTGGGCCATTGATTAGCACAGGGCTCAGTAGTGTCTCAGGTATCCCACAATGCAGTGCCTGCAGGTCTCAACTCTCTGGAAGAAGAGCTGCTGGAGTGGAAGGAAGAGAGTATGCTGGTAGCCCAAATGAACAGAGCTTCCAATTCTTTCTCTGTTTTTCATTCCCTCTTGTTGCAGCACACAGTGTTTAGCCAGACTGCAAATAGCCAAGCTGGACGCTTGAATGTCCAATGGAATCGTTCCCAGCACGGACTTAAGATTGATATTGCTGTGGTATGTTCTTGCATGAAGCTGCTTGTGATGTACCCATTTGGGGCTGACAAAAGGAGAGATGATTCCTTGCTCTCACATTTCTGCAGCTTCATGCCAGCAGCTTTCATAGCCAGAACTCCAGGATGCAGTTGTGGAACATAAACTTGTGGTAAACATTCCATTTAGCAAACTGTGAGGGAGGAAGTATGGTTTTAATTACTGTAATGTTTCATCAAGGGTGAGCCAGTTGACTGACTAAGCAGCAGCACAAGATTTCTTGCTTGGTTTGAATGTATCCTCCATTTTCTGAATGTGAATGCATAGTGTGTGCCAAAGTAGTACAACCCTCTGTTTACCTTGGCATAGGCTTTGAGTTATGCTTTGTCTGTGTACCGAGTGCCTGGGTTCAGGATTCCACTGGGACTTTTCATCTGAATGCACCTATGCAGTTCTCCCTGTCTTGCAAACAGTAGCTTAAAGGAGAAGGATCTTTCAGGGCAAAATCACTCCATCTAGTAAATGTTTCAGATTGTTTAATCTGGGCTGCTCCTGTTTGCTCTCATCACTTTCAGTTTCCTGTATCTCTCATGTAAATCATAAAGACACAGACACAGTTTATGCAACCTGTGTAAATTTATAATGCATGACTCATCTCCTGTGACACTTATCTCCATCTTTGCTGCTAAGGACCGATAAGGGTTAAAACTAAATCACATTCTTGTTCCAGCTAGATGACTTGAGAGCCATCTCTTCCCTTGTCAGGGAGAAAATTGTCCCAGAGTGGATCAACTGTTATGCTTTTTATAGCATATGATTTGATGAGCATACATTGATTCACACCTCAGACTAGAGTGCCTAAATTACAGTGTTAGCCAAACTGGAAAACAGTAATTGCAAATTTGGGGGATTGGAGAAAGGAAGGAAGGAGAAGGAAAAAATGGCTGAAACAAAAGTTACGTTTAGGAAGCAAACACTTAAGTATGAAAGTAAGCATATGAATAATCAAATGAGATTAAAGTGTTTTGTTGGATGAGTTCTGGAGTGCTCAGCCCCTTGCATGCTCCTTGCACAGTGGTGGGTCCTGCAATGTAAGCTCTCACTGTTGCATTTTCCTAATCAGTTTTTTTAAAAACTTTTATAATTTAATTAGAAAGTGTATAGAGAAGTTCAGTCATTATCATTTGAGTATTTTCTATTTCTTGTTTTTCTTTTGTCCTGAAAGTGGAGGAAGTAAATGCATATTCTGGCATTCAGAAACAGCAATAGCAAGTCCCTAGGAGTCAGCATGGAGTGCAGATAGCTGAACCATAAATGTCAAAACACTGTTGTGTGACAGTTATTCAAACAAGTGTTACCATATGGGTGATTTCCCCCTCTGCTTTCTCTTCTCACCTTTGCCATGGTCAGGGACTGCTGACATGAGGAAGTTTTGAGGAGGGATCAGTGTTTTGTCTTGATTTGCACATAGCCAGGTTCTTTCTGCAAGCAGAATAAGCTTTTATTCCCTTGTTCCTCCTTTCTACCCCTCAGTCCCCTGGGTTGAACCCCTCGCTCCCCTTCCCTGTGGTGCACTCCCGGTTGTCCCTGCTGGCAGATGCCACTGTGCCATCCACCACTGCTCCGCTGGGAGCCAGGTGTGCTCTTACCCACAATGGAAGATCAGTTCTGTCTTGCTGCCTTTTATCAGGGAGGTGTTAGGTTCAAACACTGGTGACTTTATATCTCAGCCTCTTGCACTTGATGATTTCAGCGGCTTCATTGTAATTTCCCTCTCCATTTCCAGTCTTTGTGCAAGTGTAATGTTTCCAGACTGTTGCTTTGGAATGACCTCTTGCAGTGTCTTGCCAGACAAGACTTGTGCTTCCCTTGGCTCCAGTGCTGACACATTACCTGTTTCAGCTTCAGTACTAATACTTAGCATGTCCCCTGCGATAAACAACTTCATCTCTTCCATATACCCTTTCAGTGGTCTGGATCTTCCTTTTGTGTTCTGTCTACTATAACAAAGGAGGTCTCTGTGGCTTCAACTTTACAATACAATAAATTGGAATTAAAAAACCCAAACCTTCATTTCTAAGCCAGTTAACTGATTAATTTTCTAGATAATTGTTTAATTTCAGTTTGATCTATATTCCTTTAGCTACAAAAAAAAAAAAAAAAAAGACCAGCTATTTATTTTTCCATTGTGTAGATTGTTTGCATTTTACTTTTATTATTAAACCATATGTAGGTATTAAACCATATGTAGGTATTTTTTTCCATTTCAGGTACTCAGTTCATAATCTTTTTTCCCCTCTGTGTTTCTCCCTTTCCCTTTCTGAGGTGTTATCTGCCAGTCGTTAGAGTAACTTAGGCCTTTTTATGTAAGCTTTTGAGGTTTGTTTTTCATTTTTGAGAATTCGTATTCATAACTGTCTGCTGTGCATTTGGATGATCTAATCAGCTGGCAAAATGAAGCTGTGTTAATTTGTAAATTGACGTAGCTTGGCAGGCCAGCTGAGCTCCAGGATGTAGAAACTGTTACACTACTTTGCATGAAAAATACCTAATCTTTAGAGTGCTTCAGCAAGAGGCAAGTGTGGAAACATCCAGTGAGGCTCATGACATGAACACAGACCAGCTTCCATACTTCAGCATTGCAAGTCTTCTCTTCTTCTTCCATTACCCTGGTAATAGTCTCAAGGATGCAGGTTTAAGCAAAGATGTAGACTAAGTCCATTTCAGGCCACTTGCTTTTTAATATTGTGATAGCCCACCAAGTTCCTAAAGAAAGTGAATACAAAGTAGTGTTGAAGTTCCTTGCCTGCAGCTTTGGATAAACTTTGGATGAACTGAATTATCCTTCTGACTTTCCTTTAATGTCTAAGGGACAGTCAACTTGCTGTGAGAAAACAGACTGATGTGCCTTGCATCTTTGGCTCTCTGTAAATTGTTTTCCCCACTCATCAATAAAAATTAGTCAAGACACAATTGGCAGATTTACTGTGAAACTTGCAAGCTAAAATAAAGCTGACATCCTATAAAATTTAAGCTTGCGTTTTCAATCAAGTCACCTCCTTTCTGCAAAATGTTACTATGCAAACATTTGCATATGATTTCAGAATGTGTGCAGCTTTGTTCCATCTTTTTGAAAGGGACACTGGAAAAAATGTTTTTATATGCTTTTGAACAATACATCTGTCACACGTGTTCTAGGAAACAATACTCCATTTTGATGATTGGATCCTGTTATTTGATGTAGTAACTTGTTATATGGGGAAAAAAAAATGCTAAAACAGAATAATCTCTTTGCTGTTCTAAATTATGTCTACTTGCATGTGGAAAAATTGCACCAAGTATGTTTAACTACAGAAATGCCTTCTAGCATGACCTCATTCACATAAATCAGTAACTCATTGATTTTTTTAAGCAGTTGAATTCTGTGAGAAAATGATCCTTCCTGATTTCTGTCATTGTGAACTGCAGTAGTCCAGTTTGTTTCAGTTAATAAGTGGCTGTTCATTCTCTAATGCTGTGTGCTGCCTCTTGCGTTTTTCTGATGATAGCATGTCCTTTTCTAGCCTAAATCCCTACAGCTATGATGAGAGCTGCCTCAGCAGCAGTGAAGACCACATCCCACTGGCTGCCTTGCCCTTGCTGGCTGTTTCATCCCCTCAGTACCAGGATGCAGTTGCCATGGTGATCAGTAGAGCCAATCAAGTTTACAATGAATTTCTCAAATCCACAGATGGGGCTGGTTTTAATGGACAGGTAGGACTATTTTCTCTTACATCAAAGTAAAATTCCTTTGGAGCAAGGCTATTTCTTTTTAAGCCATTGTGTTGAGAGTTTTGAGTTTTGACTGTGTGACAGTGCTGCAAAGATGATGAATGAATGTTAGCATGGGATTACCTATGCAAAATGCCTTCTCAGTGACCAGCAGGAGAAAGATACTTCTGGAATCCTGTGTAGTATCTAACCTGGACTTACTCAGTTGGTAGAAGATACTGTACCTTCTCCCACAAGCATTTTGACCCCTAAGCTCTTACTAAGTGTTGCTACAAACTCTGGTAATGTGTAAGAGACTTAGTTGTGCTATAAGTACGGTATGCTAAGCAGTGAACAAGCGTGCCAGCCCAAGACAAATTATAATCGATGTTACTGAGTTCCTCACACATCTGTTATGGCTGATAGAAAAGTTGGGACACATCTGACTAAGAGCATAAGGAATCCAACATTTAACTATTGCTATTTGTTTTTTGCCTACATCACAGTAGTAATAAAACAATTGACAGTAAAGAAACTTAGAAGACAAGTGCTCAGTTGCCAGCACTGTTGCAGTTTTCCTGTGTAACTGGGAAAGTCATGCAATTTTTCTGGTGACCCACTCCTCAGTGAAGTCACTTGCAGACTTATTCCAGCTGATATGTCACAGTTACCATTCCTGCTTCTCCATCTTTAGTCTACAAAACTCAGTACTTTACTGCTTCACATAGAATGAATATGATATTGCTACACTGTGTGGGTTACTGAAAATATTTTGTGATGGGGCTCTCTACATAGTCGGAAACATGCACTTGCTTAAAATAAAGTGACCTCCAGACTTCAGAAAAAGAAAAAATACATTTAACATAGAGCACAGTGTAATCTTTGAAGGAGGGTATGTGTCTTATTATACAAATTATTTTCCATAGCAATAATAAGATTATGCTGTGGCATATCAGTATTTTTAGACTAAAATTTGGTTTGAATACAGTTTTAATATCCATAATAAACTATTCTTGCTTGAAGCATAAAAACAGCCCAGCTGCAGTGACAGAACATTATGAAAGGTGAGATTATGTAAAGAATTACACCAGTTACAGAAATAACTGTGAAAACAATTCTCTCAATAGAAATTGAGTGTTACAGGTTTTTCTTCAACAGAGCTACAAAGAAGTCTTCTTGGTGTGTTTTACAAACCATATATATTAATATTTCATGTGAAAAAGTCTTCATGACCTCTGTATGCTCCACAGAATTTTCACCATCAACAATTACCACCATTGTTAAAATGGAAGTGACTTCTCTGTTCTGTCTATAGTGCTTTGCTTTGGTCCTTAGATAGAAACCTCAACTGTACCTCTGAATAAGTCCTGTACTTCTAAAATACATATCATATAACCAAACACCCAGCTTGTGTGTATTTTTCCTTTCATATTTTGGTCTCTTCTGTCCATTTATATTGCAAGTTCATTTGATCAGAGATTGCCCTTTTGTTTTTATACAGTATCTGGAATAAGTTAACTCTATTACCTTAATACCTATAATAATGAGGATTAGAAATAGAATGGTAAATTGAAGGAGATACTGTTAACCCCCACAAAATGTGCTGCCAATTTTGTTAAGGTTACCTATATCCTATAATTTTCAGTTCTTTGTGGACTTCATTGCATGGTGTAGGGATTTGAAAACCAGAGAGTAAATCATCATGCTGTTCAATTGTATGCAACTTTAGAACCAGAATTGTCTTAGGATAGATGTTATCTTAATGTATTTTGACTTTTTTTTGTTTTGTTTTGTTTTTATCCCACAAAATGTACTCAATTAAGAGAGTGTGGTATGTGGAGATGCACTAAGAGAAGTTTGAGTTTTTTTCCTGCCTGCATCTTGAAGCACTTGTTTTTTCTAATGCACTCCACTTTGAAGAAATTGTTCACAACACCCTGTTATCCAAAATGTGTAGTTTAGTGTTGTAGCCAAGCTGAATTAAGGCTAGAAGCAAGTTAAGGTTTGTAAGGAGAGGTAGTGTCTTCTGTTAAACTAATTGGAGCTGGGAACAACAGACTAGACATTTTCTTCAGTTAAGGAATTTGAGAGAAAGTGTTCCTGGAACCTGTGGAACCATGGGGTTTGTTATCAAGGAGAAAGGTAATACAGCTATTACTTATCCTCAGACACAAGCAGGGGGACAGAGAGAAAGAATTAACTCCTATGGGATGGGGAGGTGTTCAGTGGAACTGGCTTGTGAGGTAGATTCTAGTGTGCCATAAAATTACTCCCAACCAGTGGATTTCCAATTTTAGTACTCCATGTATTTTAATTTCCGGGTCCATACTTTGAAGGTCGCTTGTATGTTTATATTAAATGTGAAGAAAGAGTGAATCTCTGCCTAATACTTCATTTAAAGTTCCCTTGTCCTGACAGGGGATTACCAATCTGGTTTTATTCTGTTGAGATCCTCTTCCATGTATTACTCTGAAGGAAATGTTAAGTGGCTTGAAATCTTTGTGAGACTGGCTGTCCGGTGATCTGGACTTTTTGAGCTGGAATCTGTCTGCAAGCAACTAGGAGAATTCTAGCCCATTTGGCAGAACTCCCAGCTGCCCAAAGTAGTTCCTGAGACAGATATTCTTGGCATACCTCTGGAGATAAAAGGAAGTGGCAGAAAGCGTCTACACATTTTCAACTACAATAAGAACCAAGGTGTAAAGAAACAGGAACGAGGGTATAGAGTAAGACAGCAACTCCTCTGCAGTTTTGTGATGCTTTTTGTTTCTTTGAAATCACTTGCTACATCTCCCCCAAAAATATTTTATTTCCTCAGGTGTGTCTCATTGGTGACTGCATTGGAGGAATTTTGGGCTTTGATGCCATCTGCTATAATTCTAACACAGCTGGTGAGAGTCGGAACAGTAGCAGAAGAGGAAGCACCAGCAGCATCCAGGTGAAGCGGAAAAATCCACACAGCTGAAATGCTATACATTCATTCCCTGGAGGAAATCAGCTCCATGTAAACCAGAGAAAATTTAAGGATTTGGTGAATTGCCATGATAGCATGGTATTTTGCTCATATATCAAAAAATTGCTGTCTGAAAACTAAGTCTGCAGCTTCAGTTTTATGATATACAGAAATCACTAGTGGAGGCTTTATCTGTAAATCTTTAAAGTAGGGTTACCAAGCACCCTTTATTGTATCCCTAGCTGTAGATGCAAGCATGTCCTCCCAATAATCTCTGGTAGTTTCCTGGTTTTGCCAAAATCTTTTTATAATTTTTTAATTTGTTCACATAAGGTCTGGAATTCCTTATGCTACTGCCTGGGGGTAGTCTAGCATTAAGATGTGTTCATGAATAAGTTTTAGTGACTGGTGAAAGAATGTCTCCTTCCTGTTAAGGAATGCAGGACACCTGAGGATCTGTGAATGGACTACTGAGCATAACAGTATCTATGAGTGCTGCATTTGGAGAGAAGGGAGGATTAATTCTAACTGTGATCCAGGAAGGATTTTATGATAGTAAAAGCACAATTTTTTAAAGTAATGGTAGCATCTAAGCTTCATTATTGTGTTCAACACTTAAGAAAGAAAATTGAAGTTCAACTAATCTTATGTACTTCAGACTCAAGTGGATATGGAGAGGGGGTGTGGTATATTAGAGTTGACACTGAGTGATGTGCCCACACTCTGTTCTCTGATGATTTTTGTAACCCTGGCCAAATTGTTTGATCTCTTGACTCTTTAGTTACCTCTCTCCTCAAAAATGGGCTCAGTGATACCAACCTGTTTAGTTCAGTTGAGAGCTGTGTGACAGGAGTACACTTGAGCAAAGAGACATCATCTGAATGTTTCCAGGAAGGAGAATTACTCACCATTTATAACATCGCTCTGGATTCTCAGCAGCCAGCTTTTGATAGCACCAACACTGAAGACAGTGCATTGCAAGCAAAGTAAATGGATAAATTGGTCCTTCTGGATCCCAGTCCTATAGTGGGGTTGATTGTGTAAGGGCTGCTGCTGAATCTGAGTGAGGATCAGGCCTTAGGGAGTATAGCTTCTTATGACTTCCCTGCTCTTATAGTTTCAACTTTCCCAAATTCCTCTCTTTCCTGATAACCACGGGGCTGCTCTTCTCATTCTTCTCTCCATCTCTTCGCTTTTTTCCTCCCATCTTCATCTCTACTACTCTGTGTGTTCAGAACTAAGTATTCTTTTCCTTCCTTATCTTGTCTTTCTGTCCCTTGTTCACAGCTTGCTCCTGTGAAACACATTCAGGAGGACTCTTGTTACTGTTTCTGCCCTCTCCCTCACTTCCTTGGTGTCTTCAGTAGACATGGATCTCACTGGAAGAGTTTGAGGTGCAGAAATATAAGAGTTTTTTACTTTACTGAAACTAGTTGGAAATAAGGATGAGACTGAGGTACTCTCAACTATTGCATTTTATGTTTTGGTTATAACCTGTGAAAATAGAGTGAATTAGGGCTATATAGTTCCCTTCTTGCTCTGTTTAATTCAAAGTGATCTACAGTAAGATAGATTGGTGATGCAGTGACCATTACATTCTCTGAATAGTTCAGTTTTCCCTTCTAGAGAGAGAGGGCCTGTAAATTTAATGAGACAATGTAAATAAGGAAATAGAATGGTAGGTTCTTCTGCTACCCCAAGTGAGTATTTGTTGGTTTGTGTGTTGTAGTCTGTTTTCTGTATTTTAATTTCCAATCTGCACTAAGTAAATAAGTCAGGATTATCCACAGTGCATAGCGACTTCTACAGTATAGGCAAAATTGTGAATGATGTCTGAGATCATGATGATTTTAGTGTGTACATACTTGTACAGGGCAGTATTTGAAAATTTACCTGCATGTTCAATAAAAGAATCTGCAGTAGAACAAATGTCACTCAGACCAAGCTAGTAACTGTTGCTCTTTAAAAATTAGTTACATTTGTAAGTGTTAAAATACTTAAAGAAAGCCAGTGTATTGCCATCATCATCTTACGACTCCTTGGGTTATTAAAGGACAGAAGGATGAAGTGAACTTGGTCCATCAGCAGAAGTGAAAACCCGAAGTCTTACATTAGCAATCATTGAGAAAACTGTCTCAGAAGAGGAGGATGGTTCTTTTTTGTTGCAACGGCTAAAAGACTCATAATTTAGAAGTAGACAACTCTTCACTAGGATGAATAGAGAAAGTTGACAATTTTCACATGGATCGAAGATAAATAAAAGCCACCTGTGAGTGACTAAATCAAATCCCACTATTGATACCATTTTACTGCAGATGAGATTTTCATTGTGGCATGTGGGGGAGTTGAAAGAGCTTGTAGCAGTGGAATACAAGCTTTTAAACTAGAAGATAGTCTCTATACTGATCACCTCAACCTTATTCTAATGTGTTTCCTAATCTCTTTCTAAGTGATCTAATGTATTTTTTGAAACTATATCTCACTCCCTGATCTGGCTGATACCAATGCTGACTTGGCTCAGTCTCTTTGACAGTATACAAGATTGTGTCATAAAGGTGAACCTAAATGCTCAAAGCAATGAGATTAGGATCTGGCCAGGTCTTTTGAATAGTTTTGAATATGGGATTTTTTTAACAAGACTTTTAAGGTATCAGACTACTATAAATTTGAACACTTTCTCTTTACCATGATGCCACAGTGTGCAGATGTTTTGACATACTCTTAGCATCTGAGGTAATTTTAACCCTTCAGAAGCAGAGAGAGCCCAGATGGTTTAGAGAAGTTAATTTCTCAGTGATAGTTCTTCTCACCAAATAACCTTCTGTCTCTGTGAAATGGTTGTCAGGCTTTCCCTATTGATTGGCTGTTCAGTAACAAGTATAAAATTAATTTGGTCCCAGTTCAGTCTGCAAGGGACTAGCACATGAACGGATTGTTTATGGGATAAAAGCCAGCTCCAGAACTGGCACTAACTATAGTTCCCAAGAATAAGACTATTCACTTGTCACAGAAGCCAGGTGGTCCTCTTGGCTGTTGAAGACTATAGGTGGAACAGTGTGGGAAGGTTAATCTCATAGGTCATATACCATTCCTGTCTTGGTTTCGTTTTTCTGCAACTCATCTGAATAATTTTGGGGAACAGATTAGGTTCTTCAACATCTCTTCTTGACAGGAAATCTCACCCCATGTGCACAGGATTGCTAATGTGCTTCAGTACTGAGTGATGTAGGGAAATAGCTGTCCTATGAACTTGTTCTTTCTGTAGCTTCAGAGAAATAGATTCAATTAACATGTTTTCCATAGTCCATCTGCGTGACTTTGGCCAAGGTTCTTGATCTATCATGCCTTGGTCCTCATCTGTAAGCCTTGCACTCTTTCTCACATCCTGTGTTTTGTCTAGTTCAATTTTCCACTCTTAGCAAGTTGCTTAAAAGTACTGAGCATGATAAAGTCTGTTTTCACTTGGAGCATTTGCTGTAATGAATTGTGAAGAGTGTTCCAATGACACTTCAGCAGTGTAATGCAGTGGCATAATGCCATGTCCAAGACGACAGGTGCAGGGAGCAGTGGTGGAGAAAATGTAAAGGGAGCGTGGGAACAGAGTTGTATGCATCAACAAATTGAACAATTTTGAATCCTGCTGTCTGGTGCAATGCCTAGCCAATTTCCCAGTGACCTTCCCTAAGGTTGTCTCACAAAGATTAAGTCCCTTGTCCTTCTAGAACTACTTTTTTCTTACTGAACTGTCTATGGCAGGTATGTTTTGGAAGACTGAGTTTTACCCATAGAAAATCAAGTTTAAAATGTGTTGATTTTGACCAAAGAAAATTAAGGCTTTCTTCTGCAGTGCAATAATAGTATGGCATGTCCTGTTAACTCACTTTAAGTGATGGTTATTATTCTAGAGTTTAACCAAAAAAGACGGAAGGGGAGCGGGGGGGAGAAAAGCAGCTAGCATTCTATTGTGTCTCTGACGGAGATGTCATGCCCAGTAAATCAACATGCACAACTGAAATGCTAGGTATGCTAGGTTAACCTTAATGAAGCATAAGAGGGGGCTTGGTTCTTTTCCCTCACAGTATTGTTCTGATAATGTCAAACTCCTGCAAAATTTTACCTGTCTTATGACACAAGAGAAGAACACACCCTCTGCAAGGACAACCTGTTATTGATGCTTAGAGCACAAAGGTGAATTGTTGACAGCTTTCAGGGATGAGGATATTAGCTTCCATTACTACAAGGTGGTCTTAGCTAGTTCTGTGGTGACAGAAGCTAATTTTTAAATATTGTGGAGAAACCTGGGTGTGACTAAAAGAAAAGCATTTGGTGCTACATCACTGTCAACTCTGTGCCTTTCCAGGAGCCAGCTTTCTTCCTTAGACCACCAGGAAATCAAGAGACCTAAACAAAAATAGTTGGTTCTGGCTTGAACTCAGCAGAAGCACATATTTTAGGTGGAGACTTTATTTTGGTTTTACATCACTTTAGCATACAAAATGGTGGGGGCAGTCAGCTGCCAACACACAGCAGGAGCCCTCACCTCCTACCTAGCCCTGTGGAATAGTTCTCTGCACTCAGTAACAACTACAAGAAGTGAGGCTTACTTTTAACATTGTAGATACATTAGTATTATGCTGAACAAGGTCCTAAATCTTACACAACTTTCATATTAAAGTTGGCATGATGTGAATTTTACTACATTACTATAAAATGCAGAAAGAGATTCCTACACGCATGTTAAGGTTTTTTCATTGTACCGTTGCAGAAATAATTGTCTGTGAACATGCTGGTCCTAAATTAATCTTCTGCAAATTATTAAGATGCTAATTCTAGTTGTATTGTATCATTCTAGTACTGCATTGTAAGAATTAGTAGAATATGGATGAAAACCAGTAATTATTCAATTAGAAGGGGTTTATCTGTATCTGTTCTCCCATTGTGCCTTCTTGATGTTCATATCTTTTGAAGTTTTGTAAAAATAGATGTCAAGCATTGTCTTATTTTGTTGATCTGAATAGAAGGAGATTTACACAGAATAGGATTACACAATTGTTAGAAAGAACCAGATCTTGCATGCCTCATGCACCCAGATCACATGCATGAATGGGGGGATTCAGTCCAATGGCATTTGTTTTGAAAAGCAGTGTTTGCATTGGCTGCTGAAATGGATGCAGGAATAAAAGTCTGGGGGTGATAGGGATATGTCAGGGAGGATGCTGGTGCAAGCTGCAAAAGCACTGGAGGAAGTGAACAATAAATAAATAATTTCCTATTTTAAGGGGTACCTTAAAGATATGGTACCACTGGTCTCCTCTTGCATCCCACAGAAGTTGCCCTTCTTAAAAAAAATCAAGTCCTGCATCCATGGAATATGATGAGCAAGACCATTAATGTTGTAATGGGCATTTTGTACCCTCAGGTAAGACCCCTTATAATAATACCTCATGATATTTATAGTTCTCTAAGGATGATGAAGTTGTGAAGGATAAAGCTTTTGTGTTACTCTTCCACCCCACCCCTAAAATTCCTGATTCTCCTTCCAGCCTTTAGGCTTCATCTCTTAATCTCTTCCCTTATCTTCTACTGCAGAGAGAAAGTCTAACCTCTTCCACCCTTTCTTGGATAAAGTGAGGTCAATTGTATAAATGCAGCAATTTTGTATAAGCTCTGTCATATTTTGGTCACTGTCTAAATCCTCCTTTCACTCTGTTCATTCTCTGAAGGATAATCCCCTCTTAGCAGAGGACTCCAGTCTGGGTGGCAGCAAACGCCTGAGCAAAAGCAATATTGACATCTCGGGAATCCTGGAGGATGAGAAGCCAAGGCAGCCGTTGCCACGGAAACAGAGTGACTCATCCACCTATGACTGTGATACTGTAACACAACATCATGCTTTCCTGTCTAGGTAACTAGTGTTTGATGACTGAGTGAAAGAAATGGGTTTGCCATTGGAGGGAGGCTGTCAGCACCAGAGCAGCAGAATAATTTTTGTTGTTTGTGGTACGCCTCTGGAGGTTTGTTTAAAGTCCCTGTATACCCCTCAAAGAAAACCATAGATATAGTGTGTCTAGTATGAACTTACTCACATGTGGAGATTTTTTTATTTAATCTTTATTCAGTTGTGAGAGTTTTGAATGCAAAACTGAATGCAAATTGTTCCATTTCTTCAGTGCAGCCCACACAAATCAAGATGGATGAATGCTTTTTAATTCTAGATTTCTGTTATGTTTTTCTTTCTAAATATCCCTCTGACTTTACTTACAGGCTTTCTGTTATTCTGTAAAGAGTGAGATAATTGCTTTAGGTGCTCCCATTGGACTATGAGCTATTCAGATCTGCTCTAAAACAAAAAGGAAACAAGCCTGCATAAACATTTGGCTTAAATGAGGAGGTTGGAGGAGAGTTAACTAGCTTTCTTGGATCCTAAGAAACCTGTAAAACACAGATGTGATGGGAACATAAGAATTCCCATTGTCTCATTGTTTGTCTCATTGTTTCTGCCTGTTCTATGATAGTTGGGTTTTTACTTATCTGAACTGTGCTTTTTTTTCTTCTATCCATCATCTCATTTCCTTTATTTAATTGGGAGTGATGCCAAGGGAGAAGTCTTACTGTGTGTTGAAGTTTCAGTTCTGCTACAGTTGAGTGTAGTGCAGACTTAGTGCTGTGCTTTACTTCAAGTCTGGCAGTTCTGTTCGTAGCAGTTTAAGGTAATTTTATTTTCTTGCTTTGAATGTACTTTGCTTTGCTTTTGTTGACCATTCTTTTATCTTCAAACCATTGAGTTTTTCAATATGTTATAAAGTGCCTTCCCTCTTAGGTAGAATGGTTGTTTTTTGCTTGTCAATGACTGAAAACATGAAGATTTTTTTGGCCAGTCACTGTAAGGTTCTTGTATAGAAGTACTGTGTTATGTTTAAAGCACAGTGTTGGCTTGTATAAAGCACTTCAGACTTGGAGGATAATAGGATAATTAAAAGACAAAGATAACAGTTTTCTTCCAAGCCTTTGTAAATTTCCTGTGTATCTGTGATGTTGAACTAAAAGCTTTATGTGCAGATGCACTTGACACTTTTCCATCTGCTTGGTTATCGTTCATTCACATTTTGAACTCCTCAAAATTTAGGCTCTTGCTAAGTTAATGAGGACTAGTTGGACAAACACAAGCTAAAGATGTCAGAAAAGATACCTTGGTAAAATAAAGAGAGGGGGGAAAAAACACAAATCAAACCAAACCATGTCATCCTCTCACCCCACACTGTACATAGAGAGAGAGATTCCAAGCATTTGGTTTGCTGTCTGAGAGACTTGCATAAGATCATTAAGACTTTTCTCCCCATGAGCTCATTTACTGAAATTTAGAGATGCTGTGTCAGTGTGAGTAATGAGGTTACAAAGATTGCTCTTTCACACAGAAGTGCCCTTGTCCTACACCCTGATTTTATTTCAGCATGTCAGCTTGTGCTTTGTGTCCAGTTGCTTTTGGCATAGAAAGGTAACTCCAAACTGGATTTAATTCTTGGCTTTCTTCATTTCTATACTAACGGGGCCCTAAGGTTGGTCCCCAGAGTTTTAGTTAATAACATCAGCTTATAAACTGAGAATGTCACTAGGTTTTCAGATTGAAAGAGAGGCCTGGTGTCTTGGCCTGATTTGGGACCAGTATTCAGGATTTCTGGGTTCTGACTCATGGTTGGTCACTGACGCAGAGTATAGGGTGCAGGTAACTCGTGAGCACTTCAGTTACAGCTCTGGCTGAAGTGAGTATGGCCAGCACCTCTCAGTCAGGTTCTGCACCTTCTGAAGGCATGTTTTGCTCTATCTCATGACTGGACAGCAGGAGCCTATGCTATGTTTCTTCTAACAAATATAGTTGTTTCATCTCCAGCAGAACTAAATAAAGGGCAAGTCTTTTCTCTGTCAGTGAGGAATAGGTGATTTGTATTTACCTCATGCATGTATGGCATGCAAAGTAAATGAAAGTGTTTAAATCACTTAAAAGATTAAAAGCTGCCTATAAACATCACTAATTTTAACCTGTAATAGATGAAAAGAAGTGAAATTCTAGTTCAGAGCTCAGGGAATGGATTAGAATAATGCTTTTAATGTACCCATGTAACATTCTTTATGACTCTAACCTTTTAATACCATTGTCCTTATACAACTTGAGTAGGTTAGAATTTGTAGCAGAAGTTTCAGAATAAGCTTACATACATCTGTACTGCTAAAAGGCAGGGGAGGTAAACTTCAATCTTAAGAGTCCTTGTGTAACTTACCAATAAGTATTCTGTAGAATAACTGGAAAACTCTTGCATGTTGAAGGTAGTAAATGTACTGAATAGCCACACTGGAAATCGTAAGTGGCTGCTATACTCCAGTATCTACAGTTTAAGGAATATTGCTTTGATCTAGATACAGATGCTAGAGCTTTCTAAGCAGCCTGTTTTGGGAATGTTTTTTTTCTCTGGATGCCCTCTTCATTATTGTTGAATCAGTGCATTTTCTTTGCTCAGCATCCACTCAAGTGTGTTGAAGGATGGTGCCGACTTTCCTCCTGTGAATTCCAGTCTCTCAGAAGTAAACCTGGGCCGATTTGAATTTGAGGTGTCTGATTTCTTCCTGTTTGGATCTCCACTTGGTTTGGTGCTGGCCATGAGGAGTACTGTTCTGCCTGGCCTGGATGGTAAGCTCTTTCTGGGGTTAGAATACAGGCTGCTGAATGGTCTATGTAAACAAAGGGACTCATATAAGAATTAAATAAAGGAGCCTAGTTAAAGACTAGGGAGTGAGGTAAGTTTGTTTCTTTCACAGATGGGAGTGTTAGTGTAGATAGGTACTGAAGTGATGAAGGTTATTCCAGCAATGTCACTGCTCACCCGTTTACAGTATTGTGTCTTTTGTTCTGCTCTTAATCATATGTTCCATATCATATAACATCAAGCTTATACCTCACCAAGGATCAGTCCTTGAAAAAAGATAATAAAAATAACATCTGTGCTTGGTTGAGCATTGCATCTTGTTTACGTCTGGCTTGATGGGTAAATTTGGCCCCCAGGTGTGCTGTTTGTGAGCTATTTTTTCCTGTCTGGTAACAGAGCCTAGTGATCAGACACATACAGAATTTTTTTGTTTTATTTCTAAATACATCTGGATTTTTTCAATTTTTCAGTGAAAGCAAGAGTTTACTTTTCAGAATTCAGTGTGTGCTTTGCCTCTTTGCATTGTATGAGGTTTGGATAGCCCAGCATCTTCATAGGAAATGATATGTTCATTTATCAGGTGAGGGGGAAAAATCAGTTGCGGTAGTGAGAAGAGACAGCAATTTGGGACCTACGATTTTCTTCTTCTCAATTTATAGACTTTTGAGTAATGTCATTAGACTGAGCTTTCAAAGTCACATTTGATTGTGAGACTGAAGTGGAATGTAATATAAACTGAAAATCATTTTACCTGCCATAATTAAAAGAACTACCAAACTCATGCCTTTCAGAGCCTTTAGAAATCTGGTAGGATTTATTAGCAAATTTCATTAACATACCTGAGAGCATAATTAAACTCTCATTTTGCATTTCATTCCTCATATTTGCGGTACTCAGTTTTGTTCAAATAAAAAACCAAACCAAACCAAAAACAAAACAAGAAAAACCAAAACCAAAGCTCAACTAAAGAGAATGGGAGTTTGTATATACTTTCCCACAAACTAAGGCTTTTTGCTTCTGTCAGAGAGCTATCAGGGAAACAGAATGAAAATTACTTGAGTGATGTCTGTCTTTGGAAACTGCACTGCAATTTGTTTTTCTGTCTTAGAGATTTCTTTACAAGATTAGCAGCATTTTCCTCTGAAGATGGTGGGGGTTTTGCAGGGGGGTTTGTGACACAGAGTTGAGGAGGTTTTTTTGTAGGTATGTGGAAAAATCGTATCAGTATTAATTTGTCTGCATGGATTCAAATTCTTTGAGCTAGAATTTGTTTTGTTTTGTTTTGTTTTTTTTTCAAGATGTCATGGTTTCCATTTAATGGATTGGAATGGACAACATTTACTCTGGAATCACATATGAAATAGAGCATCTGTTTCATTAGATAGTTTTTTAGAGTCTTGGAGGGCAAATGCTGATTAGCAGATGCCAGTTACTGCACAATATGTAGAAAATACTGTCAGTGTTTGGTACAAGAGTACTTCAGTGTCAGACATTGACACATCTTTTCATATAGCCAGTGGTGGCTGTCAGCAGTTGGTCGTGTGTGGTAAGCCCTCCCATCAGTCAGTCCTGATGAACACAGATGAAATTTGCATTTCACTTCAAGGGAATGTACACATATATTGAAAATGTGTGAAAATTTAATGGAATTCTAGCCTTTTACAAGAGGGATTGCTCTGAAGTGATAAAGTTTTTGTGTGTAATTCTCTGTGCAATCTGAAAGTTTTCCCTTGAATGTTGTGCTGCATATGAAAGCATTTGTGTGTTCAAAAGTGTGACAAAATTAAAGTCATTGTTGGCCATATAAACATGCCCTTTAAAAGTAATGTTGGATTCACAGAGGTGAGAGCTGCCTTCCTGAAACCTTATATTGGGAAGTTGGATCACTGGGACAGGGGAAAATCTGCAAGTTGATCATAACCTTTCCCTGTATGAAATCCAGGCAAAGCATGGACAAGGTAAAAATTAGGCTAGTGGGATTTGTCTCAGGTGGCAATTTTAAAAACAAAGTGACTTACCATATTTTGACTATGTTTTTTATGAAAATGTCAATGGTTTTTAGAATTCAGAATATATCATGAGCATTTAGTTACATCCACAAAGTGGCACTGCTCTACCTTAGGATGGTTGTAATGATAGGGTGTTTTGCACTTACTCCTAATGGGAACTACTACTGCTAAATGCTGCAGTGGTAGGAAGTAATCTCATTTGGAACATGATGTGCTATATTTCTTTGCCAAGTTAGAAGAGGGGTATGAAAATGGCTGATACCTCAGAGGACCTGCTTTCTTGTTGCCACTAAATATCACAATTTGCCCTATGCTGACAACTTTCATAACCCTGCTGTTTGTGTTCCTGGCTTTCTTTGTCCCTGTCTGCCTTCTGTGCATACACATAGAAGGCAGACAAATACAGAAAAAGTTCAGTTCCTGTACAAGAAGTATTAGAACATGTAATTAGGCGACTGATTTAATGACATTAAGCATTTCCTTTGTGTTTGACTCTGACAGTTAATATTAAGCATGGTGAGAAAGAAAGAATAAACCAATATACTACCCACTAGGGAAGGAAGCTCTAGTTTTTTTTGGGAATACCCAGTTTACTGCTCTATTTTATAAGCACTAGATCCCTAAATACATACATCAAAGTTATAGGTTTGCCAAAATATGGTCTTAATTATAATGCAGTACAATGCTTCACCTCACACAATGTATTTCATACTACTTGGGCTCTGCAAGAGAATTATACTTTCCTTGCAAAGAATTAATTTCTGCTGTGCTTAAATGCTTTCACACAGGTGACCCATTTCCATTTTTTCTGGCAAATACTAGGAATGAAGTACAGCTTGAAGAAAGCCATCAAAAGTAGTTTTGGATCTTTGCAGTCTTGCTGGAGTTTCCCTTCTGCTTCTCTTGTGATGCAATTAACTGGAATACATGGGAGAATTTACTCAGTTTTCATGGCACAATAAACTGATGGGTTCATTTTGTACCCTACTTGAAGAATATGTTAAGAAAAAAGAGTACTTGATAGTGATTCCCAGAGAACTGTGGAAAGGTACTTCACAGAAGAATCTCACAAGCCATAGTTTTTGTATATAGCTGGCTTAATGGTGGGAAAGGGACAGAGGTGTAATGAAGCTCCTATTTATTTGATAGTGGGAAAAGGAAAAGATTCTATGGTGTCCTCAGCAAGCAGTCGTATTATCTCCCACTTTCTTTTCATCTGCTACCAGGTGTGCTGATTGATACACAGAGCCATCCTTTCTCGAAAAGTCAACATACAACAGACATCAAAAATAGGTGTTGGTTATCCTGCAGCTGGGAACCTGGTAATTGCCACTGTTAACAATCTTAAAATGTTTTACAAAGAAAAACTGGGGGTAAAAAAACAACCCATGAAGCTTCACTTAATGCCCCCAGAGACACCTGTATTGTTCACTTTGTGCAACAAAAGTCCAGAACTGGAATTAAACAGAAGTCCAGAATAGATTTAAAGAGATGTTGCACCATCCTCAAGAGTCAGTCAGTGAATGCAAAATACAATGTACACTGCATGTGTAAAGCAGAAAAAAGTTCATGATTTGGCAGAACTGGATTGATCTAGGTATATTCTTTTTGGAAGATTTGTCCCAGAGCATTTCTTGAGAAGCTATGAGTACTGACATCTTCATCATCATACTCAAAAGTATCTTGAGAAGGTTTTTACCTTCTCAATAAAAGGTTAATTGTCTTACTAGTTTGAGAAAAAACATTATGTGCCTGTCCTGTAGCCTTTATGGGACAAACATTCATATAGAGCAGAACAAAACAAAGTATTGCTCTGATTCGCTTATGGCAATGCTGCTATTAACAACTGTTAATGTAATGTTGCTATAACATCAACATAGTCTATATCAAGATTTTTCCCTATATACCAGTAATAGCAGCGAAAACTAGAACATTAATTTTTAGTGTCCTTCCAGCAACATGGAAAGCACTTGAGAAAACCTACAAGGGTGTAGTGTTTTCTGATACAGCTCTTAGTGACTCTGTGACTGCAGCAGAGGAAGATGTACAGCATCAAGTTTGCTCATCGTAGTTTTGCTTATATACAAATACCTTGACTGTTGCTCTTGAAAATGAGAAAGAACCTAAGTAGTGTAGTTTTGATTATTACTTTTTTTTTAATTCCATGAAGAGTGCTCCATTAGATGTAATATTCCGTGACACCTTATATTAAAGCTCTCACATCTTTCTTCATGATTTCCAGTTAAGTGTGTGTTTGGCTTGTGCACGGGAACAATGCCGTGCCAACCATGTCTTCTAAAAAGAAACATCATATATGTTACCAAGTTTTTGTTATCACTACAAGGAAATAGTAATTCTAGTAAAAGAACATTTAGGGTTTATTGTGTAGCAGGGCAGGTTTCGAACACATCTTGCTTGCGTGGGGTTCATGAAGAACACACATAATATTCCCAAACATATTTTATAAATACTTTAGTTATTCCTTTACTTTTGTAGTTAATAAACTGACTGTTGTAACATGTAATGCAGTACTATACAAAACATACTAAGTTTAATGAGCCTATAATGAATTGATTTGCTCACGCTGGCAAGATACAGTGTGAAATGTGATGTGGTGCCAAGTGACTACACCAACCATTTTCCAGACCTTAGCAGTCTCATGTGATCACCCATCTGAGTATAAGTTACACTTTGGTCCTGTGTGTTTATTCAAAGAGTCCTTATTAGCTGAATAAGTGATTTTCAGATTTGCATTTACAGTTGCAGCCCAGAAACCTCAGGAGCTGCACACCTTCCACAAGAACCAAAACCACTGCTTTGCTGTTACAGTGTAAACAACTTCATTTCTATACATTAGCTTGCATAAGGTGACTTCAAAAACTGCAGTGTTTTCTGTCGTCTGCTTCTGCTGTCACCTAGATTTAATTCCTCTGGAGATAACAGGCCCATCGGACCATTTTGCTGGTAAATATTTGAAGTGCAGAGCATCATAGCTGTAATACTCAATAATATATTTACAAGATTTTTAAACTTCTTTTTCCTTCCTTCTGTCTATTTCTCTGTCTGGTCTTCACGTCGGCTACATGCCTGCATCTCAGATTGTGATGTCGCTGTAAACTCCTTTGCAGTGAAGTGTTCTTTACGTACAAAATAGCAAACAATTGAGTTAAATTACTTGTGGCCAGATGTATGCTAGTCTAGGGTTTGCAGAAGACCATATTAACCATGTTTCTTTTGAAAATTGTGAAGGGGCAATACTGAACTCTCTGTCACATTCTCATCCAAGCATGCCAGGTCCGCCCAGCCTGCAGCCAAGTGTACAGTTTCTTTCACTCTGCTGACCCCTCTGCCTGCAGACTGGAGCCATTGCTGGAGAAAAGATTCCATCTCCTGCCGCCATTCAGCGTCCCACGGTACCAGAGATACCCACTGGGGGATGGAAGATCTCACCAGTTAGGTACAGTGCATATTTTTATAGCTCTCCTTAACTGTTGTTCTCTTAAGCATTCTCTCCTTACACAGCTCAAGATTTGAAATACCAATGTGCTAAAATGCGAAAAACAAGTCAGCTGGGACAGAATGGCACAGACATTTAGCAAGTATGGAACCATGATGCTACTTACGTTAAGGAGGAGTTGGAGGATGATACCACTGCTTTAGTTCAAGTCTCACTTGCAAATTTCCATGTCTTTGACTATAATTTCAAACAATTTATTTTTACTATTAGTTGACCTTTGCCTAGATCTTCAGATACTGTTTCTCTTGGTTGCCTGTGGTCAGTTTCTTGGAGATATCTACTAGGACAAATCAGAGCACGGGGCAAATTGTCTTTTGATTGCTCTTTTCCTAGGTAGGATACTAAACAATAGTTATGCTAGGTAATAAATGATTGACGTGTCATATTATGCAAAAAAGGAATTGATCAGTGTGTATCTGTACATGCATGCACGTTAGATTTATTCTTTTTGCTACAGATTCAGACATGAATTCAAACCTCAACAGGATGTTTTGAAAGGCTTTTCAGGATTCAGAGTTCAGGACTGCAGGCTAACGTAGTAAAATGGCAGTGTTTTCTATTTGTTGGCACTAGGAGAATCGTATCATTAGGAACCTGTTCTGTGTAGTAGAATACACATAGCTCCTTTGTTTTGACTGCTCAAATACAGTGTACATCAGATGCAAATCAGTCTATCTTTGAAAAGCAACAGTTGATCTTGAGTTGCCGAAGGTTGAGTTCTAGGTGTGGGCTTCACTGAAACGTCAAGATCTGACTGTTCCTTGGGAATTCACTTAAGGAATACCTAAGGTGAGGGACAGTCCAAACTAGGGAATATGTGCTCTCTCCTCATGCCCATGTCTGAGTTTTCAATGGAAGTATATACCCTGCTTTGCATTCTGACTTGGAGGAGTTACAAAGCCTGACTGTACACATGGAAATACTGCTGGCTAGTTAGGCGTAAATTCTGTCACTGAGTTACATCTAAGGCTATCTTGAAAAGTTGAATCCTCCTTTAAATAACTGTCATAGGAAGAATAGTTCCCTTAGGCTGCTTTTCAAATTGAAAACCAGCTTTGTTGTGTTAAAGTAAACCCTTCAGATACAGGGATTCTTGAAGCAGAAACGTTATAAGTGATTTGGAAACAAATCTTGTCTTTTTGAGTTCATCTAAGGCACTAGGTCAGAGGATTCTGCTACAGAGAATGTAAATCTGGAGACCTTGTCTGTTGGATGTATTATAAAATAAAAATCCCTGTTTACTAATGATCAGCAGGTGTTCATGGTATGGTGTTGTACTGAAACTCCTGTGCAGAATTAAATCATTGCTGTGCTTTACACCTAGGTTGCATTACATTTCAATGAATGTGAAAACCTCTCATTTAAATGCAAGTGCTTTGAGATCCTTTTTGGAATTTAAGGTTCTTCATTCACATAGGATTCATCCTAGTGACTACAATTTTGTGTGTGTGTGCGTGTCTTTCTCAGGTACCTAGGCTTGTGAAAGTATTTCTTAAAATGAGAGCCTTCATGGTATCAACTGGAATGGTAGATTACTAATCAGTTATGGTGAGACATAGTTACACCAAACTCTAATTATTATGCACTGCCCAAAACTGCCTTTTCTGATAATCTTTCATGTCATTAAACAATCTCATTCCCTGTTCCTTTTCTCATAAGAACTGATGATTAAAATAAGAACAATTCTGTTGTCTGCCTGACATTCCTGATAGGTGCCTCTGTGGAAGAAAATTCTGATCTGGAAGCTGCACAAAAAAATTTATTACTAGAAGAGAATTTCACCATATGATTCATAGGAACAGTTCAGTGATAGAAGGCTGGAGAACATGATGAAAACTGGGGGTTGGGGTGGATTTCTTTAGCTGTCTTTCAGTTCTTGCCAATCAAATGAAGCTCTTGGAGCCAGCTGCTCTGTGCATAGAGTTTATCTTGAAGATTTTAGTTTAGCAAATGTACTTTTGCTGTTGAGATTCAGGAAACATCTAAGACTTAAATGTCAGGACTTAGAGCAGAGCACACATTTATCTGGAAGATCGCCTTTTGCATCCAGCAGGCATCAATACTTAGCACTAAGTCTGCACCCAGTGTCATTGTGTTTGTAGTAACATAGTAGTGTTTGTGTTTGTGATGGATTGATCTATTAAGAGCTTGATGATGATGAAAGCTGACTCTTACTAGACTTGATTTTGACAATCACAGAGACTTCAATATCCCACAGAATTATTCCTTTTTCTGTCAATTACTTGGTCAGTTGCAACTGTATTTTGTTGATACCATTCCTAAAGTGGATGTGATGACATTATTAGGCTATTGATAAAATAATAAAATTATTTGAGGCATGATTTAAATTCTTAGATTCAGGTTTCTGAATGTGTAGGAGAGTCAACATATTATATGCAAAGAAAGAGAAAACTTAGCAAAGATTAAGTTTAACATCTGAGATATCTTTGACCTATGCACTGGTTAGATAGAATAGAAATAATCACAGAAGGCATCCCACTTTTTCAGAACTCACCTCTTAAGGGGATATTTATCTCATGTTGCTGTGATATACAGACAAGTGAAAGTAAAAGAAACTACATTGAAAGCACTACCAGACATATAGAGCAAGTGGAGAAAACATTTATCTTCATAACTTTCATCTGTGGTAATTGCTGACAGAAGACATAGCAATAGATAATGGTTCAGACAAAAATGCACTTTATTAATTGGTGGTTTGGTTTTTTGGGTTTTTTTTTTGTTTTTTTTTTTTTTTTTACTACAAGGGCAAGGTACGCTGTCTTGACCTTTCATTAAACAGCAGCTTTCTCGGCTGCTGTTTAGCTGACATTTCATAATCAAAGTGCTTTTGTAGCTACTATAAGTGAGCCTTAGCTTTGTGACAGGCCTCTGATCTACCTCTAGTCATGTCTTTTGACACTTACTAATGTGTGGCATTTAATTTCTTTTTTGCTTTGCTGATGATGGCATGATGCATTATATCTACTTAAGGGTTAAAAATATAGTTATGTATTAATTCAAAACACCTGGTTTCAACCCAGCCTACTTTTTTGACATTTGACATAGCAGACCATAGATAGTTATAATCCTCTTTACTGTTTGAGCTTCCACCTCACGTTGTACTTTGCAGCACAACTGAAATAATTGCAATTCTTGCAAAGTTTTATTTATAAGGCATATGCAGAAGTGCCAGTCTAGACTATGGCTGATCCAACTGGTCTGCTTAATTATGTGTAGGTAAAAATAAGATCTAAAAGCACAGTACTTCTCCGGTTTTATATGCATAAATTAAAGGATTATTAATTTTGTCTGGAGATGGTTACTGTGTGGTCTTGAGATGGTTGTTTTGCCTCCTTGTATTGGCTGTAACTATCATAATTATCCAAGATGAGGCTCTGTAAAATGATCTGCCTTTATTTTATTTCTTATCAATCATGCCAGTAAATTTACATTAGTAGGATAAATGGTAAGAACCTTCAGTGACTCTAAGAGCCATGAGATAGGTTACACCATTACAAAATAAACAAGTTTCAAGGCACCTGTCCTCTTCCCAAGCTGGTCTTAAGCTAGTCAGTAATACGGAAAAGGCTAACAGATACATTGGCTGACAACATGTTCTACATTCTGTGTGAAGTTACTATTTTTACTTCTCTCTCCATTTCCATTTTAGTGGGAATGAAAAACCAATACTACTACAAAACTATAACGAGGGAGGAAGGATTAGGTTGGGGTCAACTTACGACTGTTTCAGCATAGCAACAACCATTCAGAAGCAGAAAATTTATTTTAAAAGCACAACTTTTTTTATTTCTGTCAATCTTTTGGAAGGGCAAGCAGAAAGAATGCATCAGAACACTGCGAATCATGATACAGCATTTCATGGTGATATGGCTCTCATTTATGGGATTCATTGCACCTTCTGTGGAATTTTCTGTTGGCTGATGTCTGGATCAGGGTTCTGGTTCAGATAGACCCCTAGTAGGGTGCAGTTTGGCAGCTTCCTTGTTTCTTACTGCATATGTCCGTGGATTCTGATGCTCTCTTCAGTGAACTGATTTACTGTGGTATTTTAGGCCACATGAATTAGGGTTTGTTGTCAGTTTGTTTGTTGTTTGTTGACCAGGTGCCTTGCTGTTCAGTATTTAGTATGACATGGAATCAGACCTTTTGCTTCTTTGTGCTGCTTCTTTCACTACAAAGATCATATAATACTTTCTCAAATATGAGGTAAGTAGTAGGAAGGCAGCATGGTGTTTTCTCTTCAGTTGTCTGTGTTGGAGTCTATACAGTTTGCCTGAGACAAGGGAAGAAATAAAATTATCCTTCCATTGTTTTTACCTCCATCAAGCTTTCCTGTAGCCACACATAGCTTTCCTTACTGTATGGCATCAACAAGATTCCCCTGAAAGAACAGTACATTGCAGTTTCTTTAATGAAAACTCAATGCCCATGTTCCCATGGAAACTACAATTGACCATGTTCTGTCTAAACTACATACCCATCACAAAGTGTTAAAATTTAATTGTTTCTCTGATTCAGTTGCAGGGCAGCTCCTTGTGTTGTCTCATGCAGTTGAGATATTCAGACTTATGTCAAAACAAGCCAGAATCTTTCTAGCTATATCTGCTTTCTGGAAAGGAGGAGATTGTAGGGAGTTATGCTGCTATTCCTCTTCATTCAGTGGTGACGTGTTTTACCAGTTCTGATAATCTACAGACACTTATGCTTCCAGTGTACTTTTTAAGGAATGGTGTCCTTGAAAGCAGCAACTTCTTGTGTTTTCCTCTGTGAGCTATTGAGGTATTCATTGCATTGAGAGTTGGTAAGACTTAAAAAGTTGAAGAGGAACTTATTCTAGGCCTCCACTACATAAAGAATCGTATGGCATAGTCCCCAGTGCAAGACCATGTGAAAGATGCGCACAGTATGATTACAGTTATTTGTCTAAATGGGACTGAAATACAGTCAGAAATAGAGCAATACATCATCAAGGGCTCTCTGCTTTCTTTTGCACTATGTGAATTGAACTGGGTGTCCTTTTTCTTTTGTTCACTGTTTTAATCTCAGCAAGAGGTTTGTTCTCTGAAAAACAACTCTGAGGAGTTAGGTGCTTTTGATATGCACTTTGCTGTATATCCCGTCTCTCAGTTGAGGTTCTGCCTAGGTACAGGAGGGATGTGCAGACTGCTTCAAGAAAAATTATCAGTAATGCTTTTATTTAAATGCATGTCTGTTCTTGCATGTTTCAGAACACCTCGGCAAGAAGGCTGTGTTTTGTTTCATTAAGTAGAGGTATTAGCCATGGCCCATAGTCTTGCCAGAGTGGCATGAATAAATGAGAATTCTGTTCTATTTGGGAACATGCAAATCAGTAGATAGCTTTGCTGAAGGTTCTCTTTCAAAGTCATTTTGCTTATGTCAGGAAGAGGACAAGAGAAGTATCAGAGACTCTCAGGGCTGTCTAGCTCTTCTCCTCAGAGAATTACTTTAAAATGGATAGTGTTGAGTGTGAAGTAAAATGGCCTTCCAAAATCACTACCTAGTTTTGAAGATCTTAGCCAAAAGCACCCATCTGCCATTGCATTTTCATGGCAGTAGGGTGTGCTTTCTCCATTTAGTCATGCTGTCTCATGCTGTCATCCTCACTCTGAAGGAATTTCATCCATGGTCATTAAATCTGATATTATTCAAGAAAACTCATCAGCACTGTATTTAGGGAAAAAAAAAATTACACATACACACACTAGTTTCAAAGTCATGTTGATCATCCCATTGGTATTTTTTTAATATTTTCATTTCTGTAACCTGCAGGTGATGCTATCCACAACCACAGTGCTCTGTTCCTTGAGAACAGCTCTTTGAACATACCTTTCTCTCAGGAGAGTCCTGGGTCTCCAAATGCATCTGATCAACCACAAGGAAAAACAAGAAAGTTGAGCCTGGCCAGCACAAACAGTGAAAACTCAGGGTCAACAGAAAGCTTGCCATCAGCACACCTCACCAACAGTGAGTGAAGTCTTGTGCCATGAGCTGTCTGATATGGTAACCACCCTTACTTCCACATCTTTTCTGTGGAAAAGTTTATTTCAAAAAGGCAAATTACTGGCTTGGAAATTTGGGGATAATGAGAACAGCCTAAATTGCTGCAGTTTTAAATAGCACAATTTAGTTTCTTCTGTTTTTAATTAAGTAGATAAAGTAATGGAAGTGATATCACGGTTTTATATTAAGGTACCACTCATAAATAGTAGTTAAGGGTTTCATGCTAACAGGGGTTTAAAAGCATGTTCCAGGCATGAGGAAATACAGATAGTTAAGATTTGTTACCCATAATTAAAAGTGCTATAAATCATTATGTTGTCCTATTATAAACTATAGCCATAAATCAATATTCCATTTACTATTTGGGAAGCATTTGAAATTCTTACTCTATAACATGGTCATAAAAGTACTAGTCTTTCACTGTACATTATCTGTGGACTGGGAAGCAATGGCAATCATGCTGAGGTGGTTTCTGCTTCCCAGAACTTGGCCCCAATAGAACTGTTTAGATTGCAGGCATTTAAGTGATGAGGCAGTCAGTGAAAACAGTACCTTTTTGTTTGATAGATACCTTTAACAGACTCTAAATGACAAGATTGAAAAAGCAGACGACTTCATTCAGTCATCTAGCTTAAACAGACAGACAGAGATTTTTTTTAAGAAGATACAGAAATGTGATGTTATTTTGTTTGGGTTTTTTTGTAGTTACTGCAAAGTGGTGGGGAACAAAACGAATAGATTATGCCTTGTATTGTCCAGATGTGCTGACAGCCTTTCCAACTGTGGCCCTGCCGCATCTCTTCCATGCCAGCTACTGGGAATCAACAGACGTTGTGGCCTTCATTTTAAGACAGGTCATCAATCTCTTTATTTTTTCTCTCTGCATTGAATAACCTTGTGATTGTTAATTGCATCTTCCAAGAGTGATAAAATCTTTTAAACTCTAGTTCAGTTAAATGGCTAACTGGTTACATCACGTACAACTGGATGTAGGAATGACAGATGCAGATTTATGGGAGAGGTGAAGGGGACAGCAAGCCCACCATTAGCACTGCTGTCTGGTGTTCTTACTGCTGACTTGTATGACTGGGAACAGTGCACTGTCATCCATACCTTACCCCTCCCATGCCCTAGATCAGTATAAACCTATGTTATGTATTAATTTCCTCCTGTTTTTGAAGGAATAAGCTATCTCCAGCCTTACTTAATTATGTATTTCCCTACTAAATATCAAATTATTAGCATACTTTTGATAATAAACCAGCAGTTTGAAAGCACTGCTCCCATAAGAAAATCAAGTCTCTCCTGGAACTGTACTAGAGTATTTTGAGGCATTGCATGCACTGTCTCCTCAGTATTTATTTCTGAGTCGTATGATGGGACTCTTGTTCCTACTGTGTCTGTAATTGGACAGCAACTCACGATGACTTAGGGATGATTCAGTGCTCCGACCTCTAGAGAAGGTGGTGAGGCTGAGAAATCTCACCTCGGGTTAAAAAAAAAATGCAAGTGATGTTCAAGGAAACCTGTAGGATGTGTCCCTCCAAGAACCCAAAGTGACTCTCACCTAAAAGCTAGTCACAAGCAGTTTAATTTGGATTAATCCAAGAATCAGTGTGTTTTTTATATCCGGTGAATGATGAAACAGTTACTGCCAGGCAAACAGTAGAGAGAATAATGCAGAAAACTGCACAGTCACTTTTTTTCATTAAATCAGTTTGGCAGGTGTCAGTGTGCCTGCCTCTCTCGCAACTCATTTTAGGTGGTCTCTGAGTGTTAAATCCCTCCACCTCCTGCTCCCAGTGCTGGTGACAGTGATGTTAGTTCCCTGGAGGCTCACTGGTAGCTCCTGGGAATGGAAGCTCAGTGGCTGAGTTCTCTCCAGTCCAGGACTGTTGCTGAGTCATACTGTGCAATTGTACTGAGCCCCCATCTTTATACAGCACTCTCTGAGTGGAGTGTGCAGCAGACAGTCTGTCTAGTAGCTGGACCACTTGCAGAGTTTTTGATTGCTGTTTTTAACAGATTAAATTCTAAGAGTCCTTCAACCTCTTGCAGTCCTTTCAGAGCATCCTTTAGTATATCTGATTCCAGTCAAAATGTATCATTAAGCAATGCAGAATTTTGAAAGCTAACTTAAAAAACTTTGTTTATAACTAACATCACCATAATCAAGACAAAGCAGAAGTTACTGAAGAGTTTTTCCATGAACGAGAACAGTCTCCAGAACAGGAATCTTACTTGATGCTCATCCCAAAGTAGATGAGGAGTTTCTACTGGAAGTGACAGGATGCAAATCCCTGTTTTTTTCTATTCAAGGGCTCTAGATAATTGTACATAGATGTTTCTCCTCTCCTTTGCAGCTCTCCTACAGATCTTGTCATCTTGTCTTCTCTCTCAGGATGTTTTCTGCCTTGAATCCATCAGAACATTCTCCAGTCTTTCCTTTCAAATGCTTCCCAGATCCCAGCTGTCTGTTAGCAATCATTCCTGATTTATTCTACTTATTATTTTGGTGCATTCATATCAAGTTGCATTGCTGTGTCTTACCTAGCCTTGTATGTGCATTACAGCTTTTAGAATTTAATAAGAACTTCAAGCATTTGGAATGTGCCTGTAAAGCAATATGTGAACTTACAGCACTACATAAAGGACTGGTTAGTTCCAGCATAGTCTGAACATTCTGCCCTTGCTGGGAGTTACAGTTAAGGCTAATGGCTCCTCAGTCCCCTGTGGACACATATCTTTCCTGCACATGACCTCCAGTGAAGAGAATTTATGCCAATTTGTTAAAAAAAACCCCACTGAACTCTCAGCATTGTTATGACTTGTTGCAAGCCAACTGCTTTGTTAAGGCTGAATGCAGCATGATTTTGCTCAAGGGACTTCATATGACACATCTTTCAAAATTAGTCTATGCCACTCTTCCAGAGAGGGTACCCAGGGTTAAAAACTTCAACACAGAAAACCAGCTGTTCAACTTGAGTGATTTTCTGCTAGCTTTTGAAAGAGACAGACTAAGCTATTTCTCATTCAAAATGAAGTCACCTTACACTATCTATGATCGTAGGGTACAAACCACAGATCTCAGTAAGACAGGGCTTATAGTGTCAATTGAAACAGGGCATAACCCACAGATTCCGAAATATGTGGGTTGTGTCCTGAAATCTGAGGTAGACATGCAAGTTCCTTGGTAAGTGTATAATATTTAGATTGTAAGAATGTGTAGCTTGTATGACAGATTAGGGTTCTGCATATTCACAGGTTAAAGTCCTCTCATCTTTAGATGTTACTAACCACAAGCCAAATCCTGAGCATATCACCTACTACAGTGGTGAGTAATATGCAAAAGGTGATAGGAACTATTCTGTCTGGGTATATGTATAGAAAATCAATACAGATGGAGTCAGGAATCTGACCTCTGCCACACAAAGGACATTAAAAACTAAATCTGTGGCCTTAAGCTGCTTTACTGACTTTGCTGACCATGAGCAGACAATGTGACTGTCACTTGATACCATCCTAGTGTTTTCACCATTTTCTCTGGAAGAACGTGCAAGCTCCGTTGTGAATGGAAAAGCTGTTCAATAAGTACTTGAGATTATGTGTTGGCCAACAGAGTGAAAGCAGTTTATTTGTCTATACAATTAATGTGAACATATGACCTGTATCCCTTTCTACTTTCATTGTGCTTTTGGCTCTGCAGTGTCATTCAGCTGGGGCAGCAGTGTACTTTCCCTTTCCTTGCCAAGTACCAGAACTTCCCAGGCCACACACTGTTTATTAAAATATTAATATAATTTCAGGTGATGAGATATGAAAATGTGAATTTCAAGGAAAATGATAACTTGGATCCAGCAACACTAAGTCTGTCCAATCCACGAGAAAAATGGCTACGCAAAAGGACACATGTCAAATTGAGAGTAAGTAGAAATCTGAACGTATATGGGAGATGTAGAACTTGGGTTTGGCAGCAGTTTAAATGGAATTTGATCTCCCAAAGCACAAGTTTACATAATTGAATATTACTAAAGAGCTGAAAACTGCTAATGTAATCCAGAGGCAAACAAATTAATAGTTAGGGAATCAGAATAATTTATTCTTGGTTTATCACTACATGATGGGAGAAAGTATATTTCTTTATTTAGATAACAGAGGGGCCTTAAGTTTTAGTTAAGCAAATAAATTGTTCTTCCATTTTCTTATATGCTAGATGAATCCATAACTCAAGGAAAAAAAATATATTCTTCAGATGCTACTTCAGTTAGAAATGTCAATTAAGATGCGTGTGTCTTGTACATAATCATGTGACTCCAGGGCACCACTTGAAGTGAAAGATATTTGTCATTCTCTTAAATGTTCTCTCTTCTTTGGTCATCTTGAGCGTTCTCACTAGAAAGCCTATTCAGGAACCCTGCATTACTAGAAACCTGGTTTCAGCTGAAATAGGAAAGCAGTTTTTTTAGGTGCTCTAAGGTGCACTGTAACGTACCTCAGACACACTGTCCAAGACTGTGCTTCTGTGTCACTGTTCATAATAACATAATAGATACAGCAGACTTACTGCAAAAGCAAACACTACTCTTCCCACTTTCTGCTCTTATTTCAGAATGTGACTGCTAATCACCGAGCTAATGATGTCATTGCAGCAGAAGATGGTCCTCAGGTACTAGTTGGGCGCTTTATGTATGGACCTCTGGACATGGTAGCTTTGACAGGTGAAAAGGTAAACTCTGAGTAATCAATTCCCTTATTTTTCTGAACCAGCTTTTACTAGAAACAATACTTGAATGTAGCACGCACATATAGTAGCAGAGGAGAAGTGTGTCACTAGTGCCCACCAGTTTGACAAAAATGTGCTGTAAGTGGGCTTTCCTGATAGCTGACCTTTTTTCCAGCTCTCATACTTGTTACATGGTGCCTGCGATCTCCTCTGGTTAATGATGAGTGTGCCATGCAGTGATTTCTGAGCCTGCCATCCCGTTGTACTGCCTACTGGGGACAATTAACTTTTTGAGCAAGGAGGAAAAATGGTTTTATAGGGGTTGGCAAATCACTAAAAGAAAAATGTATCTTCTCCTTTCCAGGTAAGACAACTAGATAGAGGAATAGGGATTCTAGAGGCTAGGTGGCTGCTGTTTCTCTTATATGTGGAAGAGTAAAGACTAGGTTTAGAATTTAAGTGGTAATGTGACAAAACTGGAACTGTCACTCCTAAAGCTGCCTGCAGTAGCCAGGCTTACAGCCAACAAAGCCAAGCCTTAAGTGAACACATTTGTTTTTATTCACTGAGACTGTAAGATTTTTTTGTGGAAATTAACAGAGCAGTGTTGCTGAGCCAAGGGTAGAACTAAAGTGTGAAGGCTTCACTTGGCCTGTTTTGTGGGTGCCCATTCTGCTAAGATGCAGCAGTAACTTGATGCCCCTAGGGACCAGCCTGCTGATGGCATGCCTCCTTTGGAGTATATTTGCTAGTGCAAATGTCAGGGATGGTTGTTTCTGGAACCATGTTTCTGATGACTGTGCTTCTGTCACGGCTGGACTTTGTCAACTCCACAAGATATGAGTGATGTTCTGCTTCTAAGATTTTGTTGTAGAATTCAGCACACCTATGTTGATACACATTGCACTGTCAATATAAGTTCTGGTTATATTTTTAAGATCCATCACTGCTTCAATCTTGTCCCATATGATTTGTAAAAAAACTTAAAGCAACCCCATCACTTGAGATCACGTGCAAGACAGGATCACAGATTTTATCTGATTTTAAGATTTTAATCACAGCTCTTCATTAACTTATAAATTTCTTCAATTTGATCACATTTTATTCATTGCTAAGGTTCTTCTGGCACAATGAGTAGGGCACCAAAGGGGTTCATAGTGGTTCTATGAAGAACACTGAAATTGTATGGTTCTCAAAGTTGGTAATTTCCTCTTTGGACCATTTCTCAAATGTAAGTTAAAAAGTCAGTTAAATATATCTGATTGTATTGGATTGCACTGAAGGTCTTCAATTAGATCTACAGTCAGGAAGAGTGCAAATCAAAGCCGTGTATGTAATAAACCTTCTGGCAGGCATTATTTGTGCCTATATCCTAGCAGTGCCTCAGCTGGACACTCGTGTAACTGGTACAGTGCAGAAATAAGCAGAAGCCATTTTTACCACAAGACCATTGCATCTGGCAAAGGAAAGGCCTTCCCTCTCCCATCTTCCCTCCTGGGAATTAGAGTCGGGGAGGGATTTATGTCAATCAGTAGTGTGTCCTTCAAACTTGAGTAGACCCTGATGTGTTAGTTTGAGTGTGACAGGTGAGCCTGATCTGCTCTGTCACATCACAGTGCTGTCCTCAGCAGGCAGGAAATTTTCCTTGAACCTTCTCTGCTTCAGGTGGCTCCTGCTGAGGCACAACAGAGTAGTGATAATGGGGGTGAGGCCATCTGGTCAAGGCAAGGAGACAGGAGCTTAAGCTTCTGCGAGAGTCTCTGCCGTGGGACAAGCCACTTAGGTAATCTCAGCCTCAGTCTGTTGACCTATTAGAAAATGTTAATTAACTTGAGGTGAGCTTGACATGCCAGTTTTTATTGAGGCAAGGCTCAGTCCTGGAGACTACCCGTGTTTTCCCAAGAAATCCTAAAATGGGCCTGTGGGATTTTCTCCATGTTTGTAGACTGGATTCATTTTAGCCCTGGGTCTTTTACTGCGATGGATTTGGGCTGGTAAAAAAAACAGCATATTGAGTGTTGTAGTGTGCAAATGCAAATTAGGTTGAAGATACATTTCAGCATTTCAGTGCTTTTTCAGAGGCCAGAGATGTCTCTGGGATTTACTTAACCAATTATCTTCTGGGCATTGTAGTCTAATGGTTTTCCTCCCTACGTAGATTATTGTGTTCTGGCTGGTTGTCTTTAAGTCATATTCCTATTTGAGAAGGATAGGGATGAACAATAAACTGTGTTTCTGCAAGTGGGAAAACAGTTTCATACTATGCTCAGGTACTGAATAGAATTCTGTCATTAAAATTTTTTAAATAAATTGCTGAGTAAAAATGTTAAGATTGTTATTAATTACTGCACTGGGGAGAATCCAGAATCAGTGATGAATTACTGATAGTTTTTACTCCAATTTTGAGGGGTTTCAAAACTAATAGAAATACTCTCTGTATTTTTTTAACACTTGTATGTTTTCCCTCCAAGGATTTCAAATAACTTTACATAAATGGCTGTATTTTGTAATCTCTTGATGTGGAGAGGGAAAACTGAGCCAGAAAAGTTCAATGACCACAGTTGGCAGAATGCTGTTCTAGTAGCTTTCACATTGATATTGAAAAAAGAAAATGTTGAAAGGGCTGTAGTTGTGCAGATTTTTCAGAATGCCCAATGCAAACTTAAAAACTATTTTTCTGAACCGCACATACACACCCTTTCCATCCCCATTTTTAGTGGCTTGACTTGAAAAAATTTATTAATGGTGAAGAATAGAAGGTAAGAACAGAATGGCTGAATAAAACAAAGTTAGAAGTATGATTCTCAAAAGAAAATATTTCTGTTTCTGGTTAGGTCTTATATTCCTTTACAGGTTGGAAAGAAGTTAGATTTTTCCCTAGCAAATCATAAAAATGTTTTCCTTGGCCCTCTTGCTGCTAATGGTGCATTTGAAAGTTGGAAATTCAGAATCAGTTAGAATAGAAAGTGAGGCTTTCTCCTACTTACACTGTCCAAGAATTTAAAGAGGCAATATTCGAACTGTAAATTCACTTTGCAGTCAAAAAGCAGAAGAAAGGAGTAAACCCACTGTTTGATCCTGATAACACTTCTGGTTCAGCAGTATCTGTCATTTCTTCCCTTGCACCAAAGCTCATCCCTTCAAAAAGTTCAGTTCTGAATGTAATCAGCTGAAAATAAATTCAGTAGTATTTATAGTTACATCCCAATGTTATGTAACATCGTTATTTTCAAGAAGAGCATATCTGCAGAGTTATCAAGGATATCAACACAAACAGCGTGATCCCATAAGCCGCTGGCAAGTCTTGCAGAGTATCTGGCTGCATGTTGAGCACTGAAGTCCACATAAACCTTGTAGGTCTGAGTTCTGTAAAAACTGAGTACAGAAGGTGCGCTTGGCAGATACCTCCCTCAGATTTACTCACACACTTCTTGCTAAAAAGTACCAGTTCAAGTAAAGTTATTTCATACACTTTATGTTAATTTTGATGAAATATTTCAGTTGAAAAAAACCACATTGATGAAGCTTTGGAAAAAAAATCTTGATAATTTGAAATGTTTATGGTTTGCATTTGTAGGCAAGATTATTATTTGAGAAAGATTTTATTTTTCTAATAACCAGATTAAATCTTCCATTTTGTAGGTTTAGTATGCAAAAATGTAATATACACATGCAAGCTGAAATTATCTTTTTTCTAGTTTAGGGTTCCTGCCAAATTTCTGAGCTCTGTAATGCTTGTTTGACACCTGCATTGCTGAGTGCTTTAAATGATGAAGACAACAAACTCTTGTATTGTGTGTTAGGAAGCATTTTCTAATTGAGAGGACCCTCTGTGAGGTTTTTACTGAGTTTTGAAGTTTCTTCAAATTTCCTTGTAAGCTTTTAGTAAAAACTGTAGTTGGAGATAATAATGTGATCTAGGCTTGGCAGGCCTTGTAAATAAGGGGAGGGTGTTGCCTGCTGTCACACTAGATGACTCTTTTGTTGCTTTTACAGGTTGATATCTTCATAATGACTGAGCCATCTTCGGGTAGGTGGGTGTACTTTGACACAGAGATATCCAACAGCAGTGGCCGGATATCCTACAACATACCCAAGCAGAAGAGACTAAGAGTTGGGGTGTATCCCATCAAAATGGTGGTCAGGTAATAGCTCCGAGCTGGAACGACGGCTGTGATGGGTTGTTGTGATCAGGAAAACACCAAGGTGTATAAGATTGAAGGGGGTGCCAATGGGAGATTGTGGACAGTTAGTTATATTTTCTTGGTCCTGTCACTGTGTTGTCAGCTTAAATTTGAAGCAGTGATCATCTGTTTACTGGCCAGTTTGGAGGTGCACGGGCCGGTGGGTTTATCCCTACTGCAACACAAATCCTCAGTGCAGTTCAATTTAGGAGCACCTGGTCTTGCAAAATATGGGGACCGGATGACTGTAATCAGTCTTCTTGTGGCAAGAATGTGTGACTTGGGACATTTTGCAGCCTGTTCGTTGAGGAAAAGACTGCTGAAGGGTATAGCTTTGTGTTCTTCAGACTGACAGGAAGCTTTTCTTACTGAAATTAACAGTAGAGGATGTACTTCCTTGCTCTCAGCCACCTGTTTATCTGTTGATGTCAGGCTGATCAAAAGAGTTACCTTAATTCTATACTCAAGACCATGTTTATTATAAATTGGGGAAAAAAAAAAAAGCCAAAACCAAACCAAAAACAACCAGCACCCGAAAATAACAAATCATTAAAGTAAAATCAGTCAGCTCTCCTAGCTCACCAGCATTTCTTAAAAATCTCTATGCTAAGTAAAGTATGAAGAATGAAGATGTGTAAAATAAAATTTGTTGGCCTAGGTGCACACCTGGGTTAGCTGTGCTTTGAAAAAACCTTACATTTACTAAAAGTCCAGTTTGATTTAATACAGAGTTTTAGTTTAATATTGCACTTAAACTGCCTAGCCACTTAGGAAGTAGCTTTACAGCTTCCTTTGAATCCCCACTTTGGCGGCTAAATCAGTGGGATGAATTTAGCTGAAACAGAATGTGTTGTTACCCACCAGTTAACCAAATCCAAAGTCAATTTACAATCCCATGTAGTGCTAATTGAGGAGAAAGAAATGTTTTACCTCAGTGTGATAGAACAGACAGGCAATTCAAGAAAAGAGAGTTACTTGAAAACGAATTAGGGTGTATTCAGGAGCTAAGCTCCCATGGGCTTTTAGACTAGAGTAAATTTCAAACAAGAATGAAAGAAATTGTCCTGTCTTTGCTCATTAAGCTGTGCACACATATTGTAAGAATCTTCAGATAGAACTTTCTAGATCATACAATAATCACCTCTCTAAAGGAAAGAAGATGTGGTCTTCTAATTACATTTTTTTAGGGAACGTGAAGTCATGGGATGGTAAGAGCTTTGGATCACTTTGTGCTGTATTAGTGTCTTAATGTCTAGACCTCTTGAGGAAAATGTATCTTGAGGAGGAAACAGCATTTCACGTGCCCTTACATGAGAAAAGCTATCTATGATTGCATTTCTCTTTTGGGCCTTTGCTTTTTGGGTTTCTTTGGGGTTTTTTGTTTTGTTTTGTTTTTTTACTTTCCTGGATTGGCATTCCCATTGTAATTTTCAAGGATAGAGGGTTGGTAATGCTATTATTACCGACTGTTTATCTAATGGAGAAAAGCTGATTTGTATAAGCACTTGCCAATAAAAGGTGCATATCAATTCTTCCCTCATAATTTCTAATAATTTGCCAGTAACCATAAACTGCCAGAAAAAATATCTAGCTAATTTCTGTGTGCTATATGTGTGTGTGTGTGTGTGTGCATGTATATGGCATTCATGTCTTATATGTGTACATATATAGACAGATAGCATGATTGAGTATTTCAGGCTGTTTGTTTTTTCTGTTTTTTGTTTTCTTTTTTTTTCATAATTTGTTTAGGTATTTATACACATGTGATTTCTTATTAAAGTCAGCTTCTAAATTTCTCTTTGTAAAGCCATTTCCTAAAAATGTAAGTTATAATTGCCCTACATAGGACTGAAATCAAAAGTCCTATTTGACAGCAATTTTAGAAGCTGTAGATCCAGACAGATATCGTTTAAGGTCTTAACTAGAACGTGCAGAAAATACATTCTGACATTTTGCTTTTTAAATGTATTTATTGCTTTGACTCTCCAGAGGGGACCAGAGTAGTGCTGCAAGTTACCTGACTGTGCTTCCCCGTGGAATGGAATGTGTTGTGTTCAGCATTGACGGTTCATTTGCAGCAAGTGTTTCAATTATGGGAAGTGACCCCAAAGTCCGAGCTGGGGCCGTTGATGTTGTCAGGTAAGTGACGTTTGCACTCTTCACATTTTTAAATCTCCAGCTTTCCTGTTTGTACACAATAGGAAAGAGGAGGGCAGAATAGGAGGGGGGTTTACTAAACAACAATTCTTTAAAGGACAGGATTCTTTGCAGATATATTTCTATATTTGCTTGGACAGAAAGTCTGTCAGATTTTCAGAGGAATCTTAAAATGCTATGGTTTACTTTGAGATTTGTAGTGTAAGTTGCCTAAAAAATTAAAACATGCTTCTTAAGAATATGTCCTTAAAGTGTGTGCAATGAATTAGTAATGATTCCATGTGTTACTGTGATGAGCGGAGTGTATTTTGTGTTTCACAAACTTCAGGTAGGGGCATACTTCTACTTCAAAAATACCAAGTGCCATGAATGCAAGAGCATTTTTTTGAGCAAAAATTAAAAGGCCTTTTAATCTGTTCTTGCAAGTCTGTTAATGTCACACTGGATGGGGAAATACAGCTCTCGTTTTGGAACTTGCATAGGAATGAAGGGATGTCAGTTTTCAAGGGTTTCCACTCCTTACAGCTGAAATGGCAGGAAATCTTGTTGAAAGTTTCAAAGGTAGTGGGACTTGATGCACAGCAAGTTCTATTTTAGATAGCTCTCATATTTTGTGTAACATACTGTATAAGAATCTCTCTAACTTCCCTCTGTCTCCCTCAAGATGTAGACATTATTACTTAATTCCTTGATAAGAGCAGAGACTTAGGCAAGCTGCTTTCCACTTGTTGAAGGATACTGTCCAACTTCTAACTGGGTCTGTGCTGAGCAAAGAGATGCTGACATGACCTGTGGTTATTGTTTCTGTACCTACATAATTTACCTGCTGTTTCTGACAGGCATTGGCAGGACTTGGGATATCTGATTATCTATATTACTGGCCGTCCAGATATGCAAAAACAGCGTGTGGTTTCATGGTTGTCTCAACACAACTTCCCACAAGGGATGATCTTCTTCTCAGATGGACTTGTTCATGACCCACTGCGACAAAAGACCATTTTTCTACGAAATCTCATGCAAGAGGTACTAGAAAACTGTTTATAAAACTTTTTTCAAGAGAATGTCATTCAGTGAAGTTAGAATTCTCCCTTCCTTTTGAACCGTAAAACTCACTGGCCATCACAAAGTTTTTTTGCCATTCCTCATTTCTTTTCTTACTTTTTAAAAATCAAGGAAGACTGATAAAACATCCAAAGGGGCCTCTTGGCATGACAAATTAAATAAATGAACTGCTTGTTCTTTAGTGTGTGTATATCTGCAGTTCTTGCTGGTGTGCAGACAGACAGATTTAGCTTTCTGTAGTTTACAGAATGAGGTTGTTAACAATGAACTCATCTGCTGCTTCATTGCAAAACAAGCGCCATCCTTGTAGTGCATGGTGTTTAATACAGCATTCACTTTGGAAGTAATATTTGTTTCAGTGCCACATCAAAATCTGCGCCGCATATGGTTCCATGAAGGATATTTCTGTGTACAATGTCTTGGCTCTGTCACCATCCCAGATCTACATAGTTGGACGATCAACAAAGAAATACCAGGCACAGTGTCAGGTAAGTAACTCTTGCTACTCAATCAGGAAGTCCTAGGAGAAAAAGAAGATGCATGTGTGTGAACACACACACACATAAAAAAGATAAAGAGCAGAGACAATGTTTCAGAGAAAGAAGGGCAATTTTTATTTCAGATGAGGCATTTTCTGGCAGGTTGAATAGTGAAGAGAATTGAGAGATCATAGGTTGTATCTGGAAGTGCATGCATCATGTTGCTAAATGACAAAATGGAACAGGTCACTGAGAAAAAAAAAGTGAGGGTAGAGGAATATTGGTACTCTGTAGGTATCCAGCTGGGATGCCAAATTCCTCATAGAGCTCACAAGTCAAGGCACCAGTAATTTGTCACTCCCTTTCTTTCCTTCCTATTGCAGTTCCTCAGTGAAGGTTATGCAGCCCACTTGGCCTCTCTGGAGTTCAGTCTCCATTCACGACCCAAAAAGAACAACTCTCGGATGATCTTGAGAAAAGGCAGCTTTGGCCTCCACTCCCAACCTGAGTTTTTGCGCAAGAGAAACCATCTTCGCAGGACTATGTCTGTACAGCAACCTGACCCACCTTCTTCAAACCCCAAGCCAGAGCGTGCCCAGAGCCAGCCCGAATCAGACAAAGATCATGACAGGCATCTGCCCTCCGTTGCTTGGGTTCGAGGTGGAGTTCACAAATTTGAATCTGTTCCCTAGGAAGCTTGGAAGTATAGATCTTGGGTGCACCCCATTAAACTTGTAGGTGTGCCTCAAGGATAATAATTAGGCAGCTTCAAACTAAGAGATGTAGAGGGGAACCTGCACCTTGGAGTCTTCCCTGTTCTGGAATCTGCCTTCTTACACCAACTGAGGAACTTCCAGTCTGTTCCTCTTGACATGTTTATTGGGAAATTTTAAAACCATCTAAAACTATTGCAAATGCTTATACATCATAGCAACAGAAAATATCTTTGGTTATTTTTTACAACAGATCTAATACAATGTGCAATAAGAGAAGAAGCCGTAACAGGCTAATTTTACTCAGAAGGAGGATTGTGATATCAGCTAACTAGCTGCACCCAAAACAGTATAAACGGTGGGTCCCATCGGTTACAGAGAAGGTTTACACATTTAATGTTTAAATAGTTGTACCTATTTCCACTTTTGATAAAGCGATACACTTGCAAGGGAAGAAGAGGTGGTAACTAGAGTAATCGGTGGTCAGGATTTGTACAGCAAGATGGTTTTTGGGTGCCTTAAACCCAAGATTTCCTTTCACCTTACAGTGTTGGTCAACAGACCCCAACATGGGCACTCGTGTTTGTGTGAGGTGCTGGACATCAAGTAAATGGGAGAACTCCACTTACGAACCAAATCATAAAAACTTCATGTTAGAAATAAATGTGTCTGCCACAGTTTGAAGCAGTTAGTGTTGCTGTATACAAAGTAATGTGCAAGTGTACAAAGATTACATTGTTTTGTGGAACTTGGTGACTGTGCAAAATGTGTGGACTGCTCTGAGTAAGGAGATAGCTCAGATCATCTCAGTCTGAGAGACAGATCCTAAGATGGTAAACTAAAGGGAGCCCTTTTACTAAGGGATCTGCAAACTTCAGAGCAATCACTTTTTTCATTATTCTAACTAGAATCTTTACACTGGAGAAGAAAAAAAGTAATGGAATTCCTATGGGTAAATTGTCTACCTTCTTGTGTGTTATAGCAACTGCTGTGTTAAGACAATCTGTAGCATTCAGAATTACACCATTTGAGTTTCAAAGAATGGACATGCCAAATTACAGGTGCCAAATAGTTGTTTTCTTGCTGATTTCAATCTCTCTTGGATCACTCAGTGAACTTACCAGAAGTAAATGTGTGAAATTTTCCCTAAGTGGTAATATTTCTAAAGTGTTGTGGTTAGTTTAACATAGTAGCAGTTTGCAGATTCTTCATGCAGATACTTCCACTGTACTAAAATCACCAAGAGAACTTTCATGTCTGAACTGAAGCATGTTTTAAAACCTGCAATGAAGTTACAAGGGCACATAAAAAACCTTTTCTTTAAAAGTTAAAACCAGACTATTGACACTAAGAAAGCTTGAAGTCAATAGATGTCTTTTTCAGGTTTGGTTGGTTGGTTTTAATTTCAGGGAGTTTGGGTGGAGAGGGTGTCGTGCCTTCCTTCCCCCTGCCCTTACTTTCAGGTTTTCCTAGTCTGTAGCTAGACCAGAAACAGTCTTTCAACAAGTCTGTTGGTTAATTGTGTTGAAAGTTGACATGTAATGCTAACAAGGAATGCACTAGAAAACTATTAAGGCAGTGCAGAAGTAAACTTAAGTCTGTACTTCTTGTTCACTCAAAAGTTTCAGTGTGCTTTTTGAATGGCATAGTACTGTGGCTTTTGCCTTAAAAGGCAGCAAAGTAGCTTATAAAATGGAGATCTTTGATTTAGTTTTTTAGACGCTACTTGACAAGATTGTCAGTTACCTATTTTAAAACTTCCTGAAAGATCTCTGGCACGTCAGTAATTTGGTTTTTACAATGCTTCTTTTAAGGGAAGGGCTCATCTTTGCTGAAGATTTAGGAAAGATATTAAAAGTTTGGTAGCTCACACTAATTGGGAGCAGGTAACGACATTACAAGGGACTGGGGTTTTATGCTGTATTGCCAGGTCAGACAGCTACAAAACCTAAATGAAAGATATTCACAAACTACATTGAAGAAGTCTTCAGGTTTACAAATGCTTTCCCAGTATTATCACACCTAGTTCTTTAACCCACAAACTTGGAGGAATTATTCAGTGTTCTGTCTTGGCCCACTGTGCGCATTAATTCTAATCACATAGTCCATTTCTTCTCCTAGCCTCTGCAGCAGGGAGAGATTGCACAGGTACACCAGACTCCATCTCCCTCCAGTCTGTTCACTGTTAGAAGACTCCTGGTTGTTAGTTTTAAACAGGCATGGGAATCCAATGTTTGTGAGGGAGGAACTCAGTAGGCAAATTTTAAATTTGCTGGGGGGCCTAAAAGCAACATTGATTGCAAAGTTTTTTTTAAGCACTGGGTGTTGTGCAGCATGTCTCCTGACGGTAATCATTCCTGCTGCAAAGTTCAAAGCTAACGTTGCTTTAGACGTCTACCTCTATCATCCAAGAGACTCCAAAATCTATTTTTTGTTTTAAGTTGCTGTAGTGGAAAGGCCTGCTTCATTTTGAAAGAGGGATCCGTGATTGTATTAAAGGAACTAGTGTCTGAGCACGAGGTTAGAGAAATCTCCTGGGTTAAGGTCTTTTACTCTTGCAGACGCAGTGTCATTTTGCAGGGTACCATGTCATGAAAACTCTGATTTTCTGTATTTCTATTAATAACTAGGCCACCTTTACAGAAGTCACTGTGCTGGCTTAAGAATATCATGAGCTCATAGTGGTAAAACAAATGCGTGGGTGTGTGTGTGCATGATTTAGAGTGGTAACAATTTTAAAGTGTCTACACATGGTATTGAAATCAAGCTGAAAATACTTTCATTAACTTTGTTTCCTACAACATGGGAGAGCTCATGTGGCCTTTGTGTAATTCCAACACTACTTGTTGCTCAGGGATGGAATGGTTTATCTCCTGATCACATGCCTCCAGCTGAGCACTTTGGCAAACAGTGATACAGGCATTAGCTTGGAGGTTAAAGCTTCATGGTAATTAGCCAGTTTTCTGAAACATCAGATGCCAGATGCATTTGTTTTGAAAGCATTAGCCAGTTGCCACTAAAATGGTAAAACAACTTATGTTGGAGCTCAGAATATGAACAAGATGGAGTGTCATTTTAGACATCTGTCCTGGTTTGGGCTGGAATAGAGTTAATGTTCCTTTTTGGTAACTAGAATAGTGCTGTGTTTTGGATTCAGCATTGGGTTTGGTATGAGAAGAATGCTGATAGCACACTGATGTTTTCAGCTGCTGCTGAGATTTCAAGGACTGTCCAACTCCCCATGTCCTGCCTGAGCACAAGTGCACAAGAAGCAGGGGGGTAGCACGGCCAGAGCACCAGATCCAAACTGGCCAATGAAATATTCCAGATCATGTAACATCATAGTCACTATATAGGGGAGTGGTGGTCGGGAAGGAGGGCTCTCTCTCACTTCCAGGATTGCGACTGTGGGATCTTGGTATTTCAGGATTGCTAGCTGGGACCGGGCTGCGTATTGGTCAGCGGGTGGTGAGCAATCGCATTGTGCATTGCCCGTTTATATTTTCTGTTGCTGTCATTGTTTTCATTTTATTACCGTTATTAAACTGTTTCTATCTCAACCCGTGAGTTTCCCTTTACCCCTCCAATTCCCTTCCCCATTCCCAGGTTGGGGGGGAGGGTGGGTGAGCGGCTGCAGGGTGGTTGGCTGCTGAGCAGCCTCAAACCATGACATCTCACAGCTGGGCTGGCAGTTCAACAAATGTTCTGTAGTAACTTCTGGGACCCTCATGCATGTTGAACCATTAGTTTCCCCCCACCTCTGACATTTGCCTCATGAATTACTCGGTTTATAGCATAATTTTTCAATCGTGTTTTCTCTTACATTTCCTTCTGGTCAGAATTTTAGTTACACACTTTGTCCACATGAAACTGCATGTGGTGGTTCATAGGTATTCAGTTTGCAATCGGATTTCAGTTTTACTTGTGCTTTCTCAGAAGGATTATCAGTGCTTCTAAGAAGGCCATTTGCTAAGGATTAGCTTGATCCTACAGTCGTATTCTCTGATTGCAAGTCCTCATTGCTGCAGTCTCTGTGCAGTCAGCACTTAATTAAACGTTATAGGCTATGGAAGTGTTAAAGCACACACAGAAAGGAAAGGGACAGAGAAGTCAGGCAGGAATGGTGGGTGACCAGGGAACCCAGATTATACTTATCAGTAGTTTCAGCACCTTTAGTGCCTCCAGTCTGTTACAGAAAAGCACGTTCTTTTAACCTAATGAATGGAGGAAGCAAAAGCGAAACTGTAAAACACAAAACTGCTATTCCAGCGGGTGCTAAGGCAGCAATACAGTTGAGTGCAAAGTAGGCCACAGTTGGAAGCATTTTTTACTTCTTTGCCCTGTTGATATGGATCCAATTTTAAATTACTGTAAAGAAATGGTTGTGATTCATAGCAATGCTAGACTTACCAGAGGTGGTGTGAAAACACACTGTCAGAACCGTGGTGTTTTGGTTTTGTGTGTGTGCGCGCGCGCGTGTGTGTGTGTAGCTACTGGAAGATACCTTAAGTGAAGTTTTGGTTCTGCTTTCACAGCAAATTTGTAACCAATATACTTTAAAAAAACAACCAAACAACAATGGCTCTTTATTCAATTTTGTTGTCTAGTTAGGTAAGTTTGAAAAAAGATACCATCAATTGAAGAGTGTAGAATATACCGCAGACCTGAATAGTGATGTTGATCCAAATCTTCTTATTTTTAATAACTTTTTTTTAAGTGTTTGCATACACTAGTGCTCTTGGAACAGATACGTGCTTGACCAAAGTACTCCTGTTGAGCTTTGTGGCATGGTTTATTCAGCATAAAAATTTGTTAGATGTAAAAATGACATGGCATTGGTAATTCTTCTTGTCCATTAGGGTTCATGAGACTTGCCATTTTGATTTGTTTACATGAAAATAGTCCTAATTCTTAGAGATTACTTCACCTGTTCCTCTGGTACCTAGGGAAGTCACTTCCAAACGGAGTTTAAACTTTCACGGGTTATGTAGAAGTGGAACTATCAGTAAACTAGAGAAAAAAGAACTGACACACCTTAATCTACTGTTAACATAAGCAGAACAATGACGCTATCTGGAAGCTCCACCATTCTGCAAAGTAGCCTTTGTTTGCCATTATTAGTGAGCAAGTTGTCCCACTTATACATTGCAGTCTTTAGGCCAGGGCACTACTAATGTGTGTATTTAAGCAAATCCCGAATACTTAGATCTATAGTATCATCATGTGCTTCACAGAATAAAATTAGAAGGGAAAAAAAAAAGAAATCTTCCTTCTTTCTATAGTGTTTCCTGTCTTAAATTTGCTAAAAGCTTTGTTTATAAGCATTTTTAATGATACCTGAATAAAGTATTTTCATTTTTTAAAATTTGTAAGTGCAACGATTGCTACTGAACATAAAGGATTTTCCTCAGTTTTTTTCCCCCCCTTTTCCATTTAAGCCACACAAAGGTGAGTACATCACAAAAGTATTAGATGACTGGCGTATGGACACCTTTTTAATAAGCTCATTGGCGTAATCATGGAGAGAAAAGACTATACACTAATTTCATCATTTTTCTGCTTAGAGCTTGAAATGTGGGATCTGAACTCAAGATTTCTACATTGAATTGTTCATTTCAGGCATCCAGGGGAAAACGTGGCACTTTCCATCCTCATTTGGAGCTGATACAGGATACAATTCCCTTAAACACAAAACTTTCCATTATAAGAGCAATGATTCCTCATGGTCTGGTTTCATAGCTTCAGCAGAAATTGTGGGTTCAACAAGGTAATTTGACTTCCATGATGCTTAATCACTCAAGTGTAATTATAGGTTCCTACAGATGATCTTAAATTCAGTCCCTCATAAAAGAAATGGAGATAATAACACATTTTTGAGGATGAAAAGAGCTCTTTTTTTTTTTCAGAAATAAGAAATGGCCTGGAGCAGCTAGAATCCTGTGCCATGAGCTCTGAAGTCAGGTGTTGGTATTTCCTCTTTCCCTCATTTTAGTTCAAGCCCAAGGTAAGGGGATTACTGTTTACCCTCTATTTGTATTTATCTCAGTAAAATACCTTTAAAACTGGATATAATTCTGGGGGACAGGGGAACATCACACAAATTTGACAGTACATGTCTTATTTGTAAGGATGTACAGAATTTATGGGGGGGAAGAGAGAGAGACGTAGGTTTACTGTGACATGCTGGGAGATGGTATACCAGAGATTACAATGTTGAAACATAATTTACAGGTTGCAAGCTTTAAAGATAAGGTTATTCTGGGAGGACTGGTGTAGGACCCAGAATGGCAGTACTCTCACACAACCCCGAGCCTTTTGCATAACTTATTTTTCTATTTGTAGGGGAGAAAAGGGGCAGTCCACTTACAACTGAATTCATACAAGGAAACTTGAAATTGTACATGTTCTTTCAGTCTATAGCTTTATTAAGTGCATACTTTTAAATATTGTTTGTCAGTGAGAAGGTTCTATCTGGTGACAAATGTTTATATTTCTTATGGCTGCCTTGTAAAGATTCAAAAATGTACAATAATTAATTTCTTAATATGAAATAAGGAGTAAGATTTCTACAACTGGTATAGATTTTGATGTGAGTTGGTTTTTAAAATCTTATAAAAGATTAGTCACTTAAATAAAACCCTCCTTGCCTTTAAGCAAACCGTGTCACTGATTTTTCTTACCAGTGATGTGGGATCATCATTGTACATATCCTAGTAGCCAGCAGAAACAGTATAAGTAGAGGCTGTTTAATACATCTGACTATCTGAAATAATACTAAGATTGGAGGTTGGCTTTTCACAAAACTCCAACCCTCCTTCCTTTTGAAAAGTCATATAAGAAGATATTTCAGTAATGAGACACCATCTTTGTGAAAGCTTTATAGAAGTAGTTTCAGTACATGCAAAGAATAACTTTAAGCTACTGTTCCATATAGAAAGGTGGTTTAAAAAAAAAAAAAAAAAACAAACAAAAAAAAACCAACAAAACCACAGCATATAAGACACACAAAAACTGCATCAAGAAATAATACAAGCTAAACCTCTCAGTCATCTGAAAGCATAGAAGTCAGGGTTGTTTTCATGTCTCCAGGCCTCATTAACTGTTTCAATATTTTAAAACAGTGTAGTTTGACAAGAAAAAATAAAAATCAGGAGCAAAATTAAAATCAGTACTTACACGTAAATCAGAATTAAACATGACTGCTTCCCATTTTTATACTTAATACAATTAAAATTTTAATTGTTACAGTTTTTACTAAATTACATGTGCATCTTAAAAATTATCAAGTAGACCAAAATTTCCCAAATCAGTCTTATGTTTGAAGGTTCATCTTAGCGTGAACGTAATCTGAAAAGCTTGCACAGAGCTGCTACAGTGGAAAAGAGCCCTGGTGTTGAATTCTAGAAGCTTGAGAAATCTTTGCTTTAGTTTGAAAGACTGTTAAACTGAATCACCTACCAAAAAAGGCTTGTCAAATGCACATTACTTTTTTAAAAAAGTAGAAGCAAAATGCATGTATCAAATGCTTAGTATACTTCAAATAAAATACCTGCACTGTGATACTAGCTAATAACAGTAGTTGTAAGAGGTTTCATTAATTGTAGTAACCAATTTTTGTAACTAAAAGACAGATGGTGTAGTACAAAAGCAATGCTTAACTCTAGTGTCATGATGCTATTTAAAACAGCAGCAAGAAATTAAAAAGTTGCTCTGATTTGTCTGGAACCCAGCTACTCAAGATAGGGTTAGTTAAAATAAACTAATAACAATCCTCGAGGCCATGAAGTAAGAGTCCTAATATGGCTCCTCTGTTGTGGCATGAGTGACTCCACAGAAACCTGTTGCCTTGGAATGGCAGTTTTGGTCAGAACTCAAACAAGCCACTACTGTTTCATTAGCTTTCAGTTAAACATGATGTGTTAGTTTTTGCTTTGTTCATATACAGAAAAAAATTGGTAGGCTTTCAAAATAATGGACTGGTACTTTTGGCATGCAAAGTACTCATATTAAAACTCCTGGCCGTTGGATACCAGGCTAAATGCTGGTATTCATAAGTCTGTGGCCCTTGCTCTGGCCATTCCTACTGGGCATTTCAACATGAGTTTCAAAACACTTAACTGCCTTATGAAAGTCACATTCAAGATGGTCCCTCATCTCAGCAGGAGGTAATATACTGTGTTATAAATGTGATTCTCCTGTTCACTTGGAAACAGAAAACAAGGGAAGTCCTGAGCTACTGGGTCAAGAAAGACAATAAAATGTAATGGTTTGTTCAATGTATAGAGTGCACCCTTTCAAGTGCTATACAGAGCTCTCCTTTATATACACTCATAAAGTAGCAATAGTTACAGCCATCTCTGTCTAGGTACCAAGTGCTCGATGGAGTTTCTTTGCTCGCCTTCCCATAGCTGGAGAAAGTTTCTGAGATGGACGCACAGGCTGTGAGTTTTGTGCCATTAGGTAGTAATTTGATGTTGCATGTTGCCTGCAGAAGAACAAGACGACTGCCATTAGCAGCATGAAGTCAGTAAGGTTAATTAACTGGTTCTCACACAAATTGCTGGAAAACTGTTAGATGGGAGCAAGGAAGGTATCTGGGACCTGTACACTGTCACCGTATAACAGTTCTAAACATTAAAATATTTTGTTACTTTCAGTGAGCATAAGTGGCAGTAAAAATTAAGTACTGCAATACTTTAACTAGCAACAGGAGCATTTCTTGCAATATAACCCAATTCATTAAAATGAAAAAACATTAGAACCAATACATTAAGCTAACAACTATATACAGTTTGAGATCAAGGTTTGTTTCATCATGGAAAAGATGAAAAGGGAGCTGTAACACACGGCAATTGGATACCAGAACAAAGTCATATGCAAGACTGTAGGGGCACCTACAAAGAAAGTTCTTCACAGTTATTCCAGTAGGCAACCTACAAACCAGCCAGTGATGGAGCACACTGTATGCATCTATACATGCAGGAAAAGTGGACCAAATTGATTAGTGGAAGCAGCACACATCACTGTTTAAAGCTTCAGTCAAGCATTTTAAACTGCTCTCATTTTTCCTGAAAAGTTACAGCAATCAATGTCTTACACTTACCTTTGTTGCTAAAATAGGACACTGTATTCAGGATTTAATTTTCCCTTAACAACAGGAACACTTCCAACATAATGGGTGAAAATATTAATGTCACAATACAGATCTCAGTGAAGGTAATAGAGGCATTTACCTGGCAATGGTTCGATGAATTGACACTAGAAGTGATGTTTAGAAACTTACAGCAAAGCTTTCCTGCTCCCATCCATTTAAGTACAAATGCTGTGTTTAAAAATGCCAGCAATGCTGTTACTGTGATAGCAGGGTCCTAACTGCTAAGACAATGCTAAGGATGGAAAAGAAAGGCTGTAAAATTAGACAGCTCAGAGTGATAGTTTGTTCTGTCATGCTTTGTGATCTTCATTAGTAATCAGTGAGAGCTGAGGTCGAGTTACAATGACATTAGTACCAGTAGCTTTCTGGTCTGGGGTGAGAAAAGCTGCTGTTTGCATAGAAGCCCAACTTACGGTTTGTTGCAAACCCACAAGGTTTCACTAATACACAATGTAGAGGCCAAGTTTTACAACTGCCCAATGATCTGCTGTAGCAGAGACAGCCACAGTGAATATGAGAGAACCCTGTGGTTCCGCATAATAGTACTTTAAAGCAGCATGACTTACTAAACTTTTCTCTCTCCAAACAGCAGATTTTCTTACTACAGATGCATGCAGGTATAGACAGGGTAAGTGAACAACTACTTTACCTGGTTGATACTATCTTCAGTTACGAATGAGAGAAACTGTCATATCACTAACAGATGGGAGAATATTAGGAGTGAGATTTAGTGAACTTTCAATTTATATGATCATAAACTTAATACAAGATTTAACCTAGAGTTACCTAGAAATGGCTTCATTGGTAAAAATTTAATTTCTGGAATTATGTAGGATTTTAAGACCTTACTGCTTCATAGATAACAGTACTTAATGCTAAGCCCTCTAGAAGATTTTAGGTGCTTGACATTTAATTACTGGATGCTTGACAGAGAATCATCAAGTGTTTTAAGAGAGGTTTTAAAAGAGGTTTGGGGAATTGCCCCATGATAAGACTTCTGACCTTTAGTTTTTACTGTCTTATTCTGTTTAATTCAGAACGACATAACCTTTACAAACACAGCAGACTATACCACCTCATGGATTAACCAAGGTGTTGTATAAGATGCTTCTGGATCCTCTAAATTTTTGAGTTATGGGTACCATTGACTATTTGTTAATAATGCCAGCCAATAAAAGGATTTTCTTATAAATGTGCAAGGACATCAATGACAGTGTCATTGCAATGGGATTCCCCTCACCCTCCCCCAGCCTGGGTTGGCACTTCTTTTAAACAGAGAGGCAGGGAGGTACTTTTCTCACACAAGGTCAAAAGTAGGCTCTCTCTGGGAAAAATCTGACTTCCGTAGCAAGAAACCTGAAGGCAAGGAGACCGTTTAACAGGTTGTAGAAGCTGCAAGTCCAACTGCAGAGTTAATCTGCACAGGTTAGAATGAAAGGCTCCACTACATTACATCTGAGAAAGTTCTGCAACTATTTCTTATCCCAAGTTAGAGGGATCACTTAGCTTGCAATTGGCAATGTCCAAGTGGGAGGAAACCTATTGCTGAAAGTTGAGGGACAGTTAGCAGTATTTACCTCTCCTCTTGCACAATGGCATCATCAAATGCCTGGGAGATACGCTTCAATTGGCAAATCCCTGAGGAGACCAGCTCCAACTCACAGTCAAACTCTCTGCAAACAGAATGGTCATTACTAAAGATAAAACAGGACAGACTGACCAGGTGACACTACCCAAGCCTCTAGCCTTGCCGTAACAACTCTAGTTACCTCCAGACTTTACCCAGAGACGTTTAGGGCTGTAGCAATCCTGCTTTTAATTCCACTGACCAACTGCTTTACATCTCTATCATCCTCAAGACAGCCATCTTCCAATTCAAACACTGGGTTCAGATTCACAAGGCTTGGATTCAGCTTCTAGCTTTGACATTTCTCATGTGATTTTGACCAAAACAGAAACCTGTGTGTGCATTATGAAGTATTTCCCTAGCTCACAACCCTTGATCTAATTTGTGTTAAATCTTTGAGGCAAGAATCTCTCTACTGTCTCTCAAGAGTTCAACATAAGCAGAGCTATTCCAAGTACCTTTGCAATACAAATAGTATCTTCAGAAAAGTTAGAGGGAGGTGCAATGAGAGCACTTTTCTTTACCAGAATGGCATCAGCAAAGAACTCAAGAATGTGTTGTGTCTCTGATGAGGAGTGGTGCTGAGAAACATGGTGTAAACTTACCCAGTGGGCAAGTGATTTTTAAAAAGTTCTTGTCACAGCACAAAATTAAGTTTCATAGCATGGTTTGGGTTGGAAGGGACCCTAAAGATCATGTAGTTCCAAATCCCCTGCCATGGGCAGGGACACCTTCCACTAGAGCAGGTTGCCCAAAGCCCTGTCCAACCTGGCCTTGAACACTTCCAGAGAGGGGGCAGCCACCACCTCTCTGGACAACCGGTTCCAGTGTCTTACCACCCTCACAGTAAAGAATTTCCTCCTTATATCTAATCTAAATTTACCCCCTTTCAGTTTAAGACCATTAACCCTTGTCCTATCACTACACCCCCTGGATAAAGAGGCCTTCTCAATCTTTCCTGTAAGCCCCTTTTAAGGACTAGAAGGCTGCTGTAAGGTGTTCCCAGAGCCTTCTCTTCTCCAGGCTGAACCCCCCCAACTCTCTCAGCCTGGCCTCCAAGGGGAGCTGCTCCAGCCCCCCCAGCATCCTCGTGGCCTCCTCTGGACCCACTCGAGCAGGTCCATGTCCTTCTGATGTTGGGGGCCCCAGACCTGGACACAGCACTGCAGGGGAGGTCTCATGAGAGCAGAGGGGGACAATCTCCTCCCTCAACCTGCTGCCCACATTTCTCTTGATGCACCCCAGGGTATGGTTGGCTTTCTGAGCTGCAAGCATCCTTCTCCACAGGGCTGCTCTCAATCCACTCATCACCCAGCCTGTATTTGTGCTTGGGATTGCCTCAACCCATGTGCAGGACCCTGCACTTGGCCTTTTTGAACTTCATGAAGTTTGTACAAGCCCACCTCTCAAGCCTGTCAAGGTCCCTCTGAATGGCAATGTTTCAGCTTTATGTAGTGCTCAGTCCCTGTCTATACAGAGACCTGTAACTACTTTCTTAACTATTTGAACAGCATACCCGTCCAGGGGAGTAGGATAGCAACCTTCACATCTTGCCTTTCACCTTACAAGATACTCTAACCACAGTAATAAAAAAAAGGAATAATATTTACAAAAGAATGTCACTTACATTTTGCTGCTGGCAGGAGCTGGTGATGAATAAGGGCTTTTCAGTGCTGCTGCTCTTCTTGATCTCCGGAGAGATACAGCATCTTTACCAAGCCAGGATGAGAAACCCCTCCATTCACCATGTTCTGACACCCTTGTTGGCCCAAGCAAGGTTCTTTTGCTGGATCTTGAGGTGTCCTTGGAACTGGTTGCCAGAGTAATACTCTTCTTATGGCAAGGGGTTTGAGGTGTAGCACTTCTTTTCTTGGTAGAACTGGTTACACAGCTTCTGCTGATGGATTCAGCTGGAAAGGTCACCATCGAGTGTACTGGGCTTTGGCAAGACTTCTGTATTTTCTGAAAGAAGCATTAGACAAACATAGAATGCTAAATGAACTCAATCAGCCTTGAGTTTGGAACCAGAAAGACAAGGAACATTTGAGCTGAATCCCAAGCTTGCATTTTCGTATCAGGTTTAGTCTAGCATGAATGCTTCTCAACCTTCTTTACCTATTTGCATTGGAGGAGTCATTCGCTCCCCCAGTTCTTGGAACTTGTCAGGCAGTTCAGCAGGCATTGGAACAGAGCTCCTTCTACTCTTATGCAGGAAAGAGCTAGGCTCCCTAACATATAATTGATGCAGTTAAAATCAGAGGTCTCCACCAAAGGGAAGTACAAGCTCAAGTTCGCTACCCTGCTACCATCTAGCAGTTTTGTCAGTGCAAATTTAGATTGACTATAATGAAGAACATGCAAAAAAATAGTATGGGTACAGGAAAATGAGTAAAAAAAAAAAATCCAAAGCTCTACACATTTCTCAAAAATAATTTGCAAGCAATGGCAGTGTCTACCCACCTTCATCCTTGTGAAGGCTGCTCTGTTGTACATTATGAAATACAGTAGAGGAAAAGCACTTATTTACAAACAAAATAAAAGTTTTGATGAAACTATGTCTCATATTTCTTCTTTTCACCTTCCTCCCTCTACTGCCAGATCCCTAATTTGCCTGTCTATAATTTAGCAAGGATATTAAAGATTTTGAGACAACCATTACGGTGTGCAAGTGCATGGCACAGAATCTCAGGAATACAGCATTCTGTACAGAGGCCAGAAATCTTAGTACTAGAGTTGAATCAAAAACTAAACTCTATCCATGCTCCACTGCAAAGGCAAAGTACCTGGGACACTGTTCCAAAAGCATTTTTTGCTGTCCTTTTAATATTCTGAAGAGTTTGGCACTTTTGTTTTGCTTCCAGACTTTGCCAAGTTGGGGTCTTATGAAAATTCAACTCTACTTGCTTTAATGGTACTCGCTTCCTTAGAGACGTGCGGATGGTATTGAGAGAACTCGAAGAAGCCCTTCTCTTGAATTTTTCAGGTCCAGGGCTCTCATTCTCATCGAAGTCAGCTAGGAGCTGGTGTTTCCTCCAGGCCATTGTTGCCTTGACATTTTGGAGCACAGATACCATCTTGTTCCAGTTGTCAACCTTTTTTCTAGAACAATCAGCATGGTAGCAAGAATTAGACAGAGCAAGGTATAGATCAGTGTGAAAAAGGAAAAATTGAAATTGTTATACAATATATTCATTTACATTTGCCTGAAACAAGAAGATCAGAGCTGAGCAGACTTTTACTTGGAGGTGTGAAGGAGAACAGCATTGATTTCTACAGCTATTTAGGTCTGTTTATGTCCATGAAGAAGTCTTATACTGCATTTCTAGTACTGGACATCAGAGCTTGGTAGGCTGCGAGACTCAAGCTTGTGACATAGAATGCTCTGTAACTGCAAGCTTCTTGTTCGTGTCTCAGACTAAGGTCTCATATCCCAAATTTTTGCCTTCATTAATCAAAACAGCCTTCCACTGCCAGACAAATTTACACAGCTGCTATTGTCTCCTGCCTGAGTTGCTAGTTGAAGGCTCACATTTAAGTCACAGTTATGATTCTGGATACATAAACCCTGAAACAGACAGGATTGTTACTGTCAGAAGACATTGGTGGGAAGGGCTAAAATGCCTGTTATCTATATGATATATGACAATTTAAACATACATATATAGTTTAAATTCTTCATTTTCACTAGCTATTGTGCTAGGATACCACTACCGCATTACTTCTAAAAAACAATTAAAATGCAAATGTATTTTAGCAATGTGAATCAAGAGTGAATTAATTTTACCAGTACTTCATTGCGGATTACTGTTAGTGAAAAAAGCTGAGTGATCTCTACCATCATTATACCACATATTAGGAAAGCCTACTGATACTTGTTACTATCTCTGATCTCCCAAATTGTCTCTATCTCTCACAAGTGTCCTTATTTGCATCAGAAAGCGATATGGTTTATTGAAATCTTTTAATCCTGAAGGTGTTTGGGATATTAACACCTTTAATGCATTCCTGCATGTAGCAACAAGGAAAAGCTAGTTATTGGGCAACCAGTCAGTTCTCTTACTAGCTCACATCTTGTCCAGCTTCCATTTGATAAACTGCTAACTACTGTTGATTAACCGATGCTAGAAAAATATTACTCAGGTGAAACGCCCAGAAGGGAGTAGCTATCATTCCAGGGTTGCATTTATCTGTTTTTAAACTGGCATTGCACAATACAACATAGTGCTCCAGTTCATCTGGAACCCACAGCAAAGACTACAGGCCGCTTCTATGCCAGGCTTCTTAGATGTGCCTGGTGCAGTAATGTTACCCAAAAAGCAGATCCATGCCTGGCATGCAATAAACCAATCATAACACACTCAGGAGAGATACTGTACTTATTCAGGCCTGGGTGCTCAGTGGACTTTTCCACAAATCAAGTACAATAACAGCAGGTTTTGGTACTTCTTTTTACACAAAAAAACAGAGGTTAGTACCTTTCCAAACACGCCTATTAGATAGTGATAGGTTAACAATTAAAATACAATTACAATACGGCTTACATAATGCTTCTATAACTACACATGCTCAGGGGAAGGGTCTTAACCTGGGCAAGGGTCTTTTTGATCTGTGAGTGTGCTTTTAGTATTACAATGAAGGTAGTTCACTTTCAAGACACATTACAAGTTAGTTACACTACCAAGTTAATTAATAAATTGCTCACTTTGCCAGATGGTCAAATAATTCAGCCTTAACACAATTAACCCCTGCTATTCTCATTACGATTCAGTGATTTACCTATTTTCCAGAGTTTGGAGATCAAAACCTAGTCTTCCTGAATTCCTTATTGCTAATCAGGGTCATCTCGGCCATGATTCCCAGTCTTACTCGACCGATCTTTAAAGACACAGAATTGTCCCTATGTGTGCTGCAGCTATGGCTACCAGTAAATCTGATGTATACTAACTTATTGCCTATAGCCACCTGCATGCGTGAAGTTTACCCGATCGATTATTAACTATGGCCACCTGTAAATGTGAAGCATACTGTAGCAGTAACACGACCGTGACCCTAGAGCTCAGTCAGGCAGCTCACCCTGCCCAGGCTCTCGTGGCTAGTATCCCTGACGTGCGGAAACCAGACTCCACAATCTGATAGATTGTAAAGTAGGTATGTTTATTCAGCGCTGGGCACACAGGGGATAGCTCCTCCTATTCTGCGCAACGATATGGCACCATTGCCTTATATTTATAGAGCAAATGATTACATATCCATAATATTTCGCAATACGCCTATACATATGCATTACCTGTCCCCGCTTCGTATTATAATTAGCATTTCCATAATCTCCTCCCTATTGAGTCTGCGCAGTGCCTTCTGGTGGTGGTCGTGGGGTCTTTGGGGATGAAGTCAAGCGCCTCTTCCTCCTGTCCGCTCTGTGACCCCAGGCTTCGCGCAGACTCAGTCCCTTACTGGCTGTTGTCCAAACCGTAGGTCTAGTCCCAACCGGCTTTGTACTGATAAAGCCTAAAGACTCCATGCCTCAGCTCATCATGTTTTACAAACTATCTACTTTTTAGCAAATCATTAGGCAAACTCTTATCTCAACTATTTCCCTTGTCATCCCCTTACTCTTACCTCAACTATTTCCCTCGTCATCCCCTTCTTGCTATTCCCATATTAACCCTTACATCCCCTGTTCCTATCTAGGCCCTGTATCAATCCCCCCTTTTCTTATCATACTAAGTAAATTCTTTTACTTCAACAATTTTCCTGAATAATATAAAGCCTCATGCATAGCAGTTATCCTTTTAAACATTCTCCAGACCCATAAATATAACATGATGGTTAGTACTAATAAAATTCCTAAACTACCTAGTAGGATCACAATGGGGTGTATCATAGTGTTAAGAATCCCTGTTGCAGAAGGCGACCAGCCGAAAAGAGTATCCCACCAGTTATGACTTGCATCTTGTTTTGCTCTTTGCAAAACCCTGTTTATTTCTTTTGTATCATGGTGAACAGTGACTAAAGTTTTCTCTCCGTTTCTCTGAATTTCTCTCAAGATCCCTAGCAGGTCTTGGTGTTTAATCAATTGCCTTACTAATGTTAGGTTCATTCCAATAGGTGTAGGTGATAACTCGAGCTACCCTGTGATTTTAGATTTTATCAACTGGTGGGAAACCACTGGTGCCCAATATACAAAGTCACACCCAATGATCTTAACAAAGTTACAAATACAGAAATTAGAATGATTCCCAATGGGCAAAGTTACATTGTCATGATCTATCTCTACGAATACACAAGTGGTTCTTAAACATATACAGCCTTGACCAGTATATACAATCACCGTTTTTTTACTATTATCTGGGTGAATTTCGAAGTGGCAGATACTTTGCTCAGTGTCAAGGCATACGTCTTGGGCATCAATTGTATTACTTTCACAAATGAACCCCTGTTGTTCTCGGGTAATACAAGATTCCACATTTACAGTCTGCCATTTCTCATTCACCTTCCGGGCCCATGCTCTATGCTCTGAAGGATAGAGCACTGTGTCCTCATGATTCAACCCTAATGCAATGATGGGGTGGATTACATAAACTGTGGCATTACGTATAGTGAGCACAAAGGCAGTAGCTATGTTAGTAGTGGGGTCATAGGTAAAATTCACCATAGTCCACCACGATTGGAATCTCCTTTCAAAATTGGTGGCTTTGTCCCAAACCGCCTTTCGGATTTCAACTGGAAAAATTCCTTCATTCCCTTCCCTTATAATCAAGGCAGCGGTTGCCTGCATCCATAATTGTGCTTGTATACAACTAAAAGCTAAAGACACATTATCCTGAACCATACTAAGTGCATCTAGTATTAGTTTGTGGTCTTGGTCCTCATCCTTTTCCCAACTTGGCAATACTTTTGAGACTTGCCATTGACTAGTTCCCAATGCCAATAAAGATGACTGTAGAGGCTGCCTTAGCCTTGTTAAATCACTTGTTGCAGTTGCCAATTTGTTCATTAATACTTCTGAATCGATTCCATTCAAAACTCCCAATCCTGTTCCTAATACCCCAGTTAAATCTCTTTTCATCCTGCTCCTAAGGTGCATTTGTTTTTGTGACCACATCGTCCAGCCCTTGAAAGATGTTTTTAAGAAAGAAAGACAGGCTGGTTGAATTTCTGAGATATTAGTCTGTATTGTCAATTCGACACGCTTAAGAAACCATTCTGGGTTAAACAATAGTTGTTGTTGGCCCACATTCCTAATCATATATGGGCCAATTTCATAAATCTTGGGTTTTGGTTTTGTTTGGGGTTGAGTTGTTTGTGTTGTAAGGGGTTGAGCTGTTTGTGTTGTAAGGGGCCCCCTGGTCGTAGGAGGTACAGCGTGTATCTTAAAATTTATCATAAGGCCTCCCTCTATTTTAAGCTCTTGGCCATTATTAGCATTATTAGCCCAGAAACAACTGACCACAACAGTCTGTGTTAACATAAAATCATACCAACAATCTAATTTACCTGGGCGGACACATCCCTCTCGATGGCCCCCCTCAGAGGTTGATTCTATCAGAATTCCAGTTACCTTTTCGTGAGTCGTTCCATTAATCATTTGACACCCTATTTTGATTTCATCTCCTATGATTCTTTCGAGTATCCACTCTTCTTCCAATTTCTCCCATTTTGGTAACATATATGGATAGCCAGCATCTGTTCGCCAGGGACCCGGATAGCCAGCATCTGTTTGCCATAGGACTATAACTGCCAATTTACCAGTTATGCTTCTATCTTCATTTGTCAAGGCTTCGGACCAAGGCCATTCAGCACTTTCAGCCCTTTCCAATCTTTGGTTTACAATTATGATTACAAAAATAATTTTCTCAATTGACTTTCTAAAAGCTGGGTTATTAAATATTCTTGACCCCAATGTGCTCATTTTACTCGTGTAAGCTTTAGTTTTAGTTCATTATCACCTGCTATTGCCTTCCAGGAAGTTGTAGGGACCTTCTTGATCCGAGTATGGTGAATCCAGGAGTTGTGCTCTTTGATCTTAACTGCCGTAAAAGAAGTGAGAAGTACTTGGTATGGTCCTTCCCACTGTGGCTCCAGATTCTTTTCTGTAAGAGATTTTACATACACGTAATCTCCAGGTTGTATACCATGAATAGGTCCATCCAGACCTCTCCCTCGAGTACCAGTTACATGTTTTCTGATTTTATTGATCTGTTTCCCTAACGCCACCATGTAGGAGCTCATAATTTCCTCTCCAATTTGTGTAGATATTCCTCTCTGTACCCCATAAGGTTGTCCATATAAAATTTCAAAGGGGCTTAGCCCTTCCCTTGCCCTTGGCCTTGTCCGTATGCGTAAAAGGGCCAAGGGAAGGGACTGAGGCCATGCCAGGTTTGCTTCTTGCCCCAATTTTACAATTTGTTGTTTGATTAAGTGGTTCATCTTCTCCACTTGACCGCTCGACTGAGGGCGGTACGGGGTATGAAGCTGCCAATCTATACCCAAATGGTGGCTAATTTGTTGTACTATTTTTGAGACAAAGCGTGGTCCTCTATCTGAGGATATGATTGCCGGAACCCCAAATCGTGGTATTATTTCTTGTATCAGTACTTTAGTTACTTCCCGAGCCTTAGCTGTTCTAGTAGGGAATGCTTCTGGCCAGCCTGAAAAGGTATCAGTCAGTACCAACAAATATCGATACCCCCCTTTTCTTGGTAATTCTGTAAAATCTACTTGCCATTGTTGCCCAGGCCCGTTGCCCTTCCCAATCTGGGGAACGTTCTTGGGATTAGTCCGGAGGCAGATGTCGCATTGTCGAGTCACCTGCCTTACCGTGGTATACAAATTTCTGGCTACAATCTCTTTTATCAAATGACTATACAAAGCTTCTGCTCCCCAGTGTCTCTTCCTATGCTCCTCTCGTGTGAAATGCCATAGTAAACGAGAGGGGATAATTAACTTCCCCTGTGGGGTATAAGCCCACCCTTCCTTGTTATATGTCCCTTCCAAATCTGCAATAAGTTTCTGATCCTCCCTGGTATATTCTGGTTTACTTTCCAGGGAAATTTGCCTATCGGGAATAAGTGCTCCTTCCGTCTTTATCTCTATTTTGGCAGCCCGTTTTGCCTCCCTATCCACCAGCTCGTTTCCTTTTTCCAATTCAGAGTTCACCTTTTGGTGTGCTTTAATATGCATAATCGCCACCTTCTCAGGAAGTTGAACAGCTTCTAATAGTTTAAAAATTTCCTCCACATGTTTGATGTTTTTCCCTTGGGAGTTCAATAGTCCTCTTTCTTTCCAGATTGCTCCATGTGCATGCACAACTCCGAAAGCGTATTTGGAGTCCGTGTATATGTTTATGATCTTACCCTTGGCCAGTTCCAGGGCTCGAGTTAAAGCGATTATTTCTGCCTTTTTTGCAGAAGTATTTGCAGGCAGAGGTCCTGATTCTGTTACCTTTTGACTGGTGGTAACGGCATACCCCGCGTGTCGATTACCGTTCAGGACGTAACTGCTTCCGTCCGTGAACCAGTTCTCCTCATCCTTCATGGGGCTTTCCTTCAGGTCAGGGCGACTCGAGTATGTCGCCTCAATTGTTTCCAAGCAGTCATGGTGCACTGGTTCCCCCATGTTACCGCTGAGGAAAGAAGCTGGGTTGACAATATTAGTGACTATTATCTGTACATCATCTTGTTCTACTAGTGCAGCTTGGTATCTCAGAAATCTTTGTGGGGAGAGCCAATGCCCTCCCTTCGCTTCCAGGACTGCCGATACTGTATGGGACACATAGACAGTCATTTTCTGGCCCAGAGTGAACTTCCGAGCTTCCTGTATGTTCAGTATCAGGGCAGCAACCGCTCGCAGACACCCAGGCCACCCTTTTGCAGTCGCATCTAGTTGTTTAGAGAGGTAGGCGACAGCTCGTCAGTATGGACCTAGGTCTTGTGCCAGTATTCCCAGGGCAATGCCCTGCTTCTCATGAGAAAAGAGAAGAAACGGTTTACTCACATCTGGGAGTCCTAGAGCCGGGGCCGACATCAAAGCCTTCTTCAGTGAATCGAAGGCTCGCTCAGCCTCCTTATCCCATTCGAGGTGCGTCTGTTCGGTGTTCGTTAGCGCATACAGGGGCTTAACAAGCAGTCCATAATTATAAATCCATAGCCTGCACCACCCCGTCATTCCCAAGAAGGTCCTTAATTCTTTTACTGTCTGAGGTTTCGGGGTTTGACATATGGCCTCCTTACGGGACTGTCCCAAAATTCTTTGCCCCGCAGTGATCTCATAGCCCAGGTAGTTTACTTTACGTTGTATCACCTGGGCTTTCTTCTTAGAGACCCGATACCCCTGTAGTCCCAAAAAATTTAACAAGCTCACCGTCCACGTTGCACAGTCCTCTTCTGTCTCAGTAGCGATCAAAATGTCGTCCACGTACTGCAATAATTTTCCTTTTTTGGATGGGGCTTCCCAGGATTCCAAGTCCTTTGCAAGCTGGTTGCCAAAAAGAGTAGGGCTATTCTTGAACCCTTGTGGCAACACCGTCCAGGTGAGCTGGGTCTTTCGACCAGTTTTAGGATTTTCCCATTCGAATGCAAACAACTTTTGGCTGGCTTTATGGAGAGGAAGGCAAAAGAAGGCGTCCTTCAAATCTAAGACAGTAAACCAAATCAACTCTGGTGTTAATACAGTTAACAGGGTATATGGGTTTGCTACCACTGGGCGGAGATCTTCAACTATTCTATTCACAGCCCGTAAGTCCTGAACCACCCTATACGACCCATCAGGTTTCCGAACGGGCAGTATAGGGGTATTGAACTCAGACTCACACTCTTCTAGTAACCCTAATTGCAAAAATTTTTCTATTACTGGTCGGATTCCTTCCCTATCCTCCCTTTTTAAAGGATACTGCTTAATTCTCACCGGTCGTTGACCTTCCTTGATCCTAACCTCAATTGGTAGAGCGTTTTTCGCCCTTCCAGGTACATCGGTAGCCCAAACTCCCGGATATACTTGGTCTAAAATTTCCTCACTAATTTCTCCTCCTGACGAAAAACTAGTTAGAGTTAGACTCAGCACTTGAATGTATTGCTGATCTTTTACCTCCAAGGTGACTTCCCCTTTTTCAAAGATAATTTTTGCTTCCAGTTGTTCCAGCAAGTCCCTCCCCAGGAGAGCTTTTGGGGAGTTAGGCATATAAAGGAATTTATGAATTCCCCATTGCTTTCCCAATTTATACTCTAAAGGTTTACAAAAATACGCCTTTTCAGATTGGCCGGTCGCTCCCTTTACCATAACATAGTCGTCCCCCAGTGGTATTAAAGCTTGATTCAAAACCGAGTACGTTGCTCCTGTGTCTACCAAAAATTCTACTACTTCTTGTTCTCTCCCCAGCTTAAGTTTAACCAGTGGATCCGCCAGGGTAGATCCCCCAGGTCCCCGTCAGTCCTCTGTTACATTTGCTATTTTTACATTCATTGAAGCCTTCCCATTCTCCCTCCTATTCTTTGGACATTCCTTTTTCCAATGCCCGAAACCCTTGCACAAAGCACACTGATCCCGCCCCAGCCGCGGTCGTTGCCTGGCCGGTCTCTGAACCAGAGTGGCCATCAACTTCATCTGTCCTTGTCGACATTCTTCTTCCCTGTTGCTAAACACTTTCCACGCCTCCTCTAACAATACCTCCAGATTCCTACTTTCCGTAGGGCACAGCTTCTGAAGTTTTCGCCTTATGTCTCCTGTAGATTGGCCCATGAACAAGGAAACTAGTTGTTGTATTCCTACTTCTGATCCCGGATCCAACGGTGTATTACGGCGCATTACATCTCTCAGTCGATCCAAGAATTCGGATGGGGACTCGGAAGGACCCTGTTTCACTGCATATAAAGCTGACCAATTTATAGTTTTAGGGATCGCTCTTTCTATCCCCTTTGCAATCCATTCCCGATACGCCCGTAACCTTTCCATATGTGCCGATCTATTTGGTTCCCATTTCGGGTCTTGGAGAGGAAAATATTCTTTAACGTCTCCCCCGGTAATCTTATAATGATCCTCTGCCAAGTCTCCTGCTATTTTTAGAATCAATTGTTTCTCTGTTTCAGTCATATATTCTAATAGTAGCTGTACATCACTCCAATCCGGGTTATGCTGTTTTATAATGAATTGGAAGTGTTTAGCTACATCATGTGGATCGCGTCTATAGCTTTTTGCAATTCCCCTCCATGCTTCCAAATCAGCGGTGGTGAAGGGTACCCTAACCAACATTGTACCACCCTCCGGCCCCACGGCTTCCCGAAGGGGTGCCTGTAAAATACTTGTTGCGGTTTTTTGTCTAGTGTGGGCGGATATCGGACTATCGGGAGAGTCCGCCGTTCCTTCCGAGTCAGCATCCTGATTCTGTGTTCGGGGGGGAGGTTTAAACAAATCATCATCTAGTTCTGAGGTTTGGTGAACCTTATCTACCTTCGTACATCTCTGTCCAATGCTACATGATGAGCAACACCTCTTTAGCTTACCCCTACTTTCCTTACTTTCTCATTCAAGTGCGAGCACCATAGGGTCCTGTGGGGGTACTAACCCACAGTCCCTTTGCCACTCTGGGTGATTTCGCAAAGTGAAAAACATATCCGCGTATGATACCTCATCCCATTTTCCTTCTCTCCTTATAAACAACATAAGTTGTAACAGAGTGTTACATTAAGTGGCCATTTAGCGCCATCCTCTAGCTTATACAGCGGCCACCACTGATTGCAATATTTTACAAGAGTCCTTTTGCTTTCCGTGCCTCCGCTCCCTGCAATATCCTGCCAATGGGCGAGTATACAGCCGAGAGGGCTCTTTTTTAATACCCCTCCCTGAGTATTACCCATCTTGTTTTTGTAAAACACTCACTCCAAACGCTCACGCTTAACACGATCACCACACAGCATTCACTCACAATCTCACAATCTCACGGACGTCCACACACTTACAGCACTTTCATCAGGAGTAAAAAAAAACTCAACAGAACAAAGGCCTTTCAATCACTCTTGCCTGTGGCCGCCCTCTCGGCCAACAGGTCCCCGATTGGAGCCGGCGACCGCTCTATCGGTCTGTGGCAAGGTATAATTGCCCCCTAGACTCCCCTAACCCGCACGAATTCGCGCCTTTTCGGTGCACCTACCCAGGCCTTGGCTGCACGCCAGACGTCTCTGCGCGATTTACCAGCTGCCCCAGCCACGCGTACAACTTACAGGCTCCTATCCTTGAACATACCGTTTAGTCCGCGGCTTCAGGAAGTCCTTGTCTGCTCCCACGGTGAGCGGCTGGTAGCGGAGGCTCCTCCGAGGAAAGTGCTCGGGGCGCGCCTGGGAGAGTCCGCCCCGCAGTCGATCCCGCAGTCGAGCAGAGAGTCTCCTGGCTGGCTCGCCAAAACTGACGTGCGGAAACCAGACTCCACAATCTGATAGATTGTAAAGTAGGTATGTTTATTCAGCGCTGGGCACACAGGGGATAGCTCCTCCTATTCTGCGCAACGATATGGCACCATTGCCTTATATTTATAGAGCAAATGATTACATATCCATAATATTTCGCAATACACCTATACATATGCATTACCTGTCCCCGCTTCGTATTATAATTAGCATTTCCATAATCTCCTCCCAATTGAGTCTGCGCAGTGCCTTCTGGTGGTGGTCGTGGGGGTCTTTGGGGATGAAGTCAAGCGCCTCTTCCTCCTGTCCGCTCTGTGACCCCAGGCTTCGCGCAGACTCAGTCCCTTACTGGCTGTTGTCCAAACCGTAGGTCTAGTCCCAACCGGCTTTGTACTGATAAAGCCTAAAGACTCCATGCCTCAGCTCATCATGTTTTACAAACTATCTACTTTTTAGCAAATCATTAGGCAAACTCTTATCTCAACTATTTCCCTTGTCATCCCCTTACTCTTACCTCAACTATTTCCCTCGTCATCCCCTTCTTGCTATTCCCATATTAACCCTTACATCCCCTGTTCCTATCTAGGCCCTGTATCAATCCCCTGTTCTGGCAGCTGACAGCAGCGGCCTGCCTAACAGAATCGGTTCCGCCCCGCGGGAGGCTAGCACGGCGGCACAGGGCAAGCCCAGCCGCCACTGTTCTTCCGCCCGCCGGGGACGGCTGAAACAAGTGCGAAAGGCGGCGCCGAGGCCGGAGGAGACCGGCTCGGGCCGCCTTCCCGACCGCACCGCTCCAAGCAGCTGCTCGGGACCGTACTCACAACGACGGACGAGACCAGGCCCGATCTGCCGCCACCCCGCAGGAGCCTCCTCGCTTCTCCGCGCCGCGTTCGAACGACGCACCGCCCGCTCCGGCTCCCCGGATTGGCGCCGCGGCCGAGGCCCGCCCCCGTTGGCTGCGCCCCTCGCGCACGGGGCGGTGTTACACGGCTCGGCGCCTGCGCATCGGCTGCGACCTCTCCGCCGGGGAGCGGGGCCGGGCCGCGGCCTGCCTGCGCCGCCGGGCGCCGTGCCGAGGAGGGGACGGCTGTATGTCGCGACAGGCCATATATGCCCCCGTCTGCCGCAGCACAGCTGCAGGTGCTGTAGAGACGCTGATGGCAAGTGTGACCAAGCACGGCAGCACTGCTGTTCCCGCCTCCCCGTCCTTCCCCGCCCGCCCCCCCCCCCCCCCCTCCCCCCCCCCCCCCCCCCCCCCCGCCTCGGATTTAGTGCCGTTGCGGACCTGTGGACTAGATACGCAAGACAGAAGGAATAGCAAAAGGATGCATAGGCAGGGTTGCCCACTTGGGTATTGAAGCCACGGCTCCTGGTAATTATGAACCAACATCCTGGAAGATTTTTTATTTGGTTTCTTTCCCAGCTCCTGCAGCTCTTGCTGGAGAAGATGCCTGCGGTGACTGTACACTGTTCAGTGTTGTACTGTAAAACATTTTGGGATGTCCTGTGTAGCAAACTGGGCAGCACAGAAAGGCTAAGTCCAAAGAATGTGGCTTGTGTTAGGGCTGGGTTTTTTTTGTTTTGTTTTATTCACTTCTGGGTGTTGAGCAGTAGTTATGGGCAGTCAAGAAAGCTGTGGGTCGATTTCTTGCAACAGAAGAATACCCTAGAGGAAAACAAGACATGCAAAGCATTTATCTTTAAAACTCTTCTGCCTGAAGAATTGCTCTGCAAAGAGCTGTAGCAGCTTCTGTTATTTTTTTTCCAAAGGTTTGGTTTGGTTTCCCCTATCAGCTAGAGACACCTCCATAGGTGGAGTCATGGGGAAGCCAACCCAGTAACACTGCAGGATACCTCTTGAGTCCCACCATGGGCTTATAAACATACTTTCTGTAAGTTCCTAAGAGCTATGGTTTAAAAAAAGTTCCACATGATGATGTTTGTACCCCTTTGTATCCACACACTATAATATGGGTGAGTACAGCTCAATAAATACCCCTTATTAATAAACACATGTTTCTATGTGTTACAGCCCTATATCCTGTTCTGCTTTGTTTTGCTCTGCCCATTGGCTTTATGGCTTCCAGATGGTCGCAGATGTGTTATGCCTCTTCCCGCCCCATCTCCATAGGGAAAGTTTCAGGCTCTTCTCACTAGCCTGCATCTTGAGACACTGTATTTTAAGACTTGGTTTGGATCTTTGGACAGGCAAGATGGGGTCATTCATCTAAAGACCTTCTAAATGACTGACAGTTCTGCAAAACAAGGAGCTCTTTTGAAGGGGGGGATGGGGGAAGATGGGGGTACTGAAGAGGTGAAGTCAGGTGGTAATGAGGTCTACATGCTCAGTTTCTAAGGGTTATCTTGAGACCTGGAGGTTTGGATTGGCATTTTTCATGGAAAGGTGGGGAGGCATGGTGCTACTTGGACAGTGCATACAGCCAGAGCAATAATGTGTGACAGAAGAATGGTAGGGCAAAAGGGAAGCAGCAGGCTGAAGCTGAACTGGGCAGTCAGCTTGTCCTTTCCTGCCTGTTTATAAATTCAGAATTCATCTTCTTACAGTGCCTCTGTTATTTCCATCCATCTCAACTTTGTTACCCAAAAGAACATCATGTGCGAAGGAGGAAAGGTAGATTGATTGGAGATTGGCATTATGTACTTTTGAGTTGCATCTGCTTGTAGTCCTGTCAGCCAATAAGCCTTGATTTTGGAGTAGACCATAAGCAAATATCACGAGATTTTTTTTTTCCCAGTTTCATCCCCAAGAGCTAAGGACTGCTTTAGCAAGTAGACATGATAAGACTCATGCATTATAGAGGTGGGAAGTAAATACATTCTGAATTTTTGCCTCTCTGTGGAAATGCTAACAGAACAGTAGCTTTCCATGCTCTTTGGCTGTTTGCAGAGCCAACTAATTGCCCAGTCTGTAAAAGGCCTTAGGAAATCAAGCACCTAATAGGCCAGTGGGATGTAGCTTGTGTTTCACGGCTGAAGTTTGCAATTCACAGCTGAAAAGACACAGGATGTATCACTTCCCTTCTTGGCTGTTTATTGCTCAGCTTGATCCATTTATATATTCGGTGAAAAGAGACAAGAAAAAATACACACCCTGCACCTGGCTTGTAGATTGTGGCCGGTGTTTCTCACTTCCTAAGGGACTACCAAACAAGTCTGTTTTTCCTTTTCACTGTCTTTAACCCAAATGACTTGGCTCAAGTGGGCTTTACTGTTTACCCTTGCATAAATTGTTGTGATGACATCACAAACGTTACCTCTTTGCTCCATGGCAATGGCTGACCCTTGCGGAGGTAAGAGTCGGAGATAGAGAAAACAAATCTTGAACTCTGGAGGGAGACTATGAGAGCTGGAAAAGTGCGCAACGAGCTGAATATTTACACAGTCCAGCCTTGACAGTGGAACTGGTAACTTCTTGCACTGTGGTTGTTTACTTACGTGTTTTACCACTAGCCAGTTGGTTCTTCTGACTCGACAGCCTTCTCCCTGTCCATTGAAGCACAGTGACTGAACATCTTGCTTGAACCGTGTGGTGGACCAGCTTATATTGCTTATTACTCTCAACAGGGGTTGTACTTTAATCTATGGCAGGGTACTACCACAGATGGTTGTACCCCAGAAGGATAAGAAAAGTAATTTGCACTAGTTTTGTGCTGACAGTACTGTTCAAATGTGTACACCCCAAAGCAGTGGATACTTTTAGACAGTAGGCATCAGGCCACAAACCATTATCAATTACAAGTGATGCTAACCAAAAGTTTTCTAGAGGCTGTGGCTGCTCTATCAGCAGTTGACACCATTTAATGGTTTAGCTAGACTGAAGGCCAAAAAGTGTAAAGATGTATCTTGTGCTTCACTTGATTTGGGGTTTGTTTTATTTTTTGTTTCTTTTTTTATTTTCTTTTTATTTAGGTTAGACTCTAGTTTAGACCCAAGAGCTTGTTTGACCCTGTCGCTTGAGTACAGAGGCAAAGAAAGGATTGGGGTTTTTTTTGAATGTGAAGCAGTAAACTTTCATCCATGTGCTTGGAAGCCTGTTCTGTTGGGAGTGGCAAGAAATCTACCCACAGCTTTCTTCATCTAGGTTTGACTAAACATCCAGAAGTGAAAAACAGTCTTCTTAATGGAAGATGGCAATGAACCTGAGCAGAGCTCCTGGGCTCATCTACCTGATGTCTGTCTGAGGCATGTCTTCCATTGGTTAGATGACAGGGACAGATCTCGGGCTGCCTTGGTCTGTAAAAAATGGAGTTGGGCCATGCACTCGGGATCCCTCTGGAGAAGCAGAACGATCACATTCTATGGCCGACCATCAAGGGCACATACATTGGAGTTTCAAAGTGCACTGTGGTACCTCAAGAAATTTGGCAAGTATTTGGAACACTTTGAGATCAAATTATCAAATCCTTACAATACTGCTTTTACCCAAAAATTTCAAGTGACTATGAGAGGTCTTCTTTCACACTTGGGTAAGTGTAACAGCCGCCTAGTATCCCTGAGCATCAAGTACCTGGAGTTAGACCGCTTGATCTGGAAAAATGTGGTCAGGGCTCAGTTTATCAAGAACTTAGCTACCTTCCTGAAAAGAATGAGCAAACAGCTTAATTGTCTGAACTTAAAAGGAGCAAGAGTAACCTTGGAAGAAGGCTGTGAGCTTCTGAATTCTCTGACCTGCTTGACAAATAAAAACTTTATATCTGAAATCAATATTGAGGATTTCTTCAGTCTCCACCTTCCTGTCTATAGCAGCACCTTGTTTCACCAAACTATGTCCAAGTTCCACAGCCTGGTCATCCTGACTTTCAATTATAACTGCATCTCTGATGAACTGCTGGACATCCTGCGGGAGCAAAGTGCTCATTCCCTGTGCAGCTTGAATATCAAATGTCATATCCATGACCCTCGTGGGCAAGTGGTCTGGGGAACGTCATGGGCAAACTTGGCCAAGAAAGCCCCAAAACTGAATGTGAACTTCTTCTTTGAGAGAGTCATGAAGCATGATCACCTAGCGAGGATCCTGCTAGCGGAGATCCCAGTCAGGAGCATCAGTCTACGGAGCTGCTATTTCAGTGACCCAGACTGGACAATGAGACCTACCCTCACCAACCTACTCCCAGCCTACTGTCATGTTCTACAGGTAAGGGAAACAATAGCGACATCTTACTGCAGTATCACAAGGCTAAGTGAAGTAATCATATAGGTCTTCTGCACAACAGCAGTAATCAAAAGGAATTCCTGACTGCTTCAGTTTTATGTTCAGAGGGTAATTTTTATAAGAGCCATTCCGGTGTTCCAGCTATAGTCTAGTTCAGGTACTTCTCCTTGTCTGGTTACAATCCCCATTATGCTAGTCTTTGCTATCACGCTGATGTCAGATTGCCCTCAAAAAAACTAAACCACCCAAAATATTGGTGGTTGTAATATCAGCTGTGAGCAAAAAGAATCTTTCAGGCAGGAAAATGTCATTTTTGTAAGAAAGCTTTAGACTTACTCTGGTTAGACACCTTCATGTTTAGTAACTGATAACTTAGCCTTTCAGATTTTTCTGGGCCCCACCCTTTTTCAGGGAAATTTGCATATGAGGAAAAGAGTCTGTACACCTTGTTTGCTGACAGAGCTGTAGCCTGCATCAACCTACATTGATGGGTTTGCTCTATTTTGGCAATGCACAAATGTCTTCTAGCACATGTAAATTAACTGGTGCCCATCACCAAGGATGTGTCACCAAAGGTGTGCAACAGCTGACCAATGTGAATGAGCACCAGGTCTTTGCATGCCGAGGGAAGCACATGGCTTTATACCTGATGGTTTCTGACTGCTTGCTTTAAGTTCTGTTGCATTGCAGAGTTTCCAATAAACACCAGAGATCTGTAAAGTTTTCTAGAAATTGTCTTTGGATCTACTCTTGTATCTGGGATAATTTCCGATATGTCAAATAAGACCATGGCATGAACTGTGGGTTTAGCATCTTCTAACGGTAATAGGAGTTATGTCTCAGGATGGTATGTAATGCACAAGGGACCCTCCCATCTTAACAGGAGAGTGGAGATTACTGTAGCATATATTATTGTTGTAATACAAAACTGATTTTCTGCTAATGTCAAGGTACAAAATTGCTGACAGCCACTTCTGTTGATAAAATTGGGAAACTAACTAACTGTGTTCATTCCTTTTCAAGAAATTAACACTTGAATTAAACAATGACCATGAGCTGCTGGACGATGAGCTGCTACATCTCATCTTATCATGCAAGAGGTTGTTATTTCTGAAAGTATGGGCATTTCTAAGTGTCACCTTTATGGAGAGGCTGCTACAAAACCGTGCAGAAAGGAAATGCACTTTGACTACCATAAAGGTAAGACTTTGTGCTTCAAGTCTCCCACTCCCTTCCTCTCTCCAGTACCCAGAGAAAGGTGAGGTCCCCATGGCCATAGAAAGATCACTTAAGTGTTAACATAACTACCTTTCCTAGATTATATCAGTATAACAAACCTGAGAACCACTGACAGAAATGGAGCTTTCTAACCTCCTTAGCCATGTACAGAATACCACAGAAATTTCATAACAAGCCTCAACAATTCCACAAGTCCTTCCTAGTCTGGAGTTCCCTTTGTCACCTCTATTTCAAGCTAGGGATTCTCTGCCATCTCCCAGGCCCAGTGCTTACATTTATGTTTGAATCGAGGCAGGTGGGTTGAATCCCACTAAAACGCAAAAAGATATAAATACGTCTCCCTCTTTAGGGATGCTGTGTTGAACTGGGGCCAGGCCACAACTGTAGCTGGTGTAGACTATGCTGTCATGCTACTTTGCATGCTAGATTCTGAATTCAGTAGATCCTCCCAGATCTGTGCAGATCCCCGGGATGCATCAGTTCTGGGGGAAAAACAAACCTTGCTCTTCCTAAAGATGCTTTGGCAGATGATGTTTTCAGTCAATTTGGAGTGAAAACAGAGTAGAACCTCAAGATTTTCCTCAAAACCAATGAATTTAGCTTCGCTAGATTTTTCATTAGTCACAGAAGCTTCTTCTTGTCATGCACTTTAATGGGCTGAGACCGTTCCACGTATCTGAGACACATGATTGTCATTCATGCATACAGGTCAGGATTTACACAGCCAGACAAGACAGCAGTGAGGAGGATCGGCTGTTGTGCGATATTTACAGGAAGTTCAAATACCTGATTGACTCGGAGCTTAATTATTTTGTCATCACCTACCCAATGGTGTGAACCACAGGGAGAGAGAACACCACCCAGTGACATCTGTGATCAATGAACAAATCCTTTGGAGGAAATTAGTAAGGGATTTGAATCTTGACAGCAGTGTCTCTGAAAGGGAGATACCATTACAGCAAGAGAGAGGCAAGAGGCAATTTTACACTCCATGCATTAAAATGTTGGACTTGGGAACTGGCCTCCTATGTGTCCAGCATCATTTATTCCTGTTGGTTTGTTTTTCCTCACCAGAATGAAAGAAAGCAGTAAGCCCTTTTCCACACTTAGAGGCATCTCTGGTACAAATAAGGCCCTCCTCTTTCTTCAGCACTTTTCACTGTAGAGCTTCAAAAACCTTACCAGTGAAGCCCAACTCGTCGTTTCTATTTTACAAATAAGGAAAGTGAGACATGGGGTGAGGAAGTGATTAGCCCAAAGTCAGCCTTGGCTTGATCTTGACTCAGATGCACTATCCAGTGGATCACCAGTCTCTACCTCCTGTTAAGTTTGTGGCATGGTATAAGCCTGGTGGGCAACTAAGCACCACACAGCTGGCTCACCCACTCCTTCCCCCTCCGGGGCAGGGAGGAGCAAACAAAAAAAGGATTGAGACTAGGACAGGGAAGGATGACTCACCAATTATGGTCACAGGCAAAAGAAAGACTTGATTGGGGAAGAAAAAGAACATCAATTCAATTTAACCACCACCAACACTTCATTTACCAATCAGAGTAGGATAGTGAGAAATACAATCACATCTTAAAAACACCTTCCCTCCGCCGCTCCTCCCTTCTCAGACTCAGCTTTGCTCCCAGTTGCTCTGCCTCCTCCTCACAAGCAGTGCAGGGGGGCAGGAGATGGGGATTGCGGTCAGTTCATCACCTGTTGTTTCTGCTGCTCCTTCCTCCTCAAGGGGAGGACTCACATTCTTGCCCTGCTCCAGAGTGGGGGCCCTATCACGGGAGAAAGTCCTCCAAAAACCTTCTCCAACAAGAGTCCTTCCCAAACTGCTCTAGCATAGGTCCCTCCCACAGGCTGCACCCCTCCCAGCAACGGACTGCTCCAGTGCAGACTTCCCTCAGAGTCCCGTCCTCCTTCGGAGGCAGTCACCTGCTCTGGCGTAGGGACTTTGCAGGGCAGCATCTGCTCCACCGTGGACCTCCATCGCTGAAGGGGGACAGCCTGCCCTCTCACCACAGGCTGCAGAGGGGTCTCTGCTCCAGCACACCTCCTCCCTTCTACAACTGACCTTGGTGTTTGCACAGGTATTTCCCTCACAACTCCTCCTCATCCCAGGTTCTCCTTCTTAAATGTTATCACAAAGGCGCAGCCACTGTTACCAATTGGCTCGGCCCTGGCCAAGGCAGGTCCAACTTGGAGCCAGGGGAGCTTCTAGAAGCCTCACAGGAGCAGTGTCTGCAGCCCCCCTCCCCGCTGCACACAAACCCAACACCGTTTGATATACCACTGTGCCTAGTTCTTAACAGCAGATGTTAAGAACAAAATGTGTCATGCCTAGCCCTGAGAGTCAGCCCTCCCACTTGCCCAGCTTTCCAACATATGACTTACGAGGAGACTCCTGCTCTAGCTTCCACAGCTTCTAGACCTTTCAGTGGCAAGAAATATAATGTGTTGCACACAGGATAAATAATATGAAGAAGGGACACTTCTTCTTATTCTGGAATTTTATTGCCAAGTGGGAGATTTCATCAGGCATTCTAGAGCACAGATGGCTGTGAAACAGATAGGGGTAAGTAATTACCTTGCACAACTAGAACCAGGACAGCATTGAGCCAAAACAGTACATCTGGAGGTTTGTCAATCAAATTTCAGTGGGAGCTGGTTCTTTGGAGGACACACACTCTCCCAGTGTGGTGGTTTCAGAAGCTGTTAATGTAAACAGACTCTCTCATTTGCATGCAGAGCACTTCATCAATATACAATGTATTCTCCTTGACTTGGATCTCCTCCTCCAAGGAAAGCTGTCTACGGCTCAGACCTTTCAGCTCTGTCTCAGCCTGTGCCAGTGTGTCCTTTAATCTAACATGGAAAATATAAAGACATTAGTTTTTCATATGGTATAAGAATTTTGAGTGAAAAAAAAGATGGAAGGGGATTCACAGAGCCAATATCCATGCAGCTTCCCTTAAAGTGCCCTGCCCTTAAAGGAAAAGCAATTACCCACCTTTTAGGGAGAATAGCCAGGACGCAGTGTAACTTTGACTCATTAAATTGACCCAGTAATCTATATCACAGATTTTCCCCTCTTTCATCATTTCCACTTACCTTTGAATATTTTTTGTAATCTCTTGAACTTCATTCATCAGCCCGTACTGCACTGTGTCGCAACACAATTCCACATTGGGACGATGGTTTCTTGCTTCCAGGCGGGTTTGAGCCACTTTAACGGGTCCTTCTTTATCAGCAATTGCTTTCTGTAAAGCTGCAATGTTCTTCTCCTGTGCGGCAGTCTCATCTAGCACCTTAACAAAGCCAGCGGAAGGAACTGCTGCACACCATCTCTTACAGTGGGTGAAATCATCAACATCTTTTATAGTTACCGTAATAATCACAGAAACAGCCATTATGTTAAGATGTCATTTCATCAAAGGATATTTTACAAAGATCAGCCAGGATTCTGATTCCTTCATTGGAAAGCAGGTGATACTCTTCTGAGTGAAACTGGAGATTTATGCTCACCAATTATTTTTTAATATTAACATTCAGTTTTCATGTATCAAATTTCAAGCACATTGACCATTATTTTATAAGTTATTAGGCCTCCTATATCACAATCATGAAAATTCTACAGGAGCCCCATGTAACTAAAAATCACAAGGGAAATCCTGACTTTACTGATGTCTACAGCAACGCTTACACCGAGTGATTGATTCCAGAAATTCACCTCTGTAGTAGTGCACACAGAGCTGAGAAAACAACATCTACGATGACGACTTTGGGGTGGGGGAGTGTGTGGTGGGGTAGCAAAATGCGGCAGGGGTTGCCAATATTGCAAAGGTAAAAATTCTTAAAGCAAAGTAGCTCAAGCCACTGGATTGAGAAAACTAGTAAATAACCCAAGCCCATTGTTTCTACTTTTTTGCTGACTGTCCCCTATCACTTACCATTGCAAGGAGTGTCTCTAGCTTGCGCTTGGCATCCTTGACTTCCTTCACCCTATTTCTGAATGCAACATTCACCATCTCACATTGCTTGTGCATGTCATTTGCTGTCTGTGAAAGGATGCCATCAATCAGTGCCCTCAGTGCCAAAGAATTGTTTCTCTGCTTCTCAGCCTTTTCAACATTTATGTTTGAGAAATCTATCCAGTCTTCAGGGCTAACAAAACTGAAAGATTCAAAATAAAAGGTCATCAATTGGCAGCATCAGGCCCTCCGTGACTTCATAAATCTGTAATTACTCCACAAAACTGAGAACAAAGCAGTATTATTAGCTGCATGTCGCTGTGAGTGCTAGTTGTGCTGAAAATTCTATAGATAGAAGATACAGACCCTCTCTGTCACAAACATTTCAGAACAAAGTAGACAAGGGTAGGATGGAAGTTTGCTAAAATCACAGAGGAACTTTGTTATAACTTTCCTTTCCCTGACAAAGGCTTAAGTTGTAGTGGGGGAAACACAGATAATAACCAACATTTCTTGGAACACCTTTCTTTAATTAGGCTGTTATTGCTAATATAATTCAGCTGTTACTATTAATAGCAGGTAACTATTCACACAAAACGTTCATTTATTGTCTTACACAGTTCACCACCTACAAGATGGTCACTTATAGTACCTGGTTGGAGCAATATTTGGGAAGCCAATCCCCAACCGTATTCCGAGAATTAGAGGGTCGTACTTGTGCACCAGTGGCTTGCAGGCAGGTGTTTGGAAAGTTCCTCAGAGGGTTCCTTGTTTCATAGGGTGGATATATAAAGCTGTAATTGTAATTTGCATATAGCAGCCAACACCATCTGGGGAGTGGTCTGAGTTACGCAACCTGTTGTGGATGCATGCTAACATACTAGCAGCAAGAGCTGTCAGTCTCGGTGTTCCAAGTTTGTCAGTTCTCACAGAGCCAATATTGTCCTTGAGACTGTCTCACGCAGCCTGCTTTCCCAGTATGTGTCCTGTTTTCAGCCAGTTTTTCTGTGGTAGTTATTTCTCCATCTAAACCATTCACACTAACTAACCCACACAGCAGGGGCACATAATGACTGCGTCAGAAACTGACCCCACACCTCATGTGTCCCAGTCCAGCGCTCTCCCCACTAGGACACTCTGGGAGAGGAGGGGGAGTTAGATTTAAACCCAGAATTGTTTAAATCTATTTTTAAATCTATTCTGGGTCTAAACAACGTGTGACATTTTTCCTTAGGTAACTGTGAGCCCCAAAAACTTTTACTAAACTGCAGTTTACTGGGAACATCATTACTGTGGCTTATTTCACAGACATATTACATGGATACTAAAGTGATAAAAGTATAAAAAACAAGCTACAACAGACAGATGATGGACAGATATAGTCCATTTTATATAAAATAACATTAATCTTGCTATTACTGTAACAGTTCCTACTAGCTGTATAATTATCATATGTTCACTGAACTAAATAACCACTTACTTTCCTTCTATTTTCACTGCATTATCAGTGTATCTGATATCTGGAGTGTTGTTTGTCAGGCTAGCACAATAATCATCAATCATCAAAGCTGTGAACTTGTCCTTCAAATCCATTTCCAGTTTGTATTTTGCTGAACGGTTTAGTCTAGGAGGAGAAACAACCAGACTCTAAGCCAAAGTGTAGGCACTCACAGGTGTCCCTAACATGCATGCATTAGGGAATACAAATGCTGTTATGGAATTCTTCATGTATGAACTGTTAGTTGCAAAGTCTCAAAATCTAGAGCATGAAGCTGCCTCCGTATAAACTGATAGCACAGTTCCCATTGGAATTAAAGGCACAGGACTGGATCATGCTAAGACCAGGGATCATGTGCAAGTACTTTTGAGTTCTAACAAACAGAACTCACCATTACTGATCAAATGGTATGAATTAGGACTAAACTCCTGTAACTGCTTAGCACTGAAGGTAACTTTGGACCTGTGCTCAGCCTGGCCTTACAACTTCTCAGGATTATGTCTGTCCTGCTTCCCAGCTAATCAGCGTTCATTTGTGCTCTTTGCCTCTGCACCTGATTTGCTCATTGGTTTGTTCCAATGTACGTCCAAGCAAAGCAATAACCCCCTGGAGGACTTCTACTTCCTTCACCAGTTCCTGTTCCACTTCATCATGCACCAAGTCAATCCCAGTTCGCCTCTGCCTAAACAAAAAGAGGAAAAGCCATCAGCCACATTGGTCAAATGCCTGCAGCTAACGAGGATGATTAAATCCAGCTTTCCAAACTGAAGGCTTTTCCTTGTCACACAGGAAGTTTTTCCTTTATGGACTTGGTTCCCCAGTGTTACAACACCTAAATCAGGCTGTGTCTCCAGTGCATAGAGAGGCAGGCCCTCAGTTTGCAGCCTTTTTAATTATATTTTAAAGGTTCATTACCTAGATTTTTCTTCTGCCCCTGAATGCTTTTACTCTTAATCATCTCACCTGTTCAGGAGACACTTTTGGGCAATGAGGAGTGGTTCTTTGCAGCTGTCCAAAGATTTCTCCAGCCTAGTCTTGAAAGTCAACAGTACCTCTGTCTCATGAACAATCTGTTCAAGTTTGTTATCTAATTCTTGCTTCCAGAATTGTATTTCTTCCCGTCTCTGTTCTGCAGAATTAAAATTGCAAACAGGTATTAATACAAGCCCATCTTATATGCCAGAGCATTGTGGCTCAGCTCTCAGATATGGCTAAAAATAGGCTTCTTCCATAGCGGAGTGCATGTAGTGCTGTAGGCTGATGTGTGGAGACAGTTTTGCAACCCTGTGTCAGGAAGTTTGGTTGGAGTAACTTTGTGTGTTTTGGACAAGTAATTTGTTTGTTATAAAACAAAGAATCTGCCTCAAAGTATTTTTTAAAATATTTTGAATTTTCCCATGAGATCATAGAGCATGGCATTGGCATATATTCCTATTTACTATCAACTAATTTTATAAATCCATCTTAAACATATAGCTCAAATAACACATCTTGATACATGCAGAACACATGGGATTACCTATTTTCTTGCTGACATCACTTTGGGTTTTCCGAGTTGTCTTTTCTATTTCATCCAGCAGCCTCTGACTCTCAGCTATCGCGCGCTCGGACCTGGATTTCTGAGACTCTGTACTGGCACACTGCATCTTGTTTGCAATGTCCCATTCTGAGAGATGAAACTTGGGTGGAGCTTGCAACAGTCTGGCCATTGTTTTTTGGAAAGTTTCTGGATATAACACAGGACAGGAAGGACAGGTCTGTGAGGAAGGACAGAATTACTAAATGGACAATCACAGAAAACTGAGAAAAAGTGAACAAATATAAAAGATAAATAGTCTCCCACAGGTTGGAGAACTAACACATTTTAAGAATACAGCTCAAGAGGCAGATGAACTCCAGGTTGTAAAAAAGACATGCGATGGTCATTAGGGGGGAAAAAAAAAAAAAAACAGAAGAGAAAACGGGACCTGAAATGCTGAAGGAGGAAATACAGCAGGTAAATGAGGAAATGGAAAAGCCTAGGAAGGGCTAAAGCAGAAGAAAGAAGAAAGAACAAAATATACTGGGGACATTGGTTTAATGTAGAGTGAAACCAATGCCCAAAATACATGCAAAGTTGCAGCACTTTATCAATTTTCCTATTCTTCCACTATGCTCATCCAGTGTTCCTGAGACAAGTCCTCATCCCAAATACACACAGCTGCTCCTCAGAAACACACAGCTTTGCCCACACTCCAGAGCACGGGTACCCTTAAAAGCAATTGCCCTTCTCCCTCACACACCTCTTGGCTGACACCGCTCCTAGCCTGGACTGCTCCCAAGGTCAAACCCTGGCTGAGCGCCACCTCTTCAGTTCCCCTTCACTGGGCGGGGAGGAGTTTGCTCCCAACTATCTTCCAGCCTCGATCTCGACAGCAGAAGCACAGTTTCTTTTTAAGAATGTGGGACTAAATATTCCAGGAGGTGGCTCCTAAGAGCACGGAATGTAAACAAACTGGCTGCTATGGGAACAGCAACACTGCCTCTAGCAACCTCCTGCTCTTATACCAGGTGGAAGAAGCACAGCACAGGCAAGCCAGTGGTGCTTCCCTTCTCCCGTTCGCAGTTAAGATCTGGCTGGAAATAGAAACGTATTCTTTGTACACTAACTGAGATAGTTCCCACAGCTTTGGACAGTAATTTTTGATCGATTTATTGCAGAAATGCATAAAGATGTACCCAGCTATCTAAACTGTCAGTCATAAAATATCCTTAGCAGTATGCTCCATCTTTGTGGCAACTATATTCTTTCCTGGGACAAAATAGATTGGGAGCCAGACAAAAGAAATTAAAGTGACAAAATAGCACTACATCAGATGGTACAATTATGTGGCCTCTGTATAGCCCTGATGTAGTTTAGAGCAGAGCAGGGTTTCTCTGAGTTCCCAGCAAGGTTCAAGGAGATTGCAAAGTGATAAAAAAGCAAGTAGCGTTGGTCAAAAGAAGTTGAGCTGGTTCAAGACAGAAAAGTGGAAGCAACTGCACATGTTGGCTGCAAATACAGTGCAGTGACAGCTAGAAAGCTGCTCATGATCTTTAATTTCAAAACGTTGCTAAATTCTCTCAATGATCATTAAAACTGGTAACTACAGTGCCTCTCATGCCAGCTCCTGTGTAAACATAAATCTGCATGTACTCTGGAGGAGCAAAAAGAGGGGTTTCTGCTGAAGAAACACTGTCTTACAGAAAAATGCAGGTATTTCACAGCCAGAGAAAAATATAGGCTTCAGAAGACAGGTCTGACATTAGAATTGAAGCCATTAGCCTGAGAGGAGAATGAGCTAGAGATTCAAGAAGCAGCAGAGAATGGGGTGCAAGGCAAGTAAGGAAAAAATATATGCTAACTGATGCATGAGAGTGGAAAGCTGTGGTCGCTGACACTCAGCATGCCCCTGATTCACGAGGCAAAGCAAAACTATGGCTAGGCTGAACACTGATCAGAACCAATTACACAGACCACTACTGAGGCAAACCTGTAAATCAATTTATATGGTACTGCACACATGAAGTCTGCAACTATCCGTACATAAAATCAGTGCTTCTGTGGGCTGTCCCTTGATTTGTACATTGTCACTCCTTGGCCACTTGGTCTAGATACACCTTTTTCCAGCCCCTCGTCCTTTAATGAATGTTTTTTTAACATATTCTTAACATAACATGCTAAAATGAGTTAGTTGAAAGCAGTAAATTTTGTCACATGAACAGCTGGAGCAGGAACTGGAACCATTTCCGTAACAACTGAAAGATTTCCAGTGACTTAAGTAGATCTGAACTCAAAGCTAGTTTCAACAGAAGTTTACTCTGGCCAGTGTGAGTCACAGAACATGTATCATCACGCTGCATATTAGTTGTCTTCCACAAAATTTTATTATCTCTACTCTTAGTAACATTCGAAGGCTTTTAGAAATATGAGCAAATTAAAGAGAGATGACGAAATGATTAAAAAGAAACTGAAATGCTGAGATATCTGAATGGCGGTTAAGAACAATTAACATCTTATGTTTCTGAAAACGTGCTCAGTCACTTTGAAAGCTGAGGAATCCCCGACGGTCCTCCAAGACATTATTGTGAGATTCATGGCACTTCATGCAGTCTTGTTCTGAAAACCCAGTATCTGGCACTGTCCTGACCCAACCTGAGAGCAACACCATCATAAAGTAATTGATTTGTAGTTACCAACCCTAAATCTGTTCTTCATCGTTAGCTTACCATACGAGATTCTTTCCTTTTAAACTGTTAATATGAAATTTACAACTGATACTTCACTACGAATTATATGGCATAATAAAGTTTTATTTTTACCTCAGATGGTTTTCAGCAGTTAAATCATTGTAGATTTCCTGAGGATGACAACCCTGCGCTGTTCAAGTAAAGGATGTAAAATCAGCGCGGCCATCAGGACAAGTTAGAAAGGAATGAAAGTGAAAAGGCGTAATTCCTGAAAACCTCAAGCAATTTAGAAGGGGAAAAAAATGACCCCGAGGCAGACCGGGGCCCACCTCCGCGCCTCGCGCCGGCCCGGCCCGCCGCCTCCCGCGAGTCGCACAACGCCCGCAAAGCGCGCCCCCGCGCGCGCCCCCCCCCCCCCTTCCTCCACCCCCCGGCTGCCCGCAACCAACCGCCGGTCTCCGCGGCCGCGCCCCGCGCGCGGGCGGCTGCAGGGCCGCGCGCCCCCATCGGCGGGTGAGGAAGGGTGTGAGGCCCCGCGGTGTCCCGTGCAGGTGGCACCGCTGGGCCTGCTGAGCGCTGCAGCGACGCTCCCACACTACATGTAAGAACACAGTTACCGCTGGATGAGAACACAAATCTTCCTCGGTATAGAAGTACTGGTACACTAACACCAACCTGTGTGCTGCTGAAACGCTGCTCCCACACCACATCCCGCACTAATGCCTTTATAAGGAGTTTTACAAAGGAGCAGTTCCTCACCTTGATGAATTGTATCTGGACATGGAAACTGGGTTCATTATGAAGAAGTGGCCAAAGTCCTGACAGTCTGGAAAAATACCTTACGTTTTTGGTGTAGCAGTCTAAATAACCAGCGTTGATGAGACTGGAACGAAACTACGTATGTTGCCATGTTCCTTACTGGATGCATGAAAAGTACCATAGATAGTCTCATTCTTCAGAGGTCTAAACTGTCATCTGAACTGCTGTGACAATGCATCAAAGTAGGAGAATTCTTTAGGCTTGAGCTGATACTGCAGCATCATTAACTGCTTCTTTCAATGTTGCTGAAATTGCAAAGCAGACTAACATAACAGGTCTGAATTCTGGTGTTCCACTAGCATCCAGAATAACGTCCTATGAAGAGAGAGCTGGCATTGTTCAGCCTGGAGAAGAGAAGGCTCTGGGGAGACCTTATTGCGGCCTTTCAATATTTAAAGGGGGCTTATTAGAAAGATGGGGACAACCTTTTTGGTAAGGCCTATAGTGATAGGACAAGGGGTGATGGTTTTAAACTAAAAGAGGGTAGATTTAGACCAGATATAAGGAAGAAATTTTTTACAATGAGGGTGGTGAAACACTGGAACAGGTTATTCAGAGAGGTGGTAGATGACCCATCCCTGGAAACATTCAAGGTCAGGTTGGACTGGACTCTGAGCAACCTGGTCTAGTGGAAGGTGCTCCTGCCTGTGGCAGGGGGAGTTGGACTAGATGACCTTTAAAGGTCCCTTCCAACACAAACTCTCTGATTCTACGCTAACTCCACTGAGGCTTTAACTAGACTATTTTAACATAGGCAAAAGTAGCTTTTAAATGCACCTTACATAAAGCAATGCCAACTTTTATTTTGGATACTTTAAAACTATCTCTGTAAACCAGGCAAGGTTTAAATTAATGATGCAGGTTGAACCATGTGGGCTAGTTTTATACCTAATTACATGTATCAAAGAGTATGCACTAGTGTGAGCATACGCTTAGATTAAACACTTGATTGGAAATGTCAGACAAAGGGAGAAGTGATGAAAGGCATTTATCCAGTTATTGTACTTTCAAGGAAGAGGACTTCCCTGCTGTGGGAAGGTATATGCAAACATAATTTTAAGAAGTAGGTGATGTCTCTGCTGAGATTATTTTGAAAATCTTGCACAGAACAAATTGATCTAGCCTTTAAAAGCAGATCAAGTTGCCAATAAACCACTCTAGATATTACTGAATTGTAGATATAGCTCAGAAACATTAGAAAATCCAGGAAACAGTCCATCTGTGCAAAACATATACTATGCCGACTTCATATATTGCTCTCTTTATCACTCATGCTAAATACATTTACTGTCATGTATGCACACAATCTGCATTTTTTAAAAACTAATTTTAAAATCCAGCAGGGGGCATATATTACATACTTCAATTTCAATTTAATCATACAATCTAATAGTCAAGGTTATTAATGCAGATTGGACTACTACTCTTAATGCACAAAGCGGTAGTTTTTTCTAAAATTATGTCATAGCACCAACTCCCTCATCATCTTACATGTGAGCCACCAGCAGTTAAAATCAGCTTATAGTCTTCCACTCCCCTGCAGTCAGTTGGTATCTTCCTTACTACCACCTCTCTGAAGTGGGAAGATTTTAGAGAACCTGCACAAATAGCTTCTGAGTAGTTGTGAAAAAAAGCTAAATTATAGAAAGGATGTAAATGCCCCCTGGCGAATTGGCAATAACTTTACTGTTCCAAACTTCCTTTATACCATTATTTGCTACTAGGCCTAAATTGGCCAAGCACTTACCTGTGTCTTTAGCACTTTCATCACATGGGAAAATCATCTATGATCCAGGACTGTGTGATGTACAATGCTGGTATTGCCCCTCTTGTTGTAGCTACGATGGAACTTGGCTTTGCTAGTCAATAAAATATTCTGCTGTAAGAATGTAAATATGTATATTGTGCGTGCCAGTTGCGGACAGATGTCTCATAATGCTTACTCTGATCACTTCTCCAAAACAGAAGTACAGTGTGTTTATCCTTACAGTGCATTTGGTGGAGCAACAGGTGCACACTTACTCCTCAGAATTATAGTCATTCAAGAGAAAATCAAACACTGAAGACAATGGCAGTCGTATGACAAATACGGACCACCCCATCTCTGTTCACTTGAGTTAAAGCTGTGAGATTAGCAATACCGAGGATCCTGCTAGTTTGACCAAGTGTCTTTCAGATACTTACAGTAAGATGTGTATTTAAAAGTCTTCCAAACTGCTTCCCTAGTGTCATAGCAACAGCCTTGCTACACTTCAAACAGAACCTGATGATCCAGACCCTCAGCAGTTAACTTACGCTTTACCTTTTATACGCTTTTGGTGTTTTTTTTTCTGAGACTACTAACAAAGTGGTTGCTTCATTCATGGTTTCTTAAGTAAACTTCACTAGAAAGGGAGGCTGAACTGAAATCCTATTCCAAATGCCACTGAGCTTCTGTACTTTTTTAAACTGGAATTCAGAGCACACAGCATCATGACTACAACAAAACTCTGGTAAGCAAAAGCTCTGCATTCTTTTCATTGATTTTACTTCGTTATCTGTCACTTCATTCTAAAGAGAAGCAGTAAATCTGAAGAGCATTTGACATATTTTATTATAAATGATCATCAGTACAGAACCAAAGTCATCTTTATAAATATCTACAAAAAGCACAAATGCAGGTTAAAAAACATTGTCTAGCATGTGCAGAAGGCTCATGGCTTTCACTTTTTAGTTTCTGTAAGCCTGTTCTTAGGGAAGAAATAATTTTTAAAAATATGCTTTTTTACTGGTTTTGGTTTTAACATTCACTGTGAAAACAAAGCTCTTATCAGAGAAAACCACAAAGGGTGACACATGACCTTTTTGTCCATTAAATCGCGAATAATCCCACTGTACTGTGGTTTTAATGCTAATTTAACTGAAAATAGAAATTACTCCAAGGCATTTCAAAACTCCCACATCTTTCATATTTTGGCATGTTGCCTGTCCACCTCAGAGTCAGCATGAGGACTGAACAACTCATAAAGACGTCATTCCTGTCCACACTGGAGAGTTGCTCAAAGTCGGTCAAAGCACACTACAGTCTTGCTTCTGTTGCAGTTGTTCAGAGGATTTCATACCTTGCTAGCTCCTTGCTTTCCTGTAATCCTAAATTACGCAAACACACAATCTCATACACAGAACAACCCCAGTTGTTGCTATTCTTCACGATCAAGAAATTAATTCAAGACTGCTGGTAAAGGCTTTAGCAAATCACTTTAGATTTGACCATTACAGACAAATGCCATTGTGTAACATGGTAGATATCTGTCACCCCCAGTCAGCAGCTAAGAGGCTATGTTATCTTTCTGCTTTAAGAGAAGAGAGCAATGCCTGTTTGATGCGTGTTGCACATGCATGTATGCTGGAGGGTATAGGATTGGAAGAGAGGCAATATTGCCCTAGTGGTTGAGTATTCTAGGTTATTATTTGCTACATGGAATTTTCCGTGTCCATCTGATATTTCTTTTGTGCTATGCTCAACAGAGAAGTGAACTGAAGGTGCTATCTTCTGGAGTTTTACCTACATTTTAAGAGAGAACACCTTTGTAGCAGAGTTACCTGTCACTGCATAAACTGTGTCCCCAGCCTAACAGAATCAGGAGCAGCAAATTAGCTTCCTGTGATCTTTAAACACAAGAATATTAAAAATCCAACCTACTACTACCACCAGAACAACAGCATTTGCCTTTCCCTATGTTTTTTGTCTTTTTCAAACCTATTTCTGTATTACTGACATGCTGATGTGAGCAACACTTTAGGGCGCTGCTCAGCAGTCAGCCACCCACGTAGTTGAAGGTAATCAAAGGGACAGTAAAAAGCAAGAAATAACACTGCGTTCCATTTGCAAAAAGTCACTCTTCCAATTAGCATACTGTACTTGACCCTTCTGGCTGGAGACGTGTTGATGTTTTTATTCAAAGCATCGTAGATGATTGTATAGGGACTGGACATAGGTAAAGACACACATGGGATCTGGCTTGTGACCCATCATCATCATGTCATCCACTTCTATCAGACGATCACAGTGAGCCATTTTCCTGTAGCAATAATAAAACAGGTACAGCAAATCAGGAGTTACAGGCCTTAGATTTAACTACTTCCAAGATTCTTTTGCTGCTCTGATTTGAGCATCACTGAGACATTTTAGAAAACCTGAGGTTTATCAGCAACGTTTCATTTCACAATGAAATGGTCAGGCTCGGGTTAGAGGTTACTATTTTTGTGACCAAGGAATATTCCTGTTCTTTCACTCTTCCTCTATACCAGGATCTGATCCAAAGCCCTGTAGGGTGGGTTTTGGTTTCTTGTTTTTTTATTTTTTTTCCACTGGCTGCCATTCACATCCATGATATCTGTAGCATGTAGCCCAATTGCACATTCCTCTGCCCAAGTCTCAGTAAGCAGGGTCATGCGAGTTTGCAAACTGAGAATTTTTCTGGTTCAGTTTTTCTGGTTTTGGAAGCTCCAAAAGAATGGGAAAACACGAGAAGGGATGAGGTGTGCCA